TAAGAACGTGCAATTCATTTTTATAACTCGATCTGATAAAATACAAGATACAAATTTATTTTAAGAGACATTTCATAATTATAAGTAACAGATACAAATGCATCAATTGGAAAACCATGTTTTTAAGGGAACTTAAATAATCATTACTAATTTTTATTTGCCAACTTATGTTATCTTCAAAATCGGTATAACATAATTAATGATTGAAAACGGGAAATTACTGCTTCAAATGTTAATTGAATTTAGTCGTGTGACATATTTGAGACTTTTCACCTTTTTCAATAGCTTCCTTTATTGCAATGGATAGTGCAATCACTTGATACCGGAAGTATGAGAGTATGAAAATGTGTGCTCATCGATAGACATTGATTCTAAGTAATTAAATTTAAAAGTTCGTAAACAACCATCTTTCTAGGTTATGCCGGACAAATAAACGCATTTAGCTCAATAGATTCAAGTATGTAATGCTCTTATTATTGATATAGTATCTCAGAATAATTATTTTAGGAAACTTAAAGCTATTTATAAATTATAGGAAAATTTCATTTAATAATTTCAATACGTTAGGATCATGTTTCAAATTTTGCAGTACAACTTAAACACTGTTTGCGCACAGTACTTTAGGATACAAAAAGTATTTGTATAATTCAAATTCTTTAAAAATAATGGTTGAAATAATTTTTTTATCCACATTTTCTTTTTTAAAAGTTATGTATTAATAAAATAAGACAGTTTTTGTAACATATATTATTTTAGAAAGAATGAGTCAGTTTCCCGACATGGAGCTTATGGAGCCCGCAACAAATTGTTTTGACGATGCTGTTCGAAAACAAACCTAAAAGTTTAATAGATTTTCGCCTTGAAAGAAGAGTGGATATATTCTTTTCTGTTCTTTTTGTTGCAAATAAACGATTTTATGGAAAATTCAAACGTTTTGAAAACAAGCCTTTCATTTTAATACAAAATACTTTCCAACACTGTACCGATAATATGTTTTGTCACTTTACGTTAAAATAAAAATTCATGTAAAATACACATTTTGAAATTGAAAATTTGATTTGTGCATTTTAAGTAGAACAATCAAGCCACATTCAATAGGAATGTTCCCTAAGTTTATAAAAATCATGAATTGTATTTTATTGTTCATTAAGATTTTGACTTTTTTATTATAACGCAATTTTCTGAAAAAAATATTTAAAATATTGATAAAAGAATTATTATTAAATTAAAAAAATCAGCAGTAGGACGATTAACATCATTTAACCGTTAAACGATAAATTTCTCAAAAGTAGAAGAAATTTGGAAAGGGCTCCAAAAATTTCATGTTGTAAAGCAGACTTACTTGTTTTAAACAGTTCAAATTTTAAAACGTAATTCTTTCTAAATTTTTTTTATTTTCTTTAAATCATGGTACCTGGCTCGTATATTATGTCGTATATTAAACGTAATAGCGCTATAGTTGCCACTTGCTATAAACTATACATTATCAGAAAAATCGGTTCAACATAAAACCATAATATTTGTATCATTAACCATAATATCTTGCAAATTTGCGACAACTTTTATCGAATTTTAATCGTTTAAATTGAACCTTTTTATCCGGTAATTAAATTTTAAAAAAATAATTTGCATGATAATGTGGTTCGAATTGGCACCGCAATAAAGTTGTAGCAAATTTGAAAGATTTAAGGGTTCAACGTGGTTCTAAGTTTTTTTTTATAGTGTCCGTTCATTTAAGCATAAGTTCATTATTTTTAATAATTTCTAAAACAAATTATCATTAGTTAATTTTGTATATCCCTTTGCTTTTAACATCTTACGAACAAAAGTACTATAGATTAAGTGACCTATAATTTCTAGAGAAAATTAAAAAGAATAGCCAAAAGTTGAAAAAAAAGCTACTAAAAATTTATTTCGCAACAGAAACTACAACTTAAAAATTAGAGAAGTATTTCAAGCAATGGAATAGTTTAAAATCGTTTATTAAAAACATTGCATGTGTTCTTTAACAGTAAAACAATGTGTAATAAAAACCACTGAAGGAGACACTACAGTACATGTAGATGCAGGTTATACATAAACGATAAATTTCCCTTTAACTATTTAAGAAATAATTGTAACTCTTGCATTAAGATTTAGGCACAGAATTTCTTCAGAAATTTAAAAAATAAGGTTAAAATTTGGATTAATGATAAATTCTATTAGGCTGTAAGATAGCGGCATAGATTCTACTTGTACTGCACGGGTAGTAATTGAAACTTACACGGTGGAAAAAAATTCTGGTAAAATTACCGTATTTGTATTTTAATGACATTTTTGTGATGAAATTACTAAATTTTTATCACATGTACTACCAAAAAGCATGGTAATAAAATCATATTTTATTGTTAATTTTTATCGAAAATAATTATCAAAGTGCTTCAATACAAATTACCTTGGTCTTTGGTGTTCCTAGAAGACAATGAACACGGTAGGTTTTACCATACTCTGGTATTTGTAACCGTACTTTCTTTCTCAGAGTATAGTGTCATTAGAATTGCATTGAATGTAAAGTTTAGTAGTACAAGGTCCAATATATTGGTACAGGATAATTTCAATGCAAGATAATTTCAGTTCAAATTTGAACATTTCAACTAGTCAGAAAGTGACTGAAATAAGGAATGGACATAAGTTCTTTCGGAAAATAATGAAGTGATGAATTTTGTAAGTAACGGACAGAAAAATTATTGAAATCTTTAATTTCATCCAGGAAAGAGTTCCAGTTCAAATTTAAGCATTCTAGCTAATCGGAAAGAGTTTAAAATTTTGATTGACTATAAATTCTGTTTAGAAATTAAATTTTTAAAAAAAACTGATAAATTCACCTTACATCCCTCAGGAAACGGTTTGACACCAGGCAATGAGTCCGAAAGTTGTCGAAATTTCGAAAGCAACTTTTTTTCCTCCCAGACACAAAAAGGAGGTGAAAAAAATGTAAAATTCACTAAAAAGACCTTTTGACCAACTTTCCATAGCTTTTTAAGAATAAATGCTCTAAAATATATATTACTTGCAATGAGAGGCAACGAAAGAATAACTTTTCTTCTTAGAACTTGTTACCAAAAAGTAATCTTCAAGTTAAAATTCCAAGGAACTAAATTTGTTATTTTCCCTCTTACATTCCCTAATTGCAATAGTTTTAATTTTTATTTCCACTGGATTATTATTTCAAAGAAAAACGTCCGTGGAAACCTATTTCGCGGTTTCATCATGTGAACGAGATAAATTACTTTAGTTTAAAGTGAAACAAATCGAAGAAAACAATTTTTTCATTCTTTTTTTACTACTGCAATTAGAGACTGCAACTTGACGTAAAGAAATTCCCTCTCAATCATTGGTCGTCAACACTTATTTTTCAGTGTCCACCAGTTTTGTAACAGAGAATTCCTAACAGAACTCAGTAGCCTATTCATAGAATTTGTTTATGAGAGGGCTTTTTCAGCTTGAGCTCAATTTTAGAGAAACTAATTATTCATTTATGCGTTCTTTACTACTACGTGTTCGCGCAGTAAAACTTTGGATAAATATGATCAGATTTGTCTAAAGGTAAGACTTAATTCATGATAGTTTATATTAGCTTAGATTTAATTGAATGAAAACAAATAAATCAAAATTAAAACTCCATGCTGCATCAAACTCATGTTTAATCTTGAAGAAACTAATTTTCATACAAATTTTTTTACTGCTATACGTATTAGCGTGTCAAACCTTTAAGTAAGTATAATCTAATTATTTTATAAATATAGGACTAAGTTAATTAATAGATATTAATGTAGATTAAATACTATACGAATAATTAAAAATTGAAACCTTACGCTACATCTAATCTCTCCAATAAACAATACATATTAGCGTGTCAAACCTTTAAATAAGTATAATCTAATTATTTTATGTATGCAAGACTAAGTGAATTAATATTAATTTAGATTAAATACTATACAAATAATTAAAAATTGAAACCTTACGCTACATCTAAATTCTCCCATAAACAATTCGCTTATAAAACTAACTTTATAACATAAGCTCAATCGTAAGGAAAGTATTTTTATTGTTTTATCAAATTGTGATTTTTATTGTTTTATCAAATTTTGGATAAGTATAATAAAAGTTAGGGGAATTTATTTAAAATAAGAGTTAGTTAATTAATATTAGTTTAGATTGGATATTATTAAAAAAAATTCACATTTAATAGCTCCCTCGAATTGCCTTTCACTTCATCATGTACTGATTAACATTTTTCAAATTTTTAAAATTGAATTCCTATGTTACGTACACATATCGAAAAACTTTTAATAGCTTACTTTTTTATTTCTACATTTTCTACTTTCTCATAAAAAATTTAAAATTGCATTTGCACTTTCACAAAAAGGGTGCCCTGATATTTCTTTTTGCTTAAAATATATTATTTTCGTTTGGATTATTTATTTATTATAGTATTTGAAACATTTCTGAGCGTCATCCACAAACAAAATGGTTAAGAACCATTTTAAACCTTCTTTTGCTCTTCTGAACCTCTGTAAAGTTGGGTTAAAATCCTTAGTTCGTTTAACCGTTCGTTAAAGCGTTTTAGTTCGTTTTCATTTGTATATTAGTTAGAGAATATTAATGTACATAATATTCTTAAATCATTTTTGCTAGAATTTCTTAAAAAAGTGTATTATGGCCACACCGAAACACTCTGAGGAAGACAGTGCGAAGCGAGATGAACACGGAAGGCCTCTCATGCGTTTCGTTTTCCCGTGAACCCGCCTTTCTGATTCATCTCGCTTCTCTATCGCTCCCTCAGTATGCAGCCTGCTTAAATCCAGTATAAGTTGTAACTCAGTCTTTGGAGGTTAACTTAATGTGATCGAATTTTTAGAAACAGAAGATCACTTGATCGCTTGAGTAATAGTATTCACTTGAAACTAGCTATTGTTAGTTTGTTATGAGTATGCAGCTGATTACAACGTTTGTTTCAGTGAGTGAGGTGAACGGGACAGCAAAGCGATTCCCCACATCTCAGTCAACGGGGAGTGCCTTGTCAGAATTACCACTTAAAATGGCTGAAGACAACCATGAAGACACTCCAGTTGAAGGAATAGCTCTCAAAAGAAGGGTTGGTCTGGTCAGTGGAGTAGCACTCATCGTAGGCACAATGATTGGTAAGAGCTCATTTATGTTTCAAAACTAGTTTTAAACACTCCTAAAACATAATATGGTTCATATACATTTCAAAAACTAATTGAGTTGAAATATTTTTGTGGTTTTTGTTTGAAATGGCAAATTTAAGCATCTAAATATAATTCAATAGCTCATGTGGACGTGCTAGCTAAGGAAACCTATTAATAGCTATTTATTAGCAGTGGAAACCTATTTATAAATCACATAAAATTTTAAAAAGAAGCTGTATAGGATAGATACCGTATTGTATAATATTTTGAAAAGTAAGTACTGTGCCTCATACAATATTGGATTGTGCGATACCGTTAGAGGTGCGAAGTAGGTGTAATAGTCATTTTTTTTTTCCTAACTGATTTTAACTTGGTTTACAAACCTCTTTATTTAATAAAATAAATAAATAAAGTAGTAACAACGAAATTAGCAAAAATAAAAATCATTCTTTAAAGTTAATTACGTGGAGAATTAAAGAAAAGAGTTAAACCCTTAGGAGTTGTCACAAAAAGTCATTAGTTTTTAAACCTTTTTATTTATCAGTATAATAAATGGAATAGATGAATAGAAAATGAATGGAACAGAAACTAAAGACTAAAGTGATAAATTTATGGATGCTTCTAATATTATTTTTTACCACGTGTTAGTTAAAATACTGCCTCGACAAAAATTATCTCAGCCTAATTAGAGTAAAAATCAATCGAAATTTTTATAAAAATCAATAAATCATTTTATGATGAAACTATCGCTTTAGAATAATTTGCCTGTATTTTTCATAAAAAAAAAAAACTTGGTTTAGATAAATAATGAAAGCGATTTAAATGTGTTTTTGAAAAGTTTCGAATTTGTAACTTGAACAAGACAATGTGCTTCCCTACTCTTCACAAACAATTCACTTTCGACGTTTAGTTCTTTAAACCGGTATAAATTAAGGAGTGTCTGGCATCGGTGACAATTTGGTCTTTGGCATGACATCAAAACATACTTCAGTGTGAAGTGCAGGAGTACCCATAAATAAAATTGAAAAACAATGTATGTACGCTCCTAAATCAACTTAGTCTAAAAACATTTTTTTAAAGTTCTAAGTTATTCTTATATATATATATTGTGTTTTTAAAAATGATGCAATCTTAAAAGAATTAGTTAATGATTTTATCATAACATCAATTAGGAATTAACTAGATATTTTCCAATATTTTAGCCTACGAGTAACACAGACTTCGTTAAGTTTTAAGGGCTAAGACCTAGGGATAATACAGAGAGGGGATCGGGCTAAGACCAACAATGGTGCGCAAGGAGGGGTTTGAAAGGGGCAATAGCCCCAGGCATCTAGCTAAAGAGGGAATTATAAAAATGATATAAAAAAAGATAAAGAATTCATTTCACTCATAAACATCAGCTCCCTTGAAAATTGTGAATTTTATGAAAAATGCTGGTGATAAAAATTATTTGATCATTTTTTGTAATAATTAATATGATTTCTTTATTAAGCATATCATCAAATGTAATGTCTAAATGGCATTTATCCTAGAATTCTCCATTTCTTTGTAATATTACCAGGGCCGTTTTATCCATTAGGCACTGTAGGCAACTGCCTAGGGGCCCCTCCACGTTCAGGGGCCCTGGGCTACAGAGAAAAAAATTGACAATGTTTCTTAAACAGTAAAAATTTAATTCGAAATTTCCATGACGATTGTCTTGCTCTGTACATTACATCGACGCTATTTTAGTACATTTCTGAACGCATTCCAAATTAGATATTAATATTTTGGTAGTTAGTTCATATATAACGCAGTAATATAATCGCAAGCAATTTTATCGCTGTAATTTTAACGCCGACTAATCAGATGACTATACAGCAAGAGCAGCTTTATTAACACAACACGCTTGAAAAACGCGCAAAATTCTACGATGTGAATGCACACTTACTGTTCTGGTACCTACCATAGGTATGTATATTCTAAACAATTGAACTTCGAACGGCAGTCGATCTTTTAAAATCGCTTTTAGATTTTTTAATTTCATAGAGAGAATTATTTGACGACTACGAGACTAAGGCAAATGAGAAAACTGATACTCAATACAGTGATGAGAATCAGCGTGTGCGAAAAAGGAAAAGGCATCACGATGACGGACCTGCAAAAGAAGTTGTGCTCAGAGGAAAAGAGAAATTAAAAGTTGATACATATTTGCCAGTACTAGACATGCTGTGTACAGAACTGTCGCGGCGCCTAGAAGCTTACCGGGAAATAAATGATCTGTTTGGGTTTTTAACAGATTTCTCGACAAAATCCGACGCTGAAATTAGACAGGCTTGCACAAAGTTTAAGGAACATTATTTCGAGGACATTGAGCCTGAGTTTATAGACAAAATGGTGCAGTATAAATACTTCATCTTACAATTAGAAGACGCCGGAAAAAAATTGTGCCTGCCGAAGAGTCTTACAAACTGATTATTGGTAACATGGCATAATCAACTTTCCCGAATGTAATGACAGCTTTGCAAATATATAGAAGTCTAATGATTACAAACGCCAGTGGTGAACGATACTTTTCCAAATTGAAATTAATTAAAAACTGTCTTCGTTCAACTATGTCTCAAAACCGTTTAAATTCATTGGCCATAATGGCAATTGAAAATGATATATTGGAAAAGGTTAACTTTCAGGATGTCTTGAACGATTTTGTAACAAAAAAAGTTAGAAGAGTTAATATTTAAGCTTATTGTATGATTTTTTTTAAATGCATATATTAATTACTTATATTCTTTTCGTTTGATTCAATATTTTTATTGAATAATGTGATAATATACCTATGTAGTAAAAAACAGCGTAATCATGAATAAAGTGTTGTGTTAGCAAAAAAATATATTAAGAAGTTAGAAGACGGTAGGGGGGGCCGAGACGAGCATTGCCTAGGGGCCGCGACATGCATAAGCCGGCCCTGAATATTACTCACCTATTTATTTCAGAAAATAAAGATCTCCGCTAAATTATTACTATGCACAAAACAAAAAAACATTCCTCTTTGGTTTGCAAGAAAAGCAGCTTAAAAAAACTGACTAAGCAAAAACATTAACTTTGATTTATAATTAATAGTTGTAAATACTTATCAAGAAGGAAGTTTTTTTTTTATTTGACTTGTTTGTTCAGTTTATTTACAAAAAATAAAAGTATATATAAATGCATCATATGTGATACAATTGGATTTTGTGAATCTGTGCTTTCGGAAAATAAATAATTATTAAGAATAGAGTGAATTAATAAAAAATTTTTTTACTGATTTTAATTTTGTAAAATGAAATGTTTTATGTTCTTTTAATTTTCTTAGACGTGTAAAACGTGTTTAATTTTATTTTGGAATAAAAACGCCTTTTGTATCAAATTTTAAAACGCTCTTAAATAAATGTTAAGCGTCTTATATGCGTTTAAAAAAATGGATCTAGCTTGAAATACGTGTTTGAAAAAAAAAATGTAATTCAAAAGGCGTGTTTAAGAAAACGAACATAGTTACATAGCTTGGTATGCTTAAAAAAAATGGACCTAACTCAGAATACGTGAGTAACAAAATAGACAATGCTATTCGATAAGGAAATGCCCTTTCTTAAACTATAACTACTGTTATCCCTATTGCCTTTTAAAAGAAGTAGCTAGTGAAAATTTACTTAGTTTAAAACTTAAAAAAAAGTAAATTTTCAACTTTCCGAGGATTTTTCATGTATAAGTTAGGTATTAAAAATTTGGTTTCATTATTAAATTGGTTAAAAACACACGCTTTGTTTTCATACTAATTTCATATTAATGCTCATTTTCTTAAACATTTGACCTAAATACATTTCATCAAGTGCGCATTTCAATTCAGATGCACGCGATATTACTAGTTAATATTTTATTATAGAATACTCTATTATTTCATTAAGTTACATTTTTCAAACAAAAAAAAATATTGTTTCAATATTGCGTACGTTAAACGTATTGTTTCTCATTTGTATTAATTAATTGACGAATTTTTTTTCCCTTTCAGGTTCGGGTATATTTGTTTCGCCCAAAGGAGTACTGCTAAGGTCCGGCTCTGTGGGTACAAGCCTTCTCGTTTGGTCTGGGTGTGGCATTCTCTCGTTATTAGGTAAAAAAGATTATTTTCATTAATATTCTCTATGACTCTCATCAATTCTCATAATATTCTCTATGACAACCCAGACCATAAAATGCAACAAATAAATTAAATAAAAATTCATTGTAACTTTAATAAATATCGTTTGAGATTTACTTTTTCTAGTGTGAAATTCATACATATCGTTTTTCAATAATATTGTTTGTAAAACTCCTTACTGCTGAACAACGTATATGTTACGAGAAAATTATTTTATTTTTAAATCTTACTTTTATATACTTTGAAAGCTAGCGTTTAAGTAGTGTATGTCCCATGATTTTCATGTGAACCAAAAAACTGTGTATTCATTTGCATCGTTAGTTTTGTATTTAAAATTTTTGACTTGCTAAAAATATTAATAAACCAGTTTTTATAATTTATTTGTATTTTAGGATGTATATTCAATAATTTTCAATAAAGATGCAAAGTATGGAAACGATTTAAAAACTTCATAGCTGTTCTTATCTCTTTTGAAATTTTTTGATAAATAAACAAAAATTTAGGGGATTATAAATTTTTATAAGGAATTTGTCTTATAGTGGATTATAAGAATTTACAGAACTTTTTTGTACTTTACATTTCTTATAATCTATTTCTAATTTTTTTTTTTTGTATAAATATGATCTAAGAAAAATAAAGCTTCATGAATAGCGAAATGAAGAAGTTGCACAGACTATTTTTGACGTACAAAATACGTATTTACTGTTATATCAACAAATATCATTATAAAATTGCGTTCAACTAATGTATATTTAATAGTTTTTAGCAAATTTAAATTCATTTTAATTTTACTTAGAGCATAAGGAAAGCAATTTTGTAGTCTCTCCCCGACTAGACAAATAACGTTTAATTTTCAGAAATTATTGATTAATATATTTGTTTTTGACAAAATTCAGCATATTAGTTTCATTAAGCTATTCGATTCATTTTTTACCTTCAATTACCTTCAGGAAAAAAAAATTTTTAAATGATTATTGGATTATTTGTTGATTACTTGAAAATCGTCGAAAAACATTTATACATTAATATAACTTTTTTCAAAGCATTGATTTACTTATAAATTATTGAGGAAAAAAAAACTTAAAATATTGATAGTAAAACTGAAATTTATGCATCTGCTGTTATTTTTAAAAAAAATTTTATATCTATTTTCAGGTGCATTGTGTTATGCAGAATTAGGAACTATGATAACGAAATCCGGAGCTGAATACAGCTATATGATGGACGCTTTTGGTCCTTTGCCAGCCTTTCTATTTTCGTGGGTTTCAGTGCTGGTACTGAAACCCTCCATGATGGCCATTATTTGTTTGTCACTCGGAGAATACGTCGTAGAACCTCTCAATATAGGCTGCCCTCCAAACATGTATGCCGTCAAATTAGTTGCCGCATTATCTATAGGTATGTCCCCAGGAAAAATGTTCTATATTGCTAGCGCAGTTTTTTTTTTTTTTTTTTTTTTTTTTTTTTTTTTTTTTNAGAAATTATAATTTTGCTTAAGTATCAACATGTTCAAGCATGTAGAGTGGGTAAAAAAGAAAACGGACCACCCTGAATAAATTTTGATCTAAAGATCGGAACTTAACATTCTAGGATTCAATCTTAATGATTCGAGGGGGTGATCTCAAATATCCTAACTGCAGACGATATTTTAAGTTACGAAATCAGACACAAAAACTCGCTGAATAAACATACCTTTTTTCGACTGATTCGGGTTTTTGACCCCCAAAATGTAGGGGGCAGCCGTAGTCTGGGAAATATGGTCCCAATAGTTTGCTCAGGAGAGCAGTCCAAAGTTTAAAACCCTTACCGTTAAATTTAATTTTTGCGTATTTCACCTTATCTCAAGAAATTTTTAGAAGAATTAAAAAATTTTGCACACAATTATAAAATTCGTTTATCTAAAGATAATTCCATGCGTAATATAGCTTTAGAAAATATTATTATTTTTTATAATTTTATTTAATAATAATGGAAAAAATGTTGAGTTACAAGGTATAAAATTTTTTCAATAATTTAAAAAAAATGCTATTTTAAATGGCAAAATTTCAGCGAAATCAATGGAATATTTCATGATGAATCGAATTTTAAAAATACGACTTTTTCAAAATTCAATTTCTCAGGAACTATTCTTTCAATTTCGCTAAAATTTTGTATTTTGCCTTTTAAAATTACATTCTTTAAATTGATTTAAAAAATTTGATACCTTACTATTCTACATTTTTCCGGTTATTATTAATGAAAAATAATTAATATTTTCCAAAAGTTTTATTTTATTTTGCATGATCTTTGGATAAACGAATTTTATAATTGTGTGGAAGAATTTACAATTCCCTTAAAAATTTCTTCAGGTAGGCTTAAATACGCAGAAATTAAAATTAACGGGTCAGATCATTTTCCTGACCAAACTATTGGGACCATATTTCTCTGACTGCCTCTACCCCCTATAAATGGTTAAAAGACTAGGGAGTTAAAAGATGGAGAAATATAATATGGAATAGATCTAGGCGTGGTAAACTGACTGATATGACCTTGGCTTGTAACCGGCTGTAGTGTCTTAGAAGGAGAATTACAAAACAGTATTTAATTGGTAATTTTATCGAAAGTCATTATTAAAGCTCTTTGGTGAAAATAACTGAATTTTTTAGTGTTCCCATAGAGCCAGAAACACAATGTTACCATATTCTGATAGTTTTAACTATAATTTCATAATACGGCATTAAATTAGTTTCCGGTAACTTGAAAGACTGTTAACCGAGTGTTTGATTTAAGGAAAATTGGAATGTAGAGGCCTGAAAAATTGTCATTTGTGGGTTAAAATTATAAGAATTGTTCATGAAATCTGAAAAAATGAATATAAATTAATATATTTCTTTTATTGTAGGAGTAATAACGTACATCAACTGTTTGAGTGTGAAATTGGCTACACGAATTCAGAATATTTTTACGTGTTCCAAGTTGCTAGCAATTGCCATTATAGTCGTCGGGGGATTTATAAAATTAACTGAAGGTAAGTTTATATTGCTCCAAATTTATTCTAAAAATTTCCGCAAAAAATGAGATTGGTTATTTTAATGCTGCTTGTACCTTAAATGCTACCGCTGACTTTATACATTCAACAATCTTGTCATAAATCAATTTACAAAACCATCTGCACAATGAGAAGACAAGCGAACATTTTAATAACAAATTTAGAACTAAAATAATAAAGTCATGATAAATATAATATTTTGAAACTCAAAACTAATTTGCAATAATCATTATTTTCGTTTTTAATTATCTTAACCAATATACTTCTGTTTTTAATACTTCTGTTTCATATTCTAAATTAAGGGCTTTTGATAATTTTTATCAGTTAGTGCCTAGAGTCTCTTTTAGGGACAGTTTAAAAATGCAAAAAGAAATTGATTTTAATGTTAATTTGACAGAAAGTATTTGTATTAAATTCTCTTTTCTAAAATTGTTATGAATCAAGCGTTTGGTCGATTATTTTTTATTTTGAGATAAAGAATAACAGTTAATATCACAATCTTTCTAATCCCTCCGCATGATTAAGTAATTTAAGTGACTTATGTTTAGTTGTTCCTTTTTAAGAAAAGTTGTAAACACGCATATTGTTGTTGTTGTTTTTTTCTTTTTCTCTATAAATTTTACAGAAATTATTTGCTATTAATTCGATTCTTTAAGAATTTATTGATCATCCCACTCATCAAGAGGCAAATTGATAATGAAGATTTTTCTTTCTTTAAAAAAATTTTTGGATCATTTTTTATTTTAATTCCGAATTTAAGTGATTTTAACTTATTAATGTTTAGCATTCCTTTTTTTTTTTTTTTGTTGAAGGAATGCTCTATATCTTATACATATGCTTTATAACATCAATTTCACATAAATTATTAGTTCTTTATCCCTTTTTTATATTTTATTAAGGGCTACACGTACCAAGTGCCCGTTTGATAACATTACTTCTCCTGCTTCGAAATCACGAATAAAACATTTTGCAATTATCTTTCGATTTGTTCAGCTAAATTAAGTGATTTTTATATAATTTTTACCAATTTGTTTAACGACTTTTTTTAGGAAAAGAAGGAACAATTTGTTTAACAACATTTTTTAGGAACGCACATGTTGTTTTCACCATAAATTTCACATTACTTATTTATAACTAATTTAGTTTATTTAAAATTTTTCAATGGACACACTTATCAAGCATCCAATTGTAAATGTAGGGTTTTGAATTTTGAAATCCAACTGGCTTTTGATGTATTTGCATTAAATTAAGGAATAAAGTATTAGTTATTAGTATGAAAACTGAAATCATAGCGGCTATTGGAAATTAAATTCTTCTTCTTGCTGCTCTGTTCCAATAAAGGGTGTGCATCCTAGATATTTGTGATGAATTATTATTTTGTTCACTTTTAAAAAGTAATTATATATATATATTAGTATATTATATATATATATATATATATATATATATATTATACATATTAGTATATATTATATGCAGGTATATAGGCGTATATGCTTATGTTTAAGAAAAAATGACTCAATGAATCAATTCGACAGCGTTTTATAGGCCAAATAATTGGAGCAGATTCTCATTTATGCAGTTAAAAACCTTAGTTTGGGTCTGTCTCTGTTTCGGGTTCCAACCGGATGGTAATTCTGGATGCTAAGAGGATGTGTTTTATGTAATATTATTTTTTAAAAGAAGTATTAACCACAAAGCTTAAAATTTCGATTTGGCAAGCATGAAATTTTTAGTGATTTATTTATGCTTTTTCTTTTTAACAAATGCAAAAATATTTCTGCTTCATTTGCAATGGAATAATTTTATTTGCAATAAAACTATTGCTCAAATTTTAAGCGAATTTGAATAAAAATAAATGATTTAATTTCAGGTCACACCAAGCATCTTGCGACGGGATTCGAAGGAGAAAGTGCAACGTTTTCGGATATCGCGACAGCATTTTATAGCGGTTTGTGGGCCTACGACGGATGGTTAGTGATACGACGTCAGTACAAGACCAATGCCTTATATCATTCCTTAGTTTACAACTCATTATCAGAAACGTACATGGATCCCCCCCTCCCCTTTCTCATTGTTAAAATAAAAATACGCAAATATTTAGTTTCAATTAAGCTTGAACTAAAAAGCTCAGTCCATAAGAAATAATTACTATACGCTTTTATTTAACTTCTAACTGTGATATGATTACAGACTAAAAATTTTAAAATAATTGCGAAAAATTTATTTTATATAGATTCTGATAATTTAAACTTTATTTTTATTAAATTAAAATTACGTAATATTTACGCATAGAAAAAGTTATTATGCCCGCAAACCTTAAAAAAAATTAAGATAGAAACTTTTTGGAAGGCATATAAAAATTGCAAATAAATTTCATAATTAATTATTTAAATTATTAATAATTAATTATTATTAATTAATTTTATTATTAATTATTTTGAATTAATTATTTAAGTAGGATATTATTCGGTCAAACATTCGTTGAGTATTTTAAAGGGCTTTTTCCAAAAAATATTCATTTTACTGAAATTTCTTACAAAATTCCTATTTGCATAAGTTTTGAATAGCGATTAAGATATTATTTTTAAAAAAGCATTAATTGCTATAAAAACCAGCTATCCTGAAAGTAACAAAAATCATACTGGATAAAACAGATGCAATAGGATTAAAAATATGAGGACGAAACACCCATTCCAGAAAATTGCTATTATGTAATATCCATTTACGTTTTCATAATGAGTTCTATAGAAGAGAAATCAGAAATGTAAAAATGAAATTTCAATATTTTTTATTTCACATAAGAACATTTGACATGCTTTCTGGTATAAGAAAAATCTTTCAATTCTCTGAACTATAATTTTTTTTAAAATTTTGAATGGTTTTTAACTGAGATCTCAAATTAATAATGATAATTTTCGTTCTAAACAAACTGTAAAATTCTTGATGTACTTCGCAAAACAAAAAAAAAAACCACTAAAATATTTTTTACTCTAATGATCTTAATAGAACTGAATTTTCATGGTTCGAGGGTCAAACTTTAAATGTGCTAATTTACGAGCGCAGACGATGTATTAATTTACGAAATCACGCACAGAAATGTACTTTCTCAGAATAAGCATAGAATTTTTTTCCACGAAATTGGATTTCTGAACCTCAAAATATGGTCCCGAAAGTTTAGGCAAAAGAGTGATCAAATCTTTAGAGCCCTTAATATTAATCTCGGTACTTCTATATTTTGATGGTTAGAAATTCGAATTTGTCGAGAGAAAAAATCGTTTATTCTGAAAAAATACGATTTTGTGTCTGATTTCATAATTTAAAATATACTTCTGCATTAATTTATTAACTTATTTAAAGTTGGGCTCTCGAATGATTAAGTTTGAGTCGTTGTACGCTAAAACCCGATCGATAGATCAAAAGTTATTCAGGATGTTCACTTTTTTATTTTGTCTACTGTACTCATTCAATTGCGCAAAAGTTAAAAATGTGCAAAAGTGCTTTTTTGTTTTATATACTTCTGAATGAAATAGTCAAGGCAAGTATATACAATGTGTTCCGTGGTTACCACCTTCAATATATATTTTAGGAATCCTTATCGAAAAAGAAATAAAAAAAGTAAACAAATTACGGGTGTTAAATCCATTTATTTTTTTATTTTATCACCGTCGTTGTACAGCCGACCCAATTTTTAAGTTTATGATTACTAATGTCCAACTCCATAGCCTTGAAATTCTGAACCCAATCCAGAAGACAAGGAAACTCCTGGATCAAGTATCGGGAGAAATTTGCCTTCGTGGAGGACTTTTTGATAGAACTAACCCGCATTTGCGTTACATGGAGAGGAAGACCACGATATCCTCCCACGGTTAGGCTCACTGCAAGGTGACTCTCACCCGATCTGTCTACCACTGAGGATATTTCACGTCTGCACTGTGGTCGTAGCAAGCCGGATGCCCCGAGCCTAATTTAAAATAATTTCAACATAGAAAAAAAACTGCAGTTATACTAATAATAATGTAAACGAGGCGCTTTTGGATCTTGAAGTTCATATAGGGCAGTAGAGGAACTAAAAATAAAAGACATTATCAAATTCTAAGAAATCACTTATTAAAGTCAGAACTGAAAGTACCAAAACCAGTTATATTACCTGATTAAACGTTGAGGCGTTATTAGAAATCCCTTTTCTTTCCTCTGGTAAGGAAACAGAATTTTTTTACTCCCTTTTTTCGTTATATTTTAATATCGTTTACATTTTTTCCTTGATTAAATATCAATTTTCTATTAAGTATACTTTTTGTCTTAACTTTTAACTAGGATTCTGTCATTGTGGAAGTGTGGTAATTGTGGAACACACTGTATAGATGAGTATTTTTTTTAAATAAATAAAAAAAAATTTTTGCTTATTTTATTTTAAAAATATGCAAAAAACTATTTCCTTTTTGGTTTAAAAGAAACTCACATCAGAAAATATGCATTTTTTCTTATTTTTGTAAGCAAGCAAAAAATAGCTAAAAGATAAGTTCAAGCATAGAGTTGAGTTTTAAAAAAAATTTACTTAAAATGTTAATTTAATTTTATGAATACTTGCGTTTTTTCATGTTTTTATACCATAATATCTGTTTAAAACTCTTAATCCGATCTGTGAAAAAAAAATGCAATATAGAGAAAGAAAGAAAACCTCAGTTAAATTTTTGAGGTATATAACATAACTCTAATTTTAAAAAATCCTAATTCTTTGAGAAACTTAAAAATGACTGAAAATAAGTTCTTATTCCAAATAAGTGTATGACAGTCTCAGAGAGAACTGATACCATTTAAATGGTTATTAAGAATGAATTTACGAATTATTCGAAACATCAATGTTTTGGAAATAATAAACGAGAGCTAAAAATAGATATTAACTTAAATAATTATTAAATTACATTAAATATTGTATAGCAAGTAATGGAATGCATTATTTACTTTCTGGTTTGTCTTCTATAAAAGAGTTACATAATCTGTGTTTAAAACTTGTTCATTTTTTGTATGTATGCAGTTCATTATTCGCAAAAAATGTATGCAATCAGGTAAGATGTTTTTCTACATTTATATTTATTTTAAAGCGGTTTTTTCCGTTCAAAAAATTAAAATTATGCATAAAAATCTAAGAAAAAGTTAAACTAATTATTATATTATTTTTAAGCTCTTTTTCTAAGTTATAAGAATAATTCCAATAAAGCTGAAGCTCAGAATAAATTACATGCATCTTAATTATATCTTCCTTATTTATTATTTAGTATAGAAATATTTAATTTTTTGACATTATTTAGATGTTATTTTACTTAGTTTAGCCATAACATTCACAAATGCTTATAATTTCATCTTATATTTTTTATTATTATATTGAGGCAAATTAATTATGTCCTAATTCCATTATTAATTTTAAAAAATATTTTATTTTATTAATGAAATACAAATCAATTCACTTAACATTTTTGCTTCTTTTTTTGCTATTAAAAAGTATTTTCGTACAATAAGTTTTCGTTAAAATTTTTTTCAAATTTTGCAATCACCCATTACTACTTAAAAAATATTTAATTATTTTTATGATATAATATAATTTTTACTTAATAATTGACAAAAACTTGAATGTTTTTAAAAACATTCTGTTCTACAGTTGCTTAGCTGCCGAATATCTTGATTTTCGCAAAATATTTTCTTTTCATTTTTAAAGTGGTAACAAATGTATACGTCAGCAAAACTTAAAGTTGATTTAGAATGATTTCGACTATCTCTACACACAAATAATTTAAATAACCTTAAAAAGTCCTTGCAATACTCAAGGACACTGAGCGTTTTGCATAGTTTAGCTTTGCAGCAATCAATCATCCACTGTCGGTGTATCTATGGGTAAAAAATGGAAAAATATTATAAATACTTTCCTTTCGTTGATTGGATTTGAGATTGATTAACTCATCCATTGATTTGATATTTTGGATTAAATATCCAAATTTTTGTACTAGTATATTTTGTGCCACAGTTTTTTTTACGGAAATTATTGAGCGATATCGTGAAATAAAAGGAAGTAAGATAATTGCAATTTAAGAATACAACTGTTTCATAAAAAAATACTGTTTTTCTATTAGCTGCATATTTATCATTAAATGACGCGAATTTTTGTCATAATTTTGTAAGTGGAGAATATATTTTAGTGTTTGATAAAAGCCATTAGTTTTTTTTTTTTTTTGGAACATTTCAATGCGTAGAATCAGCAAAAGAATTGAAAAAAAATACGTATACAATCTTATTTTTTATTTTCATTTAAATTAGGCTAATAAAATTAAATTAAAAGAGTATGACCGTGTACAAAGTTTAAAAATAATTTCCTGCATTTTTGACGGAAAATCAAAATATATTTTTCTATTGATAATACAAATGCATAAATACCTATAAAAATTTAAAATCCAATAATAAGCCAATAAAATGAGATTCATAATAAAACTTATCCTTAATTTTACGCAAGATTTTAAATTTGCGTCACTCATGACTTAAAATATTGCCTACAAAAAGAAGAAAGAAAAAAAAAGAGTGACAGCTGATAGTTCAGGGTTATTAAAAATGTAGTCCTACTCAAACGAATTATGCATTCTCATTTTTAAGCATTTTTGTATCATTGCCTGGTCGTTTAGTTTCTTCTTTTGTTGATTAGAAGAGACCACCCATGTATTGTGATTAACGCTGCGGAAAATTTTAATTTTGGTCTTTTCATATTAGACTTCATAAATCTAATGTTTAGGCCAACAAGTCCACGATTGCCCATATTTTGAGTCATGAAATCAAGCAGCATGCCAATGAAAGTAATCAACATTTATGCAAAAGGGTCATTAAAAATTTCGACGAAAGGGTGCGCATGAGACAGAAAAGCTCGTTGCAATACCCGATTTGTTCTATATTTAACCCTATACTGTATGCTTAATAAATCAATAAGAATTTCGTGATTTTTAATTTAAAAAGCATGTTATTTCTATCAAAATATTTTCTCGTGTGCTTTTTGGGACACCTCTACATCAAAGACAAATTTTCGTTTTTTCCCATTTTTTTATTAATTAATTAAATTACTTTTTTAAAATTTATTTTCAGAGGAATTTTGAGTATTTTGTTCAACACGCTACCACAAACTTATTTGGAACAGTTTAACTTCCAACTTCAAGCATGGCATCACTTTTCAATGCTAAAAAGCAAAGCCATCATCGCATAACTAAATACTTGTGTCCTCATTAACTAACAAAGATTAAAAAAAATCAAAATTGCAGAAAACAATAAAATTTGACATAGTTTGTCTGATTACTATATTTTTTATCAAAATGTGATTGGGAATAATAACAGTAAATAATCGTCCATACCTATTTTGAGAAATTATTTTTTACTTAAAGAAAGAATTTGATATTTTCCTGAAATATAACTGGAAATAATCGATTACCTATAACACCACTCGATTACAAATTTAAAGTTCTTTGTGATTCCAGTAAGCTAAAAGTTTTTCGGTTTTAAGAAGGGGGAAAGAGGGGAACTTGAATGGATGTTATTTTCATGCTTTATTATTTTCTATGCAGGAATAACTTGAACTATGTAACAGAAGAATTGAAGAATCCATATGTGTAAGTATAAACAATACTTAATCTCATTCTAAATATTGTTATGTAAGTTGTATATAAGTTCTATTAGTGATTCTTAAAATAATTTTTTTTTTGGCTATTATATGAAATTTTTTATGATTCTTTTATGAAGTTTTTTATGATTCTTTTATGAAGTTTTTTATGAATATCATAAAAATTATTTATAATATTAATGTATCTTTCATGAAATTTCATATTGCCCTAATTTTTTTTAATTAATAACATTAAGAAATTTTATGAAATTCAAATAAAATTCTATATGAATAGTATAAACAAATATTTTATTAAATTTTACTAAGATCATTTAAGACTTTATATGAATGATATTTATATGAATCGCATATAAAATTTTATTTGAATTTACTGAATTGGTGTATGAAATGTATCGTATACATTTTGCATTGATTACATAAGTTATTTATAAATTATATAATGAATCACACATAAAATTTTGTGTTGATCAAATGAAACTCTATGTGGATAATATATTGATGAAACTTATTTTTAATATCATATCATATTAAACTTGATAAGAACGGTGTTAAGGAAACTTATATGAAACTTTACTAGGAGCAAGATCGTTGAATATTTTTGATATTAAATTATTTAAATTTTGTTGAAATGGCGATTGATTTATTAAGCTTCTTACATTACTCACATTAGTATGGTTTTCATAAAAGATGTATTTTTTAACGTAATTATTCATTTTAGTATACTTATAAAATATGTTTTTTTTTTTCATTTTGCGATTTAATCATGTTTCGTATTTTTATTATAGCATTATTAATAAAACTTTTTTTTAATGTTTCCTTTTTTCTTTTTTGCGTTTTTTATCAATTTGAGCTCAAATGAAAAATAATTTTGTTTCGTTTTTACTACATTGTAGCTCTGAAATAGTTAAGTTAAAATTGAGTTTCAATTCCTAAATTATAAAAATTTATTAAAATACTAACGAATAATTATTGAGTAAAATACTAAGCTATTAAAATGCAAAACATCTATTTTTATTTGAGTTCAAATTATCTATTTAGAATCTATTTTCTTAATTTCATACTTATTTGCTACAAAAATACATTCAAATACAAAACATCTATTTTTATTTGGGTTCAAATTATCTTTTCAGAATCTATTTTCTTGCTTTAATAGTATAAGAAAATTTAAATTTTTTTAACTGAAGTTTTAATACGAAAGATTTACGATACGATATAAAAAAAAGTGTAAGTGAATTACTATTTTAATTAAAATTTAAATTTAGTTATATTTAGCAATAAATTACGATTTATAAAGAATAAACAGCTATTCGAAAATCTCGTAATTTATTTCAGTTCATAATCTGTGCATCATTCTCATTTTTGAAAATTTTAGACTGGAAAGGCATTTGAAATAAGAAATAAAAAGGTAATATTTAATGCTGTTAATTATTAATAATTAATATGACAGTTAAATCACATATTTCTAAAAAAATTATGTTCCCTTAAAATTTTCTTTTTAAAGATTTAAGCATGTTAGTAAATTACGGATCATTAATACTCGTAGTTAATAGTATCAGAATTTAAAAATATTTACATCTAGAAAAATAATCAAAATATATAAAAACATTTTAATTCATTGTTGTATGCTGCAAGGTTTTGTTGCATATCGTAAAAAGAATGATTAATCAAGTAGAAAGCAATGAATTCTTTTAAATTCTATAGTGGTACGTGTTATCAATCTTTTGTTTAAACGTAACATACGAAAATTACCCCCAAATAAGTCAATTGATAGAACTTCTTTTTAACAGAAATATTAAAAACACAAAACAGTAATTATTATAAGTTTATAAGTTATATCCTTTTTATTACCTTGGTCCACATAAGTGAACCTTTGCTTCTTACCTTCTAAAAACAAGCTAAAAACAAGTAAATTTATAGTCTTACTCTCACTGAGACAATCATGGAAGTTAAAGATTTCTAGGGATTTCAATAGATGCAGAACATGTAAGTTATTTGGTTAGAATTAATTCCACATAAACAGAAGTGATTTTGGAAAAATGAAGGTAAACCCAACGTGCTCGAAAACTTAAGTAACTTTAAATATTATTCTGATTTAATTAATCTGAAAATAACTATTTTTCTTTTGATTTAGTAGATCTGTGATGTGTATGAAACTTATACATTTATATCCACAATAATAAAGTCAAGAACAAGCAGTTCTGTCTATTTGTACCTTGGTACATATGGCGGAATTTATGACAGCGTAGTAGTCAAGCGAAATCTCATAGTATTATAAATATTCAATTTCATATCTATTTAGCAATACTTTTTTTTAATCAATTGTTTTATATTAAGGCTCATTCATACATTTAATAACAATTTTTCTAGCAAAAATTAAATATTTTTTTTTATATAAATAATGATAGATTATTTGCTATAATTATTGATTTTGCGTGATTTGCTTAATTAAAATAGTTTTGAAACTGAGAATTAATACTGTATTGCATTGTACTTAGATAAAACTTCATTTTAAAAATAAAAAAAATTCAAAATAATTATTAAATTCATTTATTATATTTAAATAATCCATAATATAACAATATTCATGTTTGCTCCTACTTTAGGCACATTTCAACATTTATAATATTTATATCTTTTACTTAGTTAAAGCTTGAAATCTACGCATGTGTACCTAAAATTATTAGCCCCATGGTCATATAATTCTTATTTTGTTTATTTTATTATGACTTATGACAGTAAAATAGAAATTCGAAACAGTCAAATATTTTTTTTTTGTTGCTATATTCCTTTATACTTCAGTAGTGAAGAGGATATACAACTTAAATTCTTACAATAGAGTTCTTCTCATGACAAAATCTCAAATATATATTATTATTAATCAAGAAGAAATAATTTAAAATATTACCTTTCCTGTGACATCAATTTAAACTCAGTTAATTTTCACTATAACTTATATGAGCAAAAACATACTTCCTACTTGTTTTCAACAAATTTTCCAAATTAAGTAAAACTATTTGGAATCATAAATAACTCTGTTTATAGAAAAAAAAACATTTTTTCAGAGCTTGAATAGAACAGTTTTCAATGTTAAACCGTAGATACAGAAAAAATTCTTCAAGACTTGGCTTGATATGGAACTTTAATACACATTTGTGTTCAAAGTAATGCGTACCACTATGGAAAAACGAGAATTCGTTTATTATATTTTGTTTTCGAACTGATGATTTTATTGTTATTGTAAAATAGTCGATATTGTTTTCTTATGTTATATCTTCCGTTTATAATCTGAATATGAATGTGATTTAAAGGGGCTCCGGGACATTTTTTTAGTATTATTATTAAATTGCATGCAATGTTTCGATTTTTTTAGGCTGTGTACGTATACAAATAGCACTTACAGTACATACAGTACTTATATAAAATAGCTCACAAGTCTTAAATAAGACATTCTTAAAAAAACAATTAAAGTTTAAAAAAGTAATGCTTTAATTTTCGAAACAACTGAGCCAATGAATTATTAAGAAATATTTGCTTATTATTAGTGAATTTGTATTTTACATTTTATCGCTAATAATGTTTAAAAAAAATTACAATATTCTGAAATAAAAATTGCTTATTTTTCAGTTTTATAATTTTCAAAAGCTTTAAAACAAAATAAAAAATTAATTTATGAAATACTTTAAAACAAATAAAAGTAAAATAACTAATAAATAGTACATGATATTTCTTCGTTACATGCAGCTAATTTCAACTGCTTTTGAGATAAATCGCTTTCAAGTAGCAAAACTATAAAGTTTAATAAACTATAAAGTTAAGTAACTATAAGATTAATTAAAAAACAAAAGTCATATTTTGCGTTCTATTTGAGAAAATAAAAACATAATTATTTCACCATTTAGAGAGATTTAATTTCATTTCTTTATCAAGTAATTAAAAGTTTTGAATTTTAAAATTGTTGTGTTCCGGACCCCAATAAGAGAATTTGAATGAATTTTCACAATGTCTTAAATACAATTGAAGGGCTGAGTGGATGGAGTTTCCAAGTGACAAGTTATTGATTTTGAGTGAATTAACTTTGATTAGTGAACTAGTAATTAAGTGAATTAAAGTTTATATATCAACAATAAGAAATACCTTTATTTATTTTTTTGAACTTCCAATACACGAAATCTGTACTAATTTAAACTGGTCGCGTGCGCGTCATAGCGTTTCCAGTCTTGATTCAAATTTGCTTCCAAAAGACAAGTTTTCTAAGATTACCCAATGCCCAAATACATTTTGGACTATTTTTAATACCTGGAACAGACAAAGACTGTCACTTACTAACATCACTCCCAAGTTTGATAACTTAATAAAATAAATTAACATTATACAGTTAAGATAAGTTATATAATTAATATGTTTAATATTTTGTATTGTTAAAGTCTTAATTGTGACTAAATTAAGACTTTTCGATGATAAAGTTCAATTTTTCAAAAATGTACCTAGAACCTTCTTTTACTGAGCTCTTCAATTAACAATCATTTATTTATAAAACATGATACTTCAAAATTAATCCGCATTTATAAAGTTTGATAAACTATATTACTCATGGGCTTAACAACTTTATGGCATTTCGGAAACTAATGAAGCTTGTTAGGCTGAGACATGCATTGATTTGCAAATGTTAAAATTTTCCTAATGTGAAATGGAGACATATTTATAACTTTAATCCTTAACCCCTTTATAAGGTATTGCTATATTTCTTATTAGATTTGTCTCTCTGTGTTGGGAAACATGCATTTCCTGGACATAGAATAGTACTAAAATTGATGTAGGTGTTCGTAAGAAAAAAAGGGTCATGGTTATGTTACATCAACTCACGGTTCTTGATTGACGGATCCGTGAGTAATTTGAAACTGTTGACGGATGTGAACGGTTGGTGGATAAAGAGTGGTAAGAGTATTGTTCTGGATTTGGTATTAACAGCTGTTAGAATACAAAGCAAAGTTCTTAATTGTTTGTAACTATATTAATAAAGTTAATTTCTGTACAAAGAAGTTAATTTGAATTCTATATTGTGAAAAATTTATAATTTAAGTACAATTTGATTTCATTTATAGATATTCAAAGAATTCTCTAAACAATGTCTTTGTCTTGTTTTCTTAAAATTACTTCCAAATTTACAGGGTGTTAAAAAAATTATGGAAACAGTTGGGGGCAACTTTGAAATCTTAAATTAGAATTTCCCTATTTCTTATAGCAGATTCGGATTCTTCAGAAAAAAAAGTTACCCAATTCCATTTATAGGTTTAGGCTTTTTGCTTCACCGATGGACTGTCACCAACAAAAATTTAAATGGGTTATAAGCTGTTTAAAAATGCGATATCTCAATCAGATTGAAAAAAAAATAATGAAACTAAGAATGCTTTTTTATACAGTTTGTAACCTATTTAAATTTTTCTCTATTATAGCACCATCTGAAGAAAAATGCGTATAAATCCAATAGGGTTACTTTTTTTCGGAAAAACCGAACTTAAAAAAAAAAAAATTGTAAAATAAGGGTTCATACTTAAGATTTCAAAGCTACACCCACCTCTTCCAGGGATTGGAGTGAAAAATCGAATTTAGTATCATTGAATAGTGTTTCGAAATTATTGAATGCATCTACTTTCATTTTTTCTATTCAATGCATATATCTTGAGACATTTGACCCTTTCCATGTTTTTTTTACACCCTGTATAAAGGTCACAATAGAAATAGCCAGACCTTAAAAAATAATAACAACAATAAATCCATATGGTTGAAGTTAAATTTAAGGACAGATAAAACTTATTATCAAAAATCTTTGCCCTATCAATTTTAGTTCGATTCTTCCTAGATACTCTCATTTAGTATATGATTTCTATAGTGTGACCTGACTAAAAATACGCCATTAATACTATTTTCTAAAAAGCAACAAATATTTCTACATATTGTAACAACTCCGCTGTTTGAAGTCTTTAAATTTATAGCATTCAATCATGTAAAAAGCAATTGCTAACATTTTGACAAATGTGTTTGACCTCTATAAAAGTTATTGAAAATCTATTGATAATTTAAAATATAATCATAAAACTGCCAATGAAACTCAACATTTTGACAGATGTATTTGACCTCTAGAAAAATCTATTATTAATTTCCTTAATTAATGGTATTAATTGATGCCAGCGAAAACAAATATTGCTCAAACTAAGACAAATGTTTTTGATCCTCATTAGACAAATTAACAATGAATGAAACAAAGTTTAGCGTATAATGTCTTCTATTCTATTTCACCAACTCTGATATCTGTATTTTAGAACATAATATCTGTATTTTAGAAACTAACAACATAAATGTAATTCCGTTGCACTCTGAATCATGTTTAAAACTCATTTATATCAACAAAAAATATTTCTCTTCTGCTATTATAGACATAGCATTACACAGATTGTAATTTATTTTGACAATAATCTAACATAATTAAAAAAATTTATTCATTGACTATATTGAAATCGTGTATATGCACTCTCAGAAAAATCGGTTTAGCGTTGAATCATACAATCGCTGCCTTTAAAAAAATATGGTGCAAACTACAGCAATTTCATAAAGTTCTTAAATTGAATCAAGTCTTTATCCAATTGAACAATATTATCGTTCAATAAACTTTAAGGAATATGATATTTTGTTGAACTTAGCGCGATATTAAAGTAGCAGTAAATGCAAGTGATACTGTGAGGAGAAATACAAATCTGGTAAAATTAACACACTGTATGGTAATGACATTTCTGGTTTAAAAAAAATATACATGTATAATTTTGTTTAAGAAAAACCTAAAATATACTATAGTTAAATCATTTTTAGGTAACTTTTCCGCTGATACAATAAGGGTTTACCGAAAATTGTTATTTTCAAAATTATAGTTTTCATTACCACACATTTATTAAAAATATAAAACTGAAAAGTTAATTTAACTGAATGAATGGTTTCTATGCCATGTTCTAAGGTATCTTGATAAAAAAAAAAACTGAATTTTATCACTTATTATAAAACTATATTTTGTTGTTAATTTTACCAAAATCATTACCAAAGAGTTTCGGTAAAAATTAGCTGACTATTTGGTCTTCCCATAGAGTCCGAAATACCGTAAATTTTATCATATTTTAATAATATATTCTTGTAATTAACTATCATTATAATATATATATTCTTATAATATATTCTTGTAATTAACTATCATCAACCATACATTGTCCACAACTTTTTTTTGTCAGTGTATTATTCAACACGCTTCAAAATGTATAACTGTATATAATTAACACTCTAAAATCTTTTACTTTAAACAAATTTAAATTTTTGGAGAATTTCAAGAAAAATTAAACATGAAAAATTAAACTTAAAAAAAATTCCAGGATATTTAAAATTATCTATATTTTTGTAAATTTGTGTCCTACATCATACACTTAAACCAATAAATTTTCGATTTAGAAATTTATACATTTTTAAATATTTGTGTTGATAGTTAAATTTTTTAATTATCCAAACTCATATTTTAGCGAGTAAATCCAATACTTAAGTTAGAATGATAAATATTTAACTTAAATAGTGAAATTCGTTATAAAGTTACATATTACAAAGCAAAAGAATTTCACACTTTAAAGTTTAATTTTAAAATAATTCATGAACTTGAAAGAATTTATGTCATAAGATCTCTTTTAAAAAAAATCATTTCTTCTTTTAAGCGCTTTAAACAAGCTTATCTCTTTTAGGAATTTGCCCCTTGCTATAGCGATTGGAATACCATTAGTTACCTTATGTTACGTACTGGTGAACGTGTCCTACATCACTGTCATGTCTACGGCCGAACTTCTAGCGTCCGAAGCAGTCGCAGTGGTTAGTAAATTTATTCTGTACTTTGTACATTTTGAAATAAAACTCAGAGCTTATAAATGTGTCTATACTTTATAATTAGCATAAAAACCATCGGCCCATATAGCGGGTATGCGACTTTTAATATTTATTTCAATTACTTGTAATTTGCATTACAAGGTCAAGTGACACATTAGCCGTTTATGCTTATAAAATTTAAATAGGCTACCAATACTTTCTAAACAGATATTTATTAGTAAATAAACCTTGCAAATGTTTAGAAAAAAATTTCAAGTCAAAGAAATACAGTTTAATAATTCTAAATAATTATTTTATCTAAGATTATTTTATTTATTTTCTTAAAGTAGTAAATGCGTGCCATTTTAGCACCAGTAGTTTCGCTAAAGGTTGAACTACAGCTTTCGTTTAAAATAAAAAATTTACTATAGTGTTAAAATGTTATTATTTAATTTGTTGAATTTCCAGTAATTACAAAACATTGTAAAGAGGGCATGCGGCTTTTTTTTTCAAATCTTAATAGATTTTGTAAAAAAAAATTTCCGTAAGAAAGCTTTGTATCATAGTTATCCGCATATCAAAAAAAAAAAAATAATAATATAAAAAATAAATTTGCAATATGTTTAGCTTTAGGTTGAATAATTTCATTACGTAGTGATTGAGTATGTATATTTTTCCTTGTTTATTTCTTATATTTTTATCATTATAATTAACCAACTTGTTTTACTAACTACAGTTGCATTAATTGCTTACCACACTCGAAAAAAATGTTTCATTCTTAAATTCTTAATTGTTGGCTTGGAGCAATATAATGAAAGATATAAACCACATTTTATCCAATTGTGGCAGTGCTTCTTATTGTTGTTTCCTGTATTTTACAAGTTTACGGAATTTTTACTTGATAGCAGAATGCGAGCAGTGATGGCACAGTTAATAACGCACAGAATTGTCATTGCAGGATTCTATTCTCTGAGGTGGCTTCGAGCACACATAGCTTCAACGTGGGTACTAGCTTGCCTTGGAAGTAAGGGCGTCAGCTGCGCAATGCTGACCACATTGCAAACATCATTCCGAAATTATAGATCTTTAATTTCCATCACCAGCCAAAATATTGGCTATTGAGGAGTGTTTTTTTTCTTTTTTGTTAAAAGCAGAATACACAGAAACTTGTTACTGTCTTAATAAAATCCATGATGTTTTACACAAAATATGCTCTTAAAAACATTTGATCATTGTATTGCCTTTGACTGATTATTATATTGCCTCAATCTCTTGAATTTATAATTGATTGCTAATTCATAATTATGAAACAAAGCTATTGATAGATTTACATTTCTCTATTTCTATAGACATGGGCTCATCGAGTTTTGGGAGTTATGTACTTTATCATGCCGATTTCAGTAGCATTGAGTTCATTTGGTGCTGGTAATGGTTCATGCTTTACAGGAGGACGGTAAGGATATTTAAAACTTATTTAGGTGATGACTGTTGCCCCAAATGGCTATTCATTAATTGATTTATGCAAATCACCAATTTTTACATTTATCTTAAAACTAGAAGTTATTACAAAGAGAAATAATTTAAAAATTATTTTTTTATAGTAATTTTGGCTCAAAGCAATTATCTTACGAAAATTCAACATCTATTTTAATTTTCATCCAATATCTAATTAGCAGAGTGCTCCGTAACTACAGCCCTTAATCTATAATTTTCCAATTGTTGCCTATAGGAGTCATAAGTTAATATTTAAGTCTCATTATGACCATCTGATATCATAAGTCGCAGTGTTTTCGAATTTCTAAGATTTCCATAACTTTTACTACCAGTATTTGGCTTCTTTGCCTAATACTGGGCTTGCATGGTCATCACGTCAAAAAAATCCATGTCTGTGCACATCATTTGGCAATAAATTCATTTGGAATAAATAAATTTTAATTTTTAAGGTCCAACATTAGTTGGAAAAAAAGCTTTTTCTCCAAGTTTTTGAAATTTAAAAAACGTGAAAAAATTTATCGAAATATTTCTGCTTAAATGGTTTTTTAACTAAATCATGCGAAACTTTAGATGAAGTGTCTAACAATGAATTAAAAAACAAAAAAAATCCAGAGTTTTTTTTTTTTTAAATCATTTTCGTTTTAGTAGCTAAAGTTCATTTCAAAACACTAATGAACAGGCGAAAAGGGTTATGTGGACAGGGAATCAATTTTTATTCTTTTATGGGAGTACGCTTAACTAAAACACTAAATCTGTTCTATTTATAAAATTTTACAATTTAATAATTTTATTCATATTTTAAATAGGCTGTGCTATGTAGCAGCTCGTGAAGGTCATCTTGTAGATATACTCTCATTCCTACATATTCGTCGTCATACTCCATCTCCAGCTCTTATTTTCAACGTAAGTTGATAATAATCAATAAATAGTAACGAAACATTATTTATTTATTTATTTCACTCTAGCTCTGTATTTTCTTTTATCTTTTCTTATACAGGCTGTATTGGCTTTGTTAATGATCATTCCTGGAGATATTGGAAGTTTAATAGACTTCTTCAGTTTTACAGCGTGGCTTTTTTACGGATTAACGTTCCTGGCACTAATCGTCATGCGACACACTAAAAAAGATTTGCGAAGACCTTACAAAGTGAGTACAGTGTAAAGAAAATTATTAAAGAAATTAAAAATTAAACGCTGTGAGTAAACAGTAAAGTACATCAGTAATTTTTTTTAATAATTTTAAAAAGTAAGCAGTTATTTTCGGTACATACTTCATAGAGCTTGCAAGATCTAAAATTTTTTTTAAGGGTTTGCAATTTACGAGAGAATAAAATTATATATTGCACTTAATATCTGTTAACCCTTTTTATAACTCATACATTTACATTTTTTCAGGTACCAATAGTTATTGCGTACATTGTGCTCTTGGTTTCTATATATTTGGTAGTAGCCCCAATAATCGAAGATCCTCAAATTGAATATTTATATGCCTCAGTTTTTATTCTTTCTGGCCTTTTTGTATACATTCCCTTTGTTTATTACAAACTGAAACTGAACATAATGGGTAAGAAAGAATTTCTTTATTTTTTATTTTATAATTAAGTTATTGTAATACCTACAAATTGCTAAAAACGTATAATAAAACCATTCAATTTAATTGAAGTACTTGAAAATTTATTATATGTGGTAAAATTTGGTAATTTTATCATGATACCATAGAACACGGTATAAAAACCATTTATTCGGTTAAATATACTTTTCAGTTTTATATTTTTACTAAAAACGTCTGGTGATAAGAACTATAATTTTAAAAACAAGAATTTCTGGTAAACCGTTAATATATAGAATTGAAACCATTACCATATGAATAGCTTAAATACCGTATATTTATTACCAAAATTATAGTTTTCTTTTACCAGAAATTCTTTTTCTGGTAAAATTTTTTTCTCCGTTTAATCTCATTTTAATTATTTGACAGAAATATCAAATCTAATAACTTTTGTCATCATTTAAATCTATAAAACAAAGCATTGTGTATATTTGGCTATTGATATACCATTCTTAGACATTGCATACAATGTTTAATCATTCCATAGAACCGGCAAAGTGTAAACGGATTGAACATTTTACACATTGCATATTGGACATTGTATATAAGGGCAAATGACAAACCGGTATCAAATAGGATTATTATAATAACTTTGAATTTATTTCAAACTTTTAGATTTAAATTTAATTAATTTTTAATTAACTTATAAACTTAATTATTTTTTAATTAACTTTTAATTAATTAATTAAACTATTGACAAAATTTTATTTTTTATAAAATCATAATTATAATAGTTAGGTTTTGTTCGTAATGTCTAGTTCAGGGTTAAATGCGCAAACTATACTAATTTTTATTCTATCATGCATAACGAAAGCATTTTTGTAAAACAGCATCATTTATTAATCTATTATTTTGTTCTTCTCGTGTTTTATACCATTTCCATTGGTTTATTTATTTAGCAATTTTTAAAGAATAATCGAGAAACCCTCCTAGTTTATTACATTTTAATCAAGCTTTATAAGCAATGAGATATATTACAGTTTATAAAAATACTCATTTTACACTTTTTACTTATGAAAAAATTAAAATTTTGAAAATGAAGTGCATTGTAACATTAAAAAAATACAGATCACGATAATTAAAAATTGAAAAAATCTATAGCTCATTAAAAAAATCATTAATAATTAAAATTCTGTCGAAATCAATAGATTTGATAATATTTTTGAAGTATGTAGTGTAATCAATTTAGGTATCATTTTCATTAAATAAATTGTTGCAAATGATAATTTAAATAAATAATATAAAATTCATAAATAAGTATAATAAATAAGTTATTAATTATTATATGTAGTAATATATATAATAATAAGTTATACGTTAAGATAAGTTGATTCAATTCAATACGAACCATTTATAGCAAATAATATAATAAAAAGAACAAATTAAAATTATTTACATGACAAGATTTAACTTAAAACGCTTATTTAGTTGCCAAAATATTGAGATTAATATTTTAATTTTACTTTTTTGAATAAAATAACTATATTTATACGATTAGTAAGATGATTTAATTCAATATGATCCGTTTGCTACATATAATTGAATTAAAAGAACAATTTAAAATTACTTACATGACAAGATTTCACTTAAAACACTTATTTAGTTTCCAAAATATTGTAATTAATAATTTAATGTTACTTTTTTGAATAAAATAACTATAATATTCATACGATTGGTAAGATCATTCAGTATGAAACGTTTATTACATATAATTAAATTAAAAGAACAGTTTAAAATTACTTACATGCAAAGATTTCATTTGGAACATTTATTCAGTTATTATATTGTAAAGAATAATATTTACTTTCTTGTATAAAATAAATATAGTATTTTTATTTTTACCATTGCAGGAAATATAACTATCTTCTTCCAGTTGCTACTTGAAGTAGCTCCAACAAAATATATGCCTGACTGATATTTCCAATGATGTCTAATCAAATAAGAATAATTTCAATAAAAGTGGCTGAGGAAGTTATTTTTGTTGTTGCCACTCATAATGATTCAAAGTGATATATTCCACATGGACTGGTGATATTAAATTTAAAAGGAAAAAAAATGAAAATAAAGTAGAAAAAAATTTAAAAATCAAAGCATATAATTCATAGTTACTGTATCATCGAAATTGCTTTTCGTCTTATATTTTCATTATTCCATTAAAGCTCAACATGCATTCGAAATGTACTATTTTACCGGTGCTCTTCCATAAACATCATAGAATCTGCAGACGATTTGGGAAGAATTCGGCTGAACGGAAAAAAAATCGTTTTCAACCGAACTGTCTTCCTTCCTGTGATGGCAGAAATTTTTAAATTTTAAATATTCGTACTTTCTTAACATTATCATTTTGCATAAGAGTAATAATAACAAGTTTAAAGTTTGCAGTGCAATGTGTGTTTTCTATACTTCATGATAATATTACAGAGACAATCAACATTATCCCACTCACTTAAAACTAAATCATTTAAGTTCATGTATCAATTCTTCTTTTGATGGCTTTTACGTCGTTTTCTTTATTATTATTCTTAAACTTAACTAAACAACAAACGAGAGAAATAGTCTCTGTAATATTATCAATACGCTATTTAACGTTGTTGTTTTAGTGGTTGGATATTATTTTTATATTCAAAATATAATCAATCTTTGAGAGAAAGTTTAAAAGACTATCTCATATAATTTGCTGCTGGGTACCTTTTCGTTAGCCGGGTATAAGCAATAAATTAAGTTCGTTTCAAAGTATCTTTACGCTATTGTCTTCAAACTTTCAAAATCCCAAATGTATCTTGATTTAATTAATTTTAATCCGAAAAAATAAATAGATAATAAAAATCAGGAAAAGCTTCCTGGAAATCCGCCATTAAAATAATCGTTTTTTAGAACATTTTTCTCCTTTGTATATAAACTATTATTTTGGAAATAAAATAAGAACATAAAACACTTTTTAGGCTGCAAATTGAAATAGAACAATACTAGAATAATGAAGTATAAAACTTGGAATCTTACTTCATATTTCATAAAGAATATATGAATTCAATGCTTTGAACGTCATAAAGAAATAAATTGCTGCCCTTTTGGCGAAAAAAGTATCGTTAGCTGTTAAGATAGCTTCTATTAAACAAAAATTGACATTATTCTTAATGACAGAAAGTTATTATGTGGCAAAGAAATTTATTATGTTTGTTGCATTGTTTTTCATCATTGTCGCTGATCAAATAAAATGTGTTTTTATAAATATATTTCGTGAGCAATACCATTAAATGCGCGAAACTATCATGATAATTTTTCACTTTTTTATATTAACTCATGTATTTTTATAAGTTAGAAATATTTATAGATTTTATAACAATTTCTTTGCCACAAAATAACAACTATGCTATTTAGACAAGTTCCCGATTTTACAATTAAATTATTGCTTGAAGCTTATTTTTTATTTAAAAATTTTCATAAAGTTATAGGAAGATATAAATAAAAATGAAAAATATCAATAATTATTGTTATTATTATTTTTTAATAAATTATTTAAAAAATAGCTTTGACATATTTCGCACTCAAAGCTTTCCCTGAACAGAAAGAACATCCTTTATGGAAAGTTGTAATAAAAGTTCTAAAATAGGCTGACAGATTCAATTTAAAAATCTTCGAAGCCTGCTAAAGCGAGAGAAAAGTTTTTAACTACAATACAAAGTGAACATTGTGGCAATTTCCAAGCCCTGTAGGCATTTAAACATTTTAATTGAATATTTTGTTCTACTGAGAAGAAAAAAATACGACTTAGAGGATTTTATTTGACTTATAATAACAGAATTTTTGGTGTGAACATTTTCTTCGACTTTCTTTTAACATTGAGCATTTAATTTTCCAACACAAGACAAAATGTCGATATAATTTGCAAAATAAGCATCCTTAAAAAGCTTAGTTGGTCTAAGTTTTTTTTATTTAATAATTCAAAAAAATGATTATTTGTCAAACAAGATTTAAAACTAAATTGATCTAAATCTAATTTTTTTTTAGTATGGATTATCTTTAAAATAGTTCGAAAAAATTCGACTGTATCAGTTCTCTCCATAAAAGCCAGATATATTCGCAACCTCTGAAGATTGACTTTCAGAGCTACAAAAATACTCTCTCAAGGATTGAAATATTTTAAAGATAAGCTATAAAAATAGATAAATGCAATACTTGTAATGACATATTCGTGTGATGAAGATTTTTAACGTTTTTCAGAGTTTCTGAAATAAAAAATTGCACTCTTTCTCCCAATCAGTAAAAAAAATCATTTTTACCATTAAATCATGAGAAAGTTCGTTCTGGAAGATTATGCATTTTCTGAATTTTTCTTCGTTATTCTCAAAACAATTCCATTGTCATGGGATGAAATTTATTAAGTCATAACTTTGACAATGACTTCATACTTTTTCTCTGCAAACAAAAGTACTTAGCAAACAAAATTCTTTTATTGAGAACATTTTCATTTCTTTGTATTTATTTCTAACTTATAAGGGAGGTACCAAATTGTCACACACAGATCAAGGTGAATTTTTTATACATTTTGTTTGTTTGCACGTTTTGTTTTAATACACGCAGACAATTTTGTCTGTTTCGTTTTTGTTATGGAGATATAAATTACTGAAAATGTAATTCAGGCGAAAAAAGTTGTCAAGAATCGCAGATATTTAGCAAAAGGCTATAAGAGAAAGAATCATTTCAAAGATACAAAGAAGATGATAAATTTTTAGCAATTTCTTGAATATTTATCTAAAAAAATTATGCAGTAAACTTGAAATTTGTTATTTAATTTTATTAAATTAAATTTTTATTTAAAATTTTAGACTTTTAAACGCAAATATTAAAGTTTTGATTCAGAAGAAAGTCATAAATTAAAACCATTTACAATTAACAATGCTTTTCGCATGCGGGACGAATAGAAATTAGTGATGTATTTCAAGGTGAAAATGGTAATTTTTGATAATTTAATAATTATTTCGAAACAGACAAAATAAGTTGAAGGTCAAGGGGGGAGAACGGTTTGCGTCCATGAAAGCTAATTCTGAGAAAAAACATCAGAAGCGCACGAACAATAACTGTTTTTCCGTAGCCTATCTTGTCTGTATTACAACTCTGGGAAGAACCGATTATGTACGTTATTGATTTGTCATAACTTATAATCCTCACAAGCAACAAATAGTGATCAAATCGTCCTTTTTTTGAGAAAAATGGACATAAATCATTCACCCCCCTTATCTTCAATTGTATGTATTTTAATCTATTGTATGTATCTTTAATTGTATGAATCAATTGTTCATAACCTATAAAATTCTTTGTAAAACTGTCCGGTTTGCGAGTACTTTCCTTACTAGAAGTTAATTACTTATTTATAAAATTCATAATTTAAAATTTTATTTATTTCAAATGATACACATTTCTTACATAATATTTAGTTTATTAACATTTATTTCATAATTAACAAATTTACATTTAACCAATTAAAAGCTAATTTTTTAAAGATCCAATTTAAAGCTTTTATTTCAAGAATTGCAAAAATTTCCATAGCCGTTTTTTCCCCCATTCAATATTAATCATTGACATTAAAAAAAAATCTTTATCATTAGAATATTGTGTTCAGCACTCGAATTCAATGGTAAAATGTTGTTAAACATCTATCTTTATCTATGCTATACTATGTAAAATAAATTGTATTATAGCTCAGTGTGAAATATAAAATTTATCCAAATGTAAGTTTCTAATTGTTATCGTTGAGAAAATTCTATATAAAAATGTTGTCGTAATAGTGGCACAGTTGGACCAGTCGATTCTTTGTACAACACTAATGTATGTACTTTTTAATGCAGTCATCAGCTCAAATTTAATTATCTTTTGTGTTAATTAGTTACATTTCAATTATTTTATACTTTTCTAGTCATTTGTATTAATCAGGTTTCTCGAAATATGGCCTGTCGTTATGAGCCTAAATGTTAGAAATTTTGCAGTGCGTTGAATCATATCGTGCAAATTTGCTATAACCTTAATATGGTCTCTAATTGTAATAATATATTCCAAGTTTGATGTGCTCTTAATATGGTCTATAGTTGAACCATATTATCATGCTTTTTGAACCTTATTACACTATTCTGTGGTTCAACTAAAACATGGTTCAATTTGATGCCTTATTAGTAAGGCCCGGATTTTGATGACATTTGCATTATTTTGCATTTTTGGACATTTTTTTGTCTTTAGAGCATTTTTTTAGATTTATAGGGCATTTTTCTTTAAATTTTGGGGCGTATTTTGCATTTTAAAGCATTTTTTAAGTTTTTTCTTAATCTTTTCCAATTTTAATTATTTTTTTGCCAATTTTTATTATTACACTGACTTCCAAACAATGAAGAAAATCTCTGGGATATTAACAGGTGAAGCAACATTTTTTCAAATTGAAGAAGAATTGTCAGGAAGTGAGTGTCAGTTTCAAGTACGCACCAATAATATCAGTAGACGCTGAAAGAAGCTTCTCCAGGTATAAAAATTTACTTTCAGACAAGAGACGCTCGCTTACATTTCAAAATATCAACAAAAAAAATGTAATAATCCAATGTAATTCTGATATTTAGTATTATTGTGAGATGGAAGTTTTGGTATTCATTAAAGTTTCTATACAAAATGAAAATGTTTTGGGGTCAATATATTTTTCTTTTTTTTATTTTGTTATTTTGGAATATAAAACATATTTTTCAAACTTTAATGAACGTAGAACAATTATTGCATTGCTTTATATTTCTTGAAATGATTCATAATAATTTTAAAGAGTAAAACATTGTTTTAGTTCAATATTTTTACTTTATTTAAGTCATGTCATAAGGCATTTTTAGCGAAATTTTCGCATTTTTAAGGGCATTTTTGCATTTTTTTGCACTTTTTAGGGGCATTTTTTGCACTTTTTAAGGGCATTAGTTGAGATTTTTTACGTCATTAAAATCTGGGCTCTACTTATTAGGGTTGCAATAATTTAGCACGATATAATTGTTCGATGCTGAATTGTGAGTTAAATGTTCCACATAAAATTAAAAAAATATAAAACACGTTTTTGTTTTTAAAAATGTATTATGATTACATATATGTGTATGTGTAGAATTAACATTTTTCTGTCATTTTCATTAAACAAGACAGTTTTTAATTAAAAAGAATGTGTATTGCGAACAGCTTTTTGATGCTGCTACATTTCTTAAAGTTAATGTTTCTAAAATGTCACTTAAAACCACCTTATTCTACCAAATAGGAATGAATAAACGATTTTTAATTCGACGTACACACAGGGGTGTAGAGAACTTGGCAAGATAAACTCTTCGTTAGATGCCCAGAAAAACTATCGTATATTTTATTTTTCCTCTTTAGAAAAAAATTAAAACTCTATTTGTATTTTTGATTTACGAAAGTTAAGGATAAATTATTTTAAAATAAAAAAAATATGTTATTTCCAAAAAAATAAGCTTATTTTTTTTCTTAAAGAATAATTAAATTATAATGATCTAAGACTTCATGATTTATTACATTTAAAAAAACCATAAAATTTTATTCTTCTCAAAATAATTCACTTGAGCCAAATATTAAGTGATAAAATATTTAATTTCTTGATAAAAATTGTAATACATTTAAAGTTATGTGGCTCCTTTGGCCCTAGATGTCTGGTGTTGTAGCCCCCCACCCTCTGTATGACAGATATTTTTCTTTTTTTTTCATTTAAAAAAATTCCATTTACTTAATGAAATGAAACATGAATATTAAAACTATTATCCGCTTTGATATTAGCCTCAATATATTATAATAAATATATATATTTTTGAATAAATTTTAGGAAATATATACTTAAACTGGCTTAGTTTCAAGTAATATTTCAGATTGAGATTCAGATTTTAATGCTATTTAAAATAAGTAAATAGGGCTCTTATGAATTCTATAAAATATAAAGCACAATAATTTGCATTTAAAACTCAGAATAAATATTGCTATTACAAACCACACAAAATTATATATTTTGTATTTATCAAAATAAAAATTCAACAACTCAGTAAATTAATCAAAATTAAAATGTTTTTATGTCAACTGCAGATTCATTTAAAGAAACTTTACAAATTAAAAATTACCATAGTAAGCAAAAATACAGCAAATTATAGACACATTTTATTAGAAAATATAAAAATATTACAAAAATACAAAACATAATTCTTTTAATAATTTATTTAAAGAGTTATCTATAGAAATAAGTAATATCGTCATTTTGGAAAACAACACACAGCTTTTTTTTTTTTTTTAATAAAACAAAACTTCTTGTTGCAATAACATCTATCAGTAAATATTTATAAATGTCTGTAGCTGACTGTGCCACTGATTAAAAAAAAATATGTTGTATAATTTTTTGTAGAAAATTATTATTTTTCGCAGCTGGATATATTGTATAAATACATGGTTGATTCTTTCTGATGTTTAAAAAAAACTATAAGAAATTTTCAAATAAAATGCATTGTAAAAATACTGCTTATTATTTATTTTTTTGATAAAACTGAATATTCTAGTACAGCGTAAACTGAATTAAGAGATTTGTTTCTGAACCAAGTACAAAGAAATTTTAATATTTTAGCGCCATAACAAATTAAGATATTTGTGAAACTACGTAAAAATAATTCTCAAATGTTCTTCTCAGGATACAAAGCGTCGATATAATGACTGGTACATAGATCTTAAGACTATTTTTTATTTTATTAGACATAAAATCGAGGACATAACCACGTGAGAGTTGACGGGGCAGACAGTGGATGTGTCCTAAACAAAGCATTTTATGGCGTCTTTAAAATATTCTCTTTCTGTGAGGAAAATGGCTAGGCTAAATTTATGAAAAAAAGTTTGTATGATTTTTCTTCTTTTTATTCCGGACAACAACAGCTCAACATTAATAAACGTTTTCTTTTTCAAATTTAATTTCCAAATTTTAAAAAGTTCTGAAGCACGGAATTTCGTTCTAATAGATCCCGTTAAAATAATATTGTATTGCCTATCTCTATGATTTTGATTTCGATTAATATAACATCGATTAATATGTTTATATGATCCGATTATAAGTTTCTATAAATTATAATTCTATCAATAGATAAAAAAAAAATTTCTTTTTACACACACCATGTGGTCTTCAAAATTTCTTTTTTTTTTTTGTTTTGTTGAGAGGATCACGTTACAATGAGAAAAGTGAATGTTTCCATTCGAAAATTACAAATTTTTTTAACAGTTACAGAACAAATTAATTTAAATAATATTTTAAAAAATTCCACAAGTAATGGAAACAATACAAAAGTGAGATTCAATTGCACCTTACAACTCAAGTAATAGCACAACAAACATAGATATTAGCACTTATTGTAATTGTAGTCTCACTTCTTTCTCTCTTTTTTACCTTGTGCAATATGCATCATTTAATAAATATATATTCAATAAATATTCAAAAGAGAAATATCTTTCTTTGCTAACATTCTGTTTTGATATAGCTGCTGTATAAGCACACGTTTTCCATAAAAGGAAAACATATTTGATAACAACAAAGAAATAATAACAAATTGCACTTCGAAATAAAACTAGAGGAAAAAAATTTTAACACAAAATATACAATAACAAGTGAAGTTAATCATGTAATATCGCACATATTAATATATTTTAAGCTATAAGAACTTAAATGACAGCGCATACTAAATGATACAATGATAATGCTGGCAAAAAAGTTGAAAATTAACTTAACAAATATAAAATAAAATTAAGCAAACATTAAGAAATTTCAAAAATTTTGAACTATGCATCGATCTAATATTTAGCAACTTTTTAATATTGTGTAGTCACATTTCTATAGATCTTCTTCTTAGGCACTACAGCCGGTTACCGGCCAAGACCGTCTATCAGCTCAACCTATTCTACAGATCACTGACGGATATTCAAAAGCAATTAGCAGAAATAAATTTTTAAATTTCAGTATTAACTGTTAAAAATTTTTGAAAACGATTTTTGGCAATTTTCTGTGCATTTTTAAAATCTGAACACACATTTCAATGTCTTTAACCTGCTTTTTGAAAGTAAATAAGAGTATGGTAATTGATTGACATTTACGCAACCTATTTAGATATAAAACTGCTATACTAATTCCTAATAATAATCACACAAAAAATAAAAATTTGGCACTTTTAATTCTTTTTCTAAATAGTTTTATCTAAAATTTGTTTATATATGTTTGGTAGACTTAAACAATACGGATGCTGTTAGTATGCTAGTCTGGTCATGAGTAGGTTGAGAGTTAAAATACACAAGTTTTAAAATTATTTTAACAGAAAGCAAACTAAGAATCTTCAAAAGAAGCAAAATTAATTAATTAAAATAACTAACATTATGTATTCCTATTAAAAAAAAATTGTGTAATACATTAAGTTTGAAAAATAATAAAGAATTAATAAACAAATCACCCATAAATCAGTGAATGCATTTTCAATCTAAAACATTTTTAAAAGAAATAAATACTTTTTTTTTTTAAATTCTACTCAAAAAATTTAAAACATGCCATTAAAGGAGTGGCAGATCAATTTTTAATTCTTTGTAACCAATTTCCTATAAATTGAATTTGACTTTTCATCTACTAAATTATTTTGAAACTTTTCGATTTTAACTTTCAATTTACTGTGGATAGATCAATAGCAGAATTTATGTTTTCAGTTTACAAATAATGCATAAAAAAACATAATAATTTCTTTCTGACACTGCCTTTTTAAAAATTTATAGACATCAGTCAGTTTAAACACTAAGCATCAAATAATAAAACTGAAATAATACGTAAATGAAAGATTTATATGCTTAGGCTACTGTTTTTAGGTAAAGTGACAGTACTTTAAGTATTTGAAAAACAATAAAATAAAAGCAAATTGAAATTTATACAATTGATTATAAAATTTTAATTATCATTCTCAAATAAACAAGCAACAAAAATTTTATTCATTATGTTTAGGACTACTATTTATTATGTTTAGGACTACTATTTATTATGTTTAGGACTTTATTTACTATGTTTAGGAATTATTATGTGGAAAAATCTAGCTCAAAGTCGCCCGGCAGCTAATTGAGAAAGCCTTGGCTTGCACTAGGCTGCAGTGCTGATGAAGAAGAAAGACTACATGGTCACTTAAATATATTTTCTTCGCATTATGTAGTCCTCTTATGTAAATACTCATTGAATTCACATCTTAAATGACAGAATTAACTTAAATAGTTTTGAATATATGGTTACCATGGTTAATTATACAAGATCAACATTCATTCAATGTTACTTGCTACCAAAATACCAATAAATATTGACGTCATAAATGACATCATTAAAAAAAACAATAATGGTTGTTAACACCATTGTTATAATTTACAAAGAACTTTCTCAATGAAGGCTACATAAAATGAGGAAATGTTGGGCAGTGTTGGGTGATATTTGAAGACAAAAATATTAATAATAATTAACAAAATTCTAGTTTCATACGTTCCTTATGAAAACAATTTAGAACTTAGCAGAACTCCATATTATATGAAATATTCTTCAGAACTACTTTTTCTCTTGATATATCATAATGCAGGAGAAACTTTTTGTAGCAAATTCTGTCTCAGCTCAATTGGTATTTTTTTAAAAATGTAAAGTTAAGAGAAAAATGAATTCAGGTAAACCTAAAATAAAATATCAAAATGTGCTTAACTTATTGCAAGATTACTTTCTCACTGCATAATCGTATCATGTAATATATATATATTTTTTTTTGCATTTAAATATTTCAGAAAAAAAATTCAGCATTTAATTGATTTAGTCTAGGTTTACCTGAAAAACATGATTTATTCTAGGTTTACCTGAAGTCACTCTTATTGTGCTTTAAATTTTAAATTAATTACACAAGTGAAAGAACATTTGCATTAAGGCTTTCTCCCGCAGTAAGACGTCCTCATATAAATCTCACATCTAGAAAATTTTGCGTCATTTCTTTTTCATTCATAGAATAAAAATTCTCCCACTTTATTCAAATAAAAATTGTTTAAGGAAAACGTATACAAAATGTTCTATGAAATATCTTAACATTAAAACTTTTATCCAAAATTTTATTGCACACCAAAAGTATACAGTTTTCATTCAAAAATACTATTCTGCTGTTACAGTTATTGCACAACATTAAATAAACTATCAGAAAGTACAAAAAAAAATAAATAACCTGCGTTAAATAAAAAAAAAATCTGAATTCAACAAACATTAAATCAATGAAACAGGAAAGACTTTACATTTCACACTTAACTAAAAAAATATTTGTGTAAATAAAGTTCGAACAAATTTTTATCTGATGAAATATGTTACACAAAAACAGTGAAATGAAAAACAGTACTTTTTGAAAATCACTTAAATGCATTACTTCTCAGATAAATTAACTTTGTAAATGAGGAAACATGGAACACATCAGGGTAATTTTGAAAAAATGTAATAATGCCACCTGGATACTTTGACTTAAAATAATGTTGAACTTCTTGGGATGCAATTTTCAATTTCTCATAAAGGAATGACGGGACCACACCATTATTAGAAACCAATATTATAATAAAAAATTTTAATGTTCTTAGTTCCAAAACAGGAGAATGGACAGATTCCAATTTATCAACATTAGTGTGATCCTGGCTAACTGAGTCCGTTTTAAATATTGCGTTCGTGTGGGCTTCCTTCTTTGAGCAGTTTAAGACGGAATTTTTTGCAGTATCACAGTTAGAAGTTGTATGCTCGAGGTTAGGAACGGCACACACTTTCATTAACTCTGAGCCAGAACATACAACTTTATCACAAGGCACATTTTCAGATTCAGGGTTTCCGGACACAAAGACTGAGTGTTGAGGTGTTCCCTGCGTGAAGTATTTATCTTCTGGGCACTTTAAAAATGAGTCAACTAAATTATCACAGTAAGTTCTATGCTCTTCACAGACCAATGCATCAGTAGAGCTAATAGATGCAGTCTTAGCTCTACTACTAGCTTCAGTTGCCAAGACACCTTTACGGCGCATATCAACAAAAACATGATTGCAGAGATCAAGAACTTCAACAGTTAACAGATCAAATTTATTCAAACTAAACTGTGAACTTCTTACTTCAGACTTAGAGGCATTTATGAGAAGATATGAGTTATCCTTCATAATTTGACTAAACTTGAGCAACACACGGGAAAAAGTCTTTTTCAAAACTACATAACCATCACTAGTGACTGAAAAATAGTTATTTCTCTGATTGAAGTAATTGAAATCCTCATTATTTTTAAGTATATCACTTGCAAATGATGTATTTAAAGACTTCATTTTTTGAAATAGCTCACTGCAATGACAAGACTTCATAATTAACAAAATACATGTAAATACTAGCAAACCCTTCTCTTCATCCTTTAAATATTCACCGTATGGCAAATTGATGTCATTTTCATTACCACACAATGATATTTCATCAACACACGTTGTATTCATAAAAAGCCTCTTGACATCTTCTAAGGCATGCACCACAGCTTGAACAGCAAGATTTGCAGACAAAGCTAATTGGAAATGTTTGTAAATGAGGGCAGCGGATGCCTTAATCCGTAACTGAACAGAAACATCTTTAATTTTAATCATGGAATGTTTAGAAATAAAATTCTCTTTTATCACAGATACTTTTCCTGAACTTAAAGATTCATTTGCTTTTTGATCTTTAATAAAGTCAATTGAACATCGATTGTTGGACAAATTTTCAGTATCACTTGATTGTTTCTGAATAGCCATAAGCTCTTTATTTTGTATAGCATCATTTCGCTGAAGTTGAGAAACCTTTTCAGTTCCGCTAATAAAGAAAGTATTCTTTCGCATTTCATTAAAGATTACCTTTTGCATTTCATTGAAGATTTCTTTATGACTCTCTTTGGCATGTTTTTCTTGTTCAAGACTCTTTCTGACAGGTTTTTCCAGTTCACAACTCTTTGCGATAGTTTTTCTCTGTTCACAACTCTTTGTTGTAGCTTCTTCCAGATGAGGACCCTTTGTGGAAGCTTTTTTCTGTTTAGAGCTCATTTCAATAAGTTTTACTTGATCATGATTCATTCCTGTATGTTTTTTCTGTTCAGTACTACTTCTAATAGGTTTTTCTTGCTCATAACTCTTAGTAATAGGTGTTTTATGTTCTTCACTACATTTGGCAGATATTTTAGGCTCATTTTGTATATCTGACAAGGATTTCTTGTAGTTGGGTGTGTCACTTATTTTATCAGATTTTTCTTGCAGATGATTTGATGAATCGTTTCTCTCTAAAGCAAAGCTTTTAACATGACTGACACCTTCTCCTTCTGGTGAAACAAGATTAACTTTCCTTTTTAATATTTTTTCTTGGCTGTTTGCATACTCTTTAGACCGATATTTCACAAACTCAAATGGCACAAACTTTACAAAGCCATCACCAGTAATCACAAATATTTCTGGCTTTCGCTTAAAATACCAAAATATATCTTTGTCTGGCAGTAAATGGTTGACATCTTTGCCCACATGGATTGCCTGCCAAAATACTTTGCGATAATGAGATTTTCTTAATTGCTGCAGAGCATATGCGAAACACAGTAATTCTTTTTCACTACGGGTTAGCAAACACTTCTCCTTTTTATCAAGTGGAGCTTCACGATTTTTAAAATCATAGTTAATTTCACAACATTTAGCAACAAAGAAATTTTTATTTGGCGGGGGCAGGGAAACATACAACTTTCTAACATCATGCAAACAAAGAACAATAATCTTCATAACACGCAGGGATGGTGGAATATTCAAATTAATTAAATATACAAGTCCACTAGTAACTCGTTTAAAAGCTTGTGAATTAAACTCGACTGCAAAATAAGCAGGATCTGAAGATACACTTTCAGAATTATATGCTACTTTTTCTTTTTGTGAATTTTCAGTAAACATTCTGTTTGAAGGTTTTAATTGTTTATTTTCAAATGTAACCGAGATGGACATACATTTAGCAGTATCAATATGAGGCTTTGGGCTAATATCTGAATAGTTTTTCATATCTCTAAGCTGAGGAAAAGATGTAGAGCCATAGGCAGTGGCATCTAATATTTCATTACTACTCGCAACAGGGACAGTCAAGGAATTTGAAATTACTCTTTCAGAGCCATCTGTTGCCTTTTCTTGAAGTGAATGTATAGTATTATCTATTAAAAGTTCAGGCTGAAAATGTTCATTATCAGATGGACCCACAAATTTAGCATCAAGATTTGGCTTTGGTTGAATTTTTGGTTTATTTTTCAGGTCTGTAAACTGCAGCAGAGAAGATTCAGATCCACTAGCAGTCATGAAAAAGATGTCGGATGATTTGTTATAATTTCCAGCACGACAATTTCTAGACATATCTATAATAAATAATGGATTCAACTTTACATGCTCTTGGTGAATTTCAAAAATATCATGTCTAGCTTGAAAACTTATGTACTTTCCAATAGAACTCAGATTATCAATTTCTATGCAAGTTTTCATACACAACTTTGTATAAATATCTTTATAGTGCATTTGTGTTTCAAAACTCAAAAGATAAGCAGAAAATAATCTCAATTTCTCTTCGTTACTTAATTTTATAATTAAACTTGAATTATAAACAGCAACTCCATTTTTAACCACCATTGATGATAAGCATATATTGATAAACTCTATTTGATCAGCAGGCTCCAATGCCACCAAATACTTCTTTACATCATCCAAACACTGCATAGTTATTAAAACTGAACGAGGTTTAGATTTTGCAACACATTCGAAACATTTTGATAAAAATGCTAAGCCAACATGAATTTTTTTTATGATTTTTGCCACGATTTTAGAATTATCACTCTCTAAATCACAATCATTGAAAGAAAATGATGGTTCACCTTCCGGAAGCTTTGAAGCACAATTTTTGGAGTCATTGGCAATTTCAGATAGTGCTTTTGAAAAAATAAGACCAAATCTTTCACTTTGTTTTATAAGATCATCTCTCTCAGATACTGAAGTGTCTTGGCTTTGATCTAACACTGAAAAACAGCTTTTTTCTTTCACTTCTAACAAATTATCTTCCATAAGCAAGGATCTGAACTTCTCGGGACTCAGCAGAAAATATTGACTGAACAGCTTAAATTTCAACCCAAACTTAGGAAAGGGAGTCAGTTTTACATGCTCGTTATCAAGAACATGAAATACCTCATTATGCTTTTCAAAATAAGAAACTTCAACATGTTTAGAGTTTAAAGCTGTTGATGAATGATTCTTGCCCTCTTGCATAGACAAAATTAAATCTGACAAAAGAATTTCATTTGAAATAGCTAGCTTATAAGCAAAAATCAATAAATCCTTCTCCTCGTTGTTAAGACTGTATATTTTGGAGCACATTGCATTATTAAGTAAAATTGCACCCTTTTTATCAAAAGTGAGAGGTTTCAATATTCTTATTACAAGATCATACTTTTCAATGGATGGTAAACACGTGAAATATGTTTCAGAATTATGGAAAACATGGACGACAAGACTAAGAATATAAGGATAAGTGATCACTTCAAAGCATTCTGACAAATATATAATACCAGATCTCATTTGGGTCGCAATAATTTCTCGAATGGTGGGTTTATAATCTGCTATAAAAGCTTCGTTCAAGGTCTTCATCTCTGATAGCATATTTTCCAACTGTTCTTTAAACACTAGTGTAGTCTGTAACTTTTGAATAAATTCAGTTTGAAGAAAACTATTTCCTCCTTCATTTTCAAAGAGTGCTGTAACAGTATTTTCAGAAAAATCTTCAAAACTATCATCAGTGATGCTATAAAAACTAATTTCAGAAAACAAAAGCAGGGTCACAAAACCTTCGGAGTCGACGGAAAATTTTTCATTCCACTCTAGCATATAATTGCATAGATCTTTAGGCAATTCAAAATTTTTGAATAAAAGTGTACAGCTTTCTAATTGATCAAATATATCTTTGTAATGGACTTTTTTCTTTTCACTTAGAAATGCTACAATACACAACAACTTCTTTTCATCATCAGTTAAGTCTGTTGACATTTTGTATTTATCAAAATAATCATTATAATTACTATCTTCATAGCAAAAGACAGCAATATTTAATACCAAATCGCGATCAAGTGAGGACATTTCAACAATTATCCTTCTGACATCTGCAAGAACATAAGCAACACAACTAAAAAGAAGTGGAGTAAGCGACAGCTTAAGGGCATTTAACAGATAGAAAATTCCATGTTTCATTCTTACAATGCAGCTCAACAATTGATTTTCTGTTATCTTTTCTGACAGATGTTGAAAATCTGACTTTGAAATAAGGAAAGCTTCAGAAATGCCAGGCTTAATAAAAGATTTGAAGTCTTTAATCTCTTTTGCAATTTCTGATTTATTGCTACTAATGCTATTCATATTAAGATCAGTTGCATTCATATTCTCTGTCCAAAGTTCCAATTCAACGCTATTTAAAATTTTAGAATCAAAGGAAGAAGGCAAATTTCTTAGTTGGAAGTATCCATTCTTACGAGTCATAAAAATTCTATTTCTGTCGGACAGGTAGGAATAGTGACTAGAATCAGTATTTAGCTTTCTAGGGAAATGCCCTTGGAGTTCAAAATATCTCTCAAAGATTTTTCGATAATGTAACTCTCCACCTTTGCTGACTATAAAACTTATCAGTAAAAGATCTTTTTCTGCTTCTTTCAAATCACATAGCTCCAAAGAATCAGGCAAACAAAGAGAAATACTTTCATTGTGATTCCTGATAAAGAGAGAGGTGCATTCCTTAAGAATATTAGATTGTTTTGCAACAGACAATGCAGAGAATTCCCATGCCACATCATCCAGTACTAGGAACATAATAGATAAGAGACGAGGGAAAGATTTCACACTGAAATACTGCAATAAATAAGCAATGCTGCTGGTTATTTTTTTACAAACTTTTTTAAGAATGCATCTAAAATCAAGATCAGTAATTGAAGAATCCACAATGGAAGTTTCATCAGGTGTGCAATTTTTATCCCAATCACCCCATTTTCGTTGAGGACACTTCCAAGAAATATTTCTACAATGTTCATCATAAGATTGAATACTCATATTTTTCTCAAACTCAATGTTTGGGAATTTAAAATCCTCAGGCATTTTCACCCAGTAATGGTCATCTAACAGAATACATGGATAGAGAGAGTTCAGATACTTCACTTGATCACTGAATGTTAAATCGGCCAAAACCGGGTCACCGTTCTCAGTATGTTTCTCTGCATACTTCTTCAATAGTTCTATAAAATAAATTCTGTCATGAAATCCTAAAACGCAGGAAACAAAAAGTAAAAATCTTTCATTGGGGGTTAGAAAACCCATCTTTATATCACTAGTTTTAACTAGCTTAAAAAGATATTTTTCTGATGCGGTGAAAGGTATGCATCTAAATATAGTGACTTGAGTGTCTTCGTCAAACTCAGATAGATATATTTCAATGTCCTTTAAAATGTAAAAAATACAAGCTTTGAGTTCAGAGTAATGTAAAACAATGAAAAAATGAAGGAGAAAATTAACTGCAGCACATAACCTTCTATATTCTCTGCATTCACAATTCAGACCAGGAACAAGTATTTTCGAAGCATCTAACTGGACAAAAGAAATAAAATTACTGTAATCAATTTTTAAACGCCCGTCAAAGATTTGCATTGCTTCAAGATGCACAGATTCAGAGTGGTCTAAAACAAATATATTGCTATTTTTTTTCAGAAATGAATAAAGATTTGAATTTGTGGAAAGAGATTCAGGTTTATCTTCCATGCATATCACAAGCTGACATAGATCTCGAAATTTCATTCTGCCTTTCTGAATAAGAATGTATGTGATAAATAACGAAACCTTTTCTTCTTTATTTAAATCAACTTTCTTCAATAAAACCGATTGTTTCGACAGAATTCTTAATTCGTTAGAACATAAAGCAAAATATTTCAGAATTGAACCTTTTTCACAAGAAGAAAGTAATGCATTCAAACTAATTCGTACATCAATCAAGGCATGGATAATGGTTTCAAAGAAAAAGCTATTAACAGGAAGATCAAAATATTTCAATAGAAAAGTAATGCCATTTGTCAATCGTTTACAGATAAGCTCGTCTATTTTCATTTCTCTAGCGACTTCAACCTCTTTCAAATTTTCATCATTTTGTACAATACCATCTTGAATATTCACATAGGATTCTTCAAAACTTGAGCCACAATGGCTTTTATTTAGCGGTTGAATGTCATTATCAATAGAATTATCATCAATTTCTTCAGAATTTAAGCAGGAATTTGGTTTTAGATCTGTGAATAAATTTAAATCTGTAGATGTAGCAAATGTACCTTCTTTAAAATTTTGGTTTATGTTCTTGTCCTTTGAAAGGGAAATCAAATCTGCACTTGGAATACTACTAATATTATGAGTTTCAGTTAATAAGATGGCTTCTCTTGCAAACTCTTGGCTATATTTTTCACTGTCGGCAAGTGAAATTACCTCTGTGCTTAGAATACCAATCGAAGCAGAGGTTTCACTAACTGATACTTCTTGAATAATCGAAATAGTTTCTTTACAATCTATTGCATCTTTGCCTGGAGTGTCAACAAAATTAACAGTTTTAATATCTGATGTCGCTGTGTTACACCCATCTTCAGTCAGTGAATATGTGTCAGGAGTTTTCGTTAAATTAGAAGATTCGATAACTGACATTTCCTCATCAAAAGTCTGGCTGGTATTTATATCACATGTAACTGGATTTATCTCAGTGTTTAAACTTTCATTCAAGTTGTCAGTTTCATCAAGTGATGCATCTCCATTGAATTTTTGAATTTCTTTGTCATTTGCAGGCGAGCTCACCTCGCCATTTGCAGTTTTAATTAAATTAGAAATTTCATTAGTTGAGCTTTCTTTTTCAAAAAGTTGGACAGTGTTTTTGTTATCTACAACTGAATTTGAACTAGTAGCTTCAACAATGTTGGAAGCTTCAATAATTGAAGCATTTTCTTTGAAAACATGACTACTTTCTTCCTTATATGGCAATAAATCTAAATCTGAAGACAAAGTTTTAACAAAATTAGAAATTTCAGTAACTGATGGTTCTACATTAAGCATGAGGCTCTTTTCTGGGTGAACTATAAATGAATTCAAATTAGAATCAGTAGTTTCATAAGCTGATGCTCCTTGGTTATTTTCATCTGTAAGAGAATTCAAACAAGTTTCCAGAGATTTGTTGAAGTTAGATGCTTCAGCAACTGACTTTTCTTTTACAAAAACTTGATTAGTTTCTTCCTTATTTATAGGCAAATCTTCCTTGTTTATAAGCTCTGATCTTGAAATTCCAAAATTAAAATTTTCAATATCTGGATCTTTAGAAAATTGCCTATTTCCTTCCTCATCTTTAAACGTATCAGCATCAGGGGCTTCTTCTCTTGAAAACTGTTGACTTTCTACCTTATCAGTAAATGCATTCAGACCATTGCTTACACTTTCATTCAGGTTAGAAGCTTCAGTGGTTGATGTTTCTCCTTCATAACACTTAGTAGTTTCTTGATTATCAATATGCAAATTTAAATTGGTATCAAGGGCATCATTAGAGTTAGAAGTTTCAACAACTGATGCTTTTTCTTGAGAAGGATGGTTACTTTTATCATAATTTGTGATTGAATTTAAATTCAGACTTTTTGTTCTTAACAATTCAAAATCATGAGCAACTGTTTCTTGTCTTATGAGCTGGTTGCTACCCAAAAAACAAGATATGTTCAAATCTACCGATGGTAAATCTGACAAAGTTATGACATCATTTTGTTGTATAAAATACAAATGTGGTCTGCATTTAAAATATTGCAATTTTTCCGAATCGGAGACTATGTTATGAGGTATAGTTTTATTGTGTTCTAAAGCTTTTTCAAATATTTTATGATAATGCACTGCACCACACACGCTTAAAATATAAACGAAAAGAAAGGAATCTTTTTCTTCTTCACTTAATGTAGTGTCATCGGAGATAGGAGTCCTATAAACTATCACGTCATTAGTCAGAATCGTAAAATGTTTAAAACAATCTTCTAAAAAATGACACCGATCAAGAAGTGGTACATGCAGCAAATAATTTTCAACATCTTCTAAAACAAGGAGGGTGAGTTTTGTAAGCTTTTCTTTATTAGAAAACTTAAAATATTTCAGTAAACAAGATAATCCATTAATAAATCTTTTCGAAAGTTTCAGTACAGAAAAAGTTTCAGTAATAAGCTTTTTGTTAGTAAAAGTACTATCTTTCTTAATTTCTGGCTCAGTATCTTTGGATGTGAATGTAGTTAGATTGTCTATTACAAATCCTGTTAGATTGTTATCGTTGTTTTGATTAGATAATTCAATAGATTTTAATGAGCCTTTCTTGGGAGCGTTTTCATAACTACAGGCAGGAAAAATAAAATTCTTTGTCAGTGATACATAACCATCATTTGATATGCTAATAATAGGATAATATTCTTTCAAGAAACTAAATTGATCTGAAATTGGTGAATCAAACACACATGCTCTTTCCTCTATGGGCATACGGGATTTTATTTCTTTAAATAACTTTTCAAAATGCACTATTTTATAAAACATTAATGTTCCAACAATACATAACAGTGTTTTCTCATCGGTTGTTATGTAAAATCCTTGAAAGTGTCGATAATCATCAACTAACACGTAATAGTCTTCTCTATCTTGTTCCGTAAAAGGAATAGATTTAAACAAGTTATTCTGAGCTTCTTCCCGCAATATACTCATTTCCTTTTTAAGGTATTCAAAAGCATGAAATATGCAACGCTTCAGTTCTAAGTAATGCAAAGGCTCATAACAATTCAAAAGGAAAGCAACTGCAGAGTAAATCTTCTGATAATTCCCAATCGCCATGCAAGGAAGTTTTTCAAACACATAACCTTTGTAAAGAAAAAAATCACCTTCCTCAAGGTTGAAAAAATTATATATCTGTAGAGAATTATAACTTTTGAACCTATCTACTAAAGGAGAATGACTCTCCTTGAGGAAAATGTTGAACAATTTTTCATAACTAATAAGCTTTTTCTGGGCTAATATTTTCCGGAAAAAAATAGCAACTTCCTGCTCCATTCTTTCTGATAGTTGTTAAGTTTAATTTAGTTTACAGATGATAAAACTTGAACACAACAGAATGAACCTTTCTTCTAATATACAGTAACTTCAGAAGTATGACAGAAAGTAAAAAATTCCTATGGCATACACTTTTGCCAATCATTATTAACAGTAAGTAGATATTTTTACCTGCAAAACAAAATGAAAAAAAAAATTTAAATAAAAAACAAATAAATAAAAGATAAACAAACAATTTTATCTAACAGTTACTAGCTATTTTTATTTAAACAACAATTTTAAAAAAAGCATACATAAAATGAAATAATTTTAGACTCTTAAAGTATTGATTTATAACAATAAAATTCTTTAATTTAAATCAGCAAAAATCCCATTTGCAACGAAGCTTATAATTTTTTTATTTATTAAAATACCATAAAAATAAACATGTATAGAAATTCTTCTCTATTCTTATACATTTATTGATATAATAAATTTGAATTTATTAATAAATCAGATAGGTACTCCACAATAATTAGAAATCTCTACCAGTCCCCTACTTCACACACCAATTAATAGAACATTAATAAATCATCCATTTAAATTCATCTATGCTATAAAAAAATAATCTTAATAAAGATAAAAAAAATTATGTAAATTTGTCTTAAATGAGAAATTTATAGAACTATTGTAATTATCTGTTTCTAGTACACCACTTCTCTTTTTAGAAAAAATTTTATGCCTTTTTTGCTTAATACAATTATTTAATAAAAACATGTGAAATTATAAAATGTATAAGGCAGTGCAATTATCAGACAGGATATTTATAAATAAAATCCAGCAGACATTAAAATCTTCTTTAAACTTCAAAAGGGTTATTTGAGTTATAATATTATATCAACTCCATTTAAGACTAAAGAAATCTAACTTTGCAACAAAAGTTAGTCTATAAAAATAGGATTAAAATCATTAGCCCTCCTCTTTATTCTTACACATTTATTGACCTAAGAAGTTAACTTTTTTTAAACCACATTGGCACAAAATTATGCTTTTGAAATTGTAGAGCCTGAAACTTTATGACCCCTTCTAGCCCAAAATGAGCTGTTGAGAGAATCGTTTGCTTTTTTTACAAAGATAAAATAATTTTTAACCTCAAAAGTATTAGTTGATATATACATTGAGAAGTCCCATTTTCTGAATCAGTGGGACTTCAGCAAAGCTCGAAAAAAGATATTTCTGAAAATAGGCATTTAAGGTCAAAGATCAAAATATCTATAGTAGTACAATAAAAAATAAATGAACAATAACATCAAGAACGTTTTGTTTGTGGTTAAACATTCAATTAACTAAAAAATATTTAATTTTATAAATGTCATTAACAAAATATAAAATAAGAAGTAAATATTTTGAACATTCTTTTTCTTCATGTTCATTTACTTATTTTTTATTTAATGTGAATAGTTAGCAGCAGATATTCAGATAAAAAAAGCATTAAATTAAAAAAAAAAAATCCTGTTTAATGATATATATTTATTATTATTGAACAAAGAGCTATATTGAGTAAACTCAGAGATGCCAACTTGCTCCAGACAGCAAATAAATATTTAAAAGAGGTAGTTTATCAATTGTGATTCTTGGTTTAATAAATTCAATTTGATAGATTTTTATCCACCACTATTGCTAAATAATTCATAGGCTTATATAATTCATCACTTTATCGTAGTTATGCTATACCTTTTAAAAAGCAAGCAAAAATAGTCAAATATTTGCAAAATTTTGTTTGCAAATATTTCTATTTACCGTTTCTTTAAAATTATTTTGGCGTGTCCAGAGCAGTTGGCATCTCTTTTTTTTGGAATTATGTCCTTCAGTTGCTCTTTCTAGCAAGAAGTCTTGCAGTCCAATACAAATAAGAAGCATCTCCAGGAATTGAGATAGTCTTGAAATAAGAACTATAAGCATCATTGAGGGAGGAGCAGTTCCATAGATGCTCGCCATTCACGTTTACATGTTCCTTGCATAAAATTTAATCATTAGAGTCAGTAAGTTTAATACAGTGCATGTGTGACTAAGGTAGTCATGTCCAGTGAGAAATTGGAAGGATGAGACTCCAATAGTTCTAGGAAGTGTTTTTGGGAGACAAGATGTTAGAAGGCCCTCCCAAGATTTAAAAACAACTTGATCTCTCTTGGAGGTTTCTCGCTGGTTTTGAATTTTTTGCTTGATTTAGAGTTCGGCATTTCTCAGGTTAGTGGGTGACACAGGAGGGTCCATGAAGGATGCCCTTTTTGTGAGATTATATATGTTTTTATTTCCACATAAGACACAATAGCTGGGAATCCATTGAAGAATTATTTTCTTACCAGTAGATAGTTGAGTGTTAATAGCAGTTTCATAATTGAATTCAATGACTATAGGCTGAGGTGCATAATTTTAGATAGTGCGTATTTCAGTTTGACGATCAATGAAGAAGGCAAAAGTCCCATTTGGTTTTTCCAAAATCTTCTGAAGAGCCAGGTAAATGGCAAAGATTTCTCTGTTGAAATTTTCTAAGACTTAAAGGTTCCTTAAGTTGAAAAAGTTTGGAAAAAAACAGTTCGTCCAGTAATTCACTCAGTTGAGCCATCTGTGTAGATGTGTACCTAATTGTTATTAGGGTATTTTTCATCAATGGTGGCAAGAGCAACAGCTTTGAGTTCTGTTTAAGTTACAATTGCTTTTTGAGTTACAATTTAAACTAAAACAAACCTATTAGGCATTTCTTTACAAAACAGGTATTTCTTTAAAAAAAAAACTATTAATATTCAGCTTCATTATCACATATTACTGAATAGCAATGTTCTAACTAAACGTTCTTAGAAAGGCGGCTAACCCTTTGATCCCTATAAATGCGTCCTCTTTGTAAAAATAAGTCGCTATTTCTTAAAAACACTGCTTTTTAATTCATGCTCCATTTTTAAGGAAAATTAATTAACTGTAAAAATAATAATTACACTAAAAAATTATCTGTGCTTATGAGTTTAATTCTGAAGAAGAGACTAAGAGTTTTTATGAGTTTCTATTTTTTAAGACATTTAATACATTTTTTAAGTGATTTTAAATTGTAAAATTATTTTTTTAATAAATTTTATTTTTCTTTTCAAAAATGCATTTTTAACTGTTTATTTACTAATAATTTTCAGTCCAAATCATAGAAAATTTTTTAAGCTTTTTATCAATAAATATATTTTTAATTGCATGCACAGGCAAAAAAGATATCCACGACTTAAATCTAACAAATTATTTGACTCTTCAGAAAAAGAGCAAATAAAACCATAACACCATTAAAATGCTGCACAAAATAGGAAATGCTTAATAATCACAATATAGTAAACTTCAATAATTCAATTCACAATACTCACAATACAGTAAGAATAACTTTACACAAACAGTAAATAAATCTTGATTACTTAGAAAGATAATATAGCTGTCAATTCATACCATCCTTCAAATATATTTTAATTATTAGAATAACTAAATAAGTAGAACTTCAAAACATTAACTGGACTTCTTTCAGAAATGAAATTACATAGCCAATTTATTCAATAATAAAAATTCGTAGTCTGAGTCCAAATTTCACGAGTTTCAGTTTTCTACTTCTCTTGATTTTCGCGGACTGAATTCTTTACAAGCCAGTTTATATGCTAATGCGAACCTTTTATTTTTGAGGAAATTTGATTCCAGCTTATTCAGGAGTCGATTAAGTTATTTATTAGAAACATGGAAACACTATAAAAGAGTTTGCTATCTCCATAAAGGTTTACAGGTGAGAAGAAATAAGCAGCTCAGTAAGATTTATTTTCAACTACAAGCAAACTCCTAGTATTTTTAAAACATTTGAAACAAATTTCTTTTAATTTTAATCTTTTTCTTCCAGCTTAATAACGCAGCATGACTGAATCAGAACTTATAATCTCCAAAAATAATTTGATGAGATATTTCTCAAAAGCAGCAGATGAAAATAATAGTTTTGAATTAAAGGAAATTTTTGATGACTGCCTAAAACTTCTAAAACTAATTGAGAATACAAGTTTATCTTCTAATGATAAATCCTTACAGGTTAAGTAATGTCTATAATTCTTGGTCAATTACTTTAATTTTTTAGCCTTCTTGTAAATGCTGTTATTTTTATCTTATGAAGAATCTCCAGTTGCTGTTTTTAACAACTGATATTTTATGATTAACTTTAATGTGTGAAAAATGCAAATAAACATAACACGCATTAATAAACATAAAGTAATTGATAAGTTGTGATTTCGTCGCAATGATTTGTTATGTGTCAGTACCCGTTTTTCGAGATTTTTTTTTCTCACCTACATTGGCAATAATAATAACTTCCAAATTTTTCAACTTAATGCTGTTTTTCGAAGCTCTGTCGCCAAGAAGAATTTAAAAAAACCGTAGCTTAAGTGCCTTACACTTGAAGCAATGTGTATAATTGATTGATATAATATGATGAAGCAATGTATATAATTGATTTATAGGTATTATCTTGCCGCGGAAAATTTTCTGGGCAAGACAACTAGGGAGTACCCTGTTCTGTAGCAGAATAAGTGCCAAATATTGGCAACTTCTGGGCAGTGTCCCTCCAGAAACTGAAAAAAACATCAGAGAAAGGGAAGGGACTAACTGGGAAGATATAACTTGTAGTCACCCCCTGGCAAACATCTACATGTTTTTTTGTTTTTATTATTATTCCATTTAAAATCAATTTGGCAATTGTAATTGACTTGGCAGATCAGGATAGGGAAATATCCCCAAATAACTTAAATATTTTAGAAGTTACTAACCTCTTTTAAAAATTGCCAGTTTGACCTAGATGAAAATTATTAAATCATTGCTTTATTCTCAGTTTTTGAAACTATTTATGAGCTCTAGTGATGCAGAATCGGAGTAAGTTTTTAAATATTAAAAAAATTAGACCACAAGCGCTTTTCATTTTCACAAAACTGGCTTTTCTCAATATCAACGTTTTGGGCCATTTTCAAAATAAGCGTAGACAGCGCTGTCTTTAGATAGGCTAAACTTGACCTAACAGTCATCAGTAACAGTTGCAAACTCACAGCAGTTATAAAAATAGAATATTATTCTCAAAAATGCATAATTTAATGTTATGATGCAGCATCTTAAAAGAGACTTAATATCTTTGGTTAAGGATCGCCAGGTTGTTTTGATTTCTAGATTTTCATGCTGACTTTGAAGCAATGTGCAAAATCGTTATCCATGTTTATTTTTTAGTTTTGTTTGATTTATAGGTATTGAATTTGCCCAGACATTCATTACACTAATGTTTTTNTTCGAAGCTCTGTCGCCAAGAAGAATTAAAAAAAGCCGTAGCTTAAGTGCATTACACTTGAAGCAGTGTTTTGATTATAAATTATATTTATTATCTTGCCGGGCATTCTGGCAAGACAAATTTTCTATTTTCTGGGCAAGACAAATAACTAGGGAGTATCGTGTTCTGTAGCAGAATAAGTGCCAAATCTTGGCAACTTCTGGGCAGTGGCCCACCAGAAACTAAAAAAGACATCACAGAAAGGGACCAACTGGAAGGATATAACTTGTAGCCACCCCCAGGCAAACATCTACATGTTTTTTTTTTTTTTAAATTCCATTTAAAATCAATTTGGCAATTATAGTTGGCTTGGCAGATCAGGATAGGGAAATATCCCCAAATAACTTAAATATTTTAAAAGTTATTAACCTCTTTTGAAAATTGCCAATTTGACGATATTTACCCACCTAGATGAAAATTATTAAATCTCAGTTATTCTCTCTTTATTCTCAGTTTTTGAAACTTTTTATGAGCTCTAGTTATGCAGAATTGGAGTAAGTTTTGAAATATTAAAAAAATTAGACCACAAGCGCTTTTCATTTTCACAAAACTGTGGCTTTTCTCAATATCAACGTTTTGGGCCATTTTCAAAATAAGCGTAGACAGCGCTGGCGTTAGATAGGCTAAACTTGACCTAACAGTCATCAGTAACAGTTGCAAACTCACAGCAGTTATAAAAATAGAATATTATTCTCAAAAATGCATAATTTAATGTTATGATGCAGCATCTTAAAAGAGACTTAATATCTTTGGTTAAGGATCGCCAGGTTGTTTTGATTTCTAGATTTTCATGCTGACTTTGAAGCAATGTGCAAAATCGTTATCCATGTTTATTTTTTAGTTTTGTTTGATTTATAGGTATTGAATTTGCCCAGACATTCATTACACTAATGTTTTTTTTAAAGAGTTGAACAGATGTTTTTTCAATAATTTTCACTGCCCAAATAAATTAAAAATGCCAAATTTTTGAAGTGAGGCATAGAATCGGCTTGAAGTGATGCAAATTCGAGTGCGAAACTGTTGCTTTAATTAGAGGTGTTTTGTTTCAAAAAAAGTCTGGAAATCTGAAGTGTCTGTTGTGCATTAAGAAGTAAATTTTTTATGCGTGAAATTATTTAATGTGACTGTGAAGAGAATTCTTTTATTGCTGTGCAGTTACTGAAACAATGATTAAGGATTAGTATAATTTCAAGCTATTTTGAAATAGTGTACATGTTTTATAAGTGAATGAATCCAACGAATTTATTGTTGTATTTTTTTGCATGCCTCTTAAGCATTATTAAATAATAGTTTTGTGTTTATGTTTTTTTCTCAGATACCACTTTCCCTTTTTTTTAGCTTCTAAGCAATGTTTGCCTGATTACGGAAATTGTTACCCATTCTACAATAAATCTCATTTTTATAGTTTTTTTTTTTTTTTTTTTTTTTTGGCGGTTGTCTTTTATTTTTTCAGCCGTTTCTTTATGACTTTTCAAATTATAATATACTTAATACGATATTATTATGAAAGGCAATTTTGAACTATAAGTTATTATTTTTTTACTTGGCCAAATAATGACAAATCCATCATTAAATCATGTTGTGTTTTAGCCGCTATGCATGGTTTTTTTTTTTAAGCCATTACTCCAAGATTTATCAAATTCATATATACTTAATATGCAATTTACACATTTTAGTTATTTTTTAACTCAACAGTTTTATCCTATGCTAACGAGGATTTTTGGATCAATTTTTCAGCCATATGTAGTGTTTTTTAAAATTGTTTTGAAAAAGTTTCGGTTAAAGAAAATTTTCTTTAACCAATGTAATTTAAACAAATGTAATTAGAAGATTTAATTTAAAATTAAATGTGTAAGTAATTTATATAAAGTAAAAATAATAAAATTAGTTTTTTTTAACCGCAAAAGTCTTAAACCTATTTTGATTAAATTTTATTATGTGTTCTAAAGAAACATTCCAAACTTCAATATGCATATTTTTCCAAACATTGTATGTGATTTGCTGTACTTCCTTTTTATTAATTTTTAAGATTAATTGATATTGTTCTCATACTAAAAATAATTTTTAAATGTTTTCAATTACTATAAAAAAACATTCATTGCAAAAGCTACATTTTTTCCCCCGTGGATTTTTTCCGAAAAAGATTATAATATTTTTAAAGCATAATGTTTAGAAAAATTATTATAAAAATTAAATTTTCAGCCATTTTTATTTAGTATTTCAAATTGTATTACTTCTCAACATTATTATTATTTTTAATAAAGCATGATATTTTGAATGTGTGTGAAAATATGTACCTTAAATAAAAAAAAATTTTTATGGAAACATTAAAAATAGTTTTAATGTGCAACCTCAAAATGTATACCATTATATTGATACCACAATGTGTAACATTAAAAATAATAGTTTTAATGTGTACCTTAAATAAAAAATGGTTTATTTTTATGTAAACATGAAAAATAGTTTTAATGTGTAACCTCATCCCTTTTTAGGAAGCCATTTCTAGTTGTGTTAAATCTTTAGAAAAATGTACCAAAATAGTAAATCATCTTGATCTCTTTTCTTCCAATGAAACCATAGAAGAAGTTCAGACTTCAAGTTTAAAGTAAATTTTATTTTGAAAATATGAGATTATCTTTTATTATTATTAATTACAAATGCAATAATAATTTTGTTATGATTTGTTTTAGATATCTTATCCTTCCTGCTTGTCTTGGAAGTTTGACTCTTAGTCTTGCAACCAAAGAATTTGCAGAAAGAGTGGAAAATCTCAGAATAGCAGAAGTAATAATTATTGCTATGGATTCCATTAATTTTAAGTATACTTTTCTCTTCTTGTTTAGTAGAAGTAGTAATTTTGGCTAAGAAGGAAAAATTAAGAATCTTAACATTAATTTGGATTTAGTCAATTTAAAATTCTTACTTTTAATTATCTATTGAAAAAGATAATGTTGCTGTAAAGAGTGGTTATTTTGAAAAAATTGAATTTTAGCTTTTTCCAGCAATATCTGTTGAGTAACTGTTACTACTTTTACTTGGTAAGAATTAATTTTCTGGTTACCTTAGCAGATCATATATTACATTTTTCTTTAAATGATTTTTCAAATGTCACTGCTTCCGTATACTGCTTACAATATCTAATCTCTAGAACACAAATGCAATAACAAATCCATTAATTTCAAATATATTTTTCTCTTCTTGTTTAGTAGAAGTAGAAATTTTGACTAAAGAGGAAAAATAAGAATCTTAATGTTATTTTGGATTTAGTCAATTTAAAATTATTACTTTTAATTATCTATTGAAAAAGATAGTGTTGCTGTTAAGAGTGGTTACTGTGAAAAAAAAAATGTTTTTTAGCTTTTCTCAGCAACATCTGTTGAGTGAGTGCGCTGACCACAGTGTTGACATTAAATATCCTCGATGGATCATGGGTTAGAGTCCCCTTGCTATTATGCTAAACGTGGAAGGTTTTCGCAGTTTTCTTCTCCGTGTAACGCAAATGCCGGTTAGCTTCATCAAAAAGTCTTCCACTAAGGCAAATTTCTCCCAATGCTTGACCCAGAAGTTCCCTTGTCTTCTGGATTAGATTCAAAATTACAAAGCTACGGAGTTGAACATTAGTAGTCGTAAGCCCCAAAAAATTAGGTCGGGTGTTCAACGACGGTTATAAAAGGAAAAATAGTATAAACATAGAAATACCACCAGGAGTAGTTTTTATTGTTGCACTAATATTTTTTTCTTTCTAAATTTAGGTTTATTTTAAAGACTTTCTACTCAGATGTAAAAATTATGAGTTAAATGTGTCATCTTTAAAACAATTTAATGATGAATTGGAGAATTCTGAAGCACCAATTCAAGTAGATCCATCCACCATCCGACAAAATAAAATACAACAATATAAGTTGAAAAAGGAATTGGAAGAAAAGGAGAAGAATCTTAGTAAATATCTTGAAAGAGAAGACTGTGAGGAATACATTGTAAGTTTGTGTATTTAATGTTTTTTTTTTTTTTTTTCAATTTTTATTATAGCTGTTTATTATAGTTTCCAATAATTTAGTGATGTTTTTCTTTTAATTAATCTTTTAAATCTTTTGTTTAATTAATGTTGTTAGTCTTTTTAAGAGACATATTAAATTTACACATAGTTCTGGAAAATATTGAAGATGGAATCAATGTATAATTTTATTTTTAAATCTGTTTGCAATAATATTAACATATTTTCATTTTGTAATATGTATCTTTTTAAATGGCAGATTAAATTTACACATAGTTCTTCTGAAAAATATTGGAGTTAAAATCAATGTAAAATTTTAATACAACTTAGTTGTACAACTTAGTACAATGTACAACTTAGTACAATGTACAACTTAGTTAATTCTATTTTTTTTTTCGATAGTTTATTGTTTAAAAGTAAAGTATCTGCAATCAATGTGTAATACTTTTAGTTTCCTGAAAAGATAGCTTCACTTTTTTATAGTTCAGTTACTCAATTTGAAAATACTCATAAGTGTTAACTAGATTAGTTTGATTGTACAGGAAGTCATTTTATCCCTCCAAAAAGGACATTTCACAAAATTAAAAATTAATTAAATGAACCTTCCTCAAAATTCTAAACTTAAAAAATTATCTTCTTGAATCCTATTTTTAAAGAATGAATGATTGATTTTTTTTTCATTTTGTTTATTTCGTTATACTTATGACTCATATAGTTATTTTCATAATTGTAAAAATTAGCTTCTTTTTTGCTAATCAATGATTATAATACACTGAAGTTTGCAAAACAATTATGCAAATTTTCTTACAACCAGCAATAATTGAATTAGTATGTAAGCAAGTTGTGTAATTTGCAGTAAATAATTAAATAGATTTCAATTATATTATTATAGATTTCAATACTATTAATAAAATAGATCTTAAAATTAATTCTTTAAACTTCCTTAATTCTTTAAACTTCTTTCCTTTATTTACACATTTTAGCATTGCTTATTAGTTTTATTCATTGTTTATTATTGCGTTACAAATTTTTGTAGATAGTGTAAGGGAAAACTTTGCCTTTTATTTCATATATGAATGTAATTTTTTCGCTTGATACAAAACAACATTTTTATTTTATGCTCTTCATAGCAGGAATGGACTTTTATAAACACCTGACATCTTTTATTAATGCGTATGTTTTCAACATATGTGTGTTTATTATTATTATACTCATGGAATATAATTAAAACATATGCTTGTACTTTTCTAGAGAGAATACTATTTTGTGCTTTTGGAAAGATGGATAATGATAGCGTTAGAAGAATTAGAAAATATTAAAAGTAAAGTATTTCATACTCTAATTCCAGTTTCAATATTTTTTTCTTGAAAAATTTTACTTAGGTTTCAAATATTTTGTTTCTTCAATTTATGTGTATTTATTATTATTTTATGGTTCACACCAGCAGAAAAACTTTAGTCGCCCATAAGGAAGAACCACTTAAGTTTTTTAGTGGTCCAAAAATATAACATGTTAGACAAATGTGATAAAATTTATGCTAAATAATATACAATTTATGATGATTGTACAATGTGCCAAGGACCACCCTGAATAGCTTTTGATTCTTTAATTTGCTTTGATTGAACAGCTTTTTTTTTTTATCGAGTTTTAGAAAAGTCGTATAGTTAAAATTCAGTTTCTCAGGAACTATTCAACAGATTTCCTTCAAATTTTTTTGGATTATCATTAAATTAAATAATAAAATGTAATAAGTCTTTACTAAAATTTATTTATTGCACGAGATAATCTTTGGACAAATGAATTTTATAATTGTGTGCAAAAATTTTTCAATTTGCTCAAAAATTTCTTAGATATGGCAAAACGCAGAAAAAGTAAAATTAGCATTAAGAGGTCCAAACTTTGAATCACTCTCCTGATCAAACTATGGGGACCATATTTCCCAGATTGCAGCTATCCCCTATATTTTGGGAGTCAGAAATCCGAATCCGTTGAAAAAAAGTTAAGTTTATTCACAAAAAGTACTTTTTTGTGTCTGATTTAGCAACTTGTAATATCATTTAGACTACTTAATTAGCATATTTGAAGTTACGCCCTCAAACCATTAAAATTGAGTCCTAGAACGTAAATATCCAACTATTTGATTAAAAGTTATTCAGGGTGGTTTGTTGATTTTTTGCGCGCTGTTCATATTCAGGCACATTAAGATGCAAGGCCCCATTAAGCATTCGCCAAATTTGATAAAATCGTAAATTCGACAAAACAAATTGTGTTTTGGAAAAAGTATCGTCGGGGGATTTTTTTCTTCCTTTAAAAAATATATCTATATTCCTTTCAATCCTGAAAGTTACATCAAAATGAATTTTTTCTGAATATATTCTGTACATTCTTTTTCCAACCCTGATATTTCTAATGCAATATTATTTGAACTAACTTAATTCACATTGATTCTTTTTTGAAAGCCATGTTGCTTTTTTTTTTTTTTTTTACCTTTTATATATTTTTTTTCTGGCAGATATTGCAATGAATTTCCAGGTGGTTTATTCACTGGTATTCTTAAAAAAGAAGTATTTTTATGTGGTTTATTTGTGATTATTCCATTGTAAATGCATTTGGTCTCGCCAATCGCTTTTGTATCTACGTTGCTATAGGCTGATTGATATGATTTTTAAAATCCTTATTTCTTTCTGATATGATAATATTTCTAATCAAGCAAATATTTCAGCAAATTTTAAGTCCATACATATCATTTTGGTAACTTTTGTTTAAGACTTGAATACAATTGTTGCAATGCTTTTATGCTGGCATGAATCCTATTTATATTATTTTAATTTATATTTTCAGAGGAAAAAGATGTTTTGAAATCTATGCCAGGCAGGGGAAACTCCACTGATTTTAATAAAAGGCCACCGCAAGATATTAGGGTGAGTATTCATGTTTTTCATGCACATACACACACGTTTCAAAAACAATATCAGTAATAAACTAAAGTGTATGCAATTCATTGCTGAGAATTTTGTTCTGTTAATATGTATATTTGAACTTTCAATATACGTTTATTTATTTTAAAAAGTTTTAATATATATAATAATATCATTAATTCAATTACTTAGCCATCATTAGCAACTATTGACTTTAAATGTTTTAGCACGTTTCTCGACTTAGTGTTTTTTTAAAAATTTCAATTTGTGATTTAAAAAAAAAAACATTTTTTTGTCATATGCTTTTATCAGAGCACTGCATCATATTCTAGAATAAAGACTTATTTTGTTCTTTTATAAAAATGAGTTTATACTTTTGAACCCGAAGCAATTCAACATATCCTAGAACATGAACTGTTATCTTTAATCTAATGATTTTAATTTATTATCTTCGTTGAGCAGCCGACTCAAAAATTTTTGGTTTGGGTATACCGAGTTCGAATCCCAGCAATGGCAGGTTGATACAAATTCCATACACGGCTACAAATTTAACTCTTGGTTGATACAAATTCCACAGAGTGCTGACGTAAAATATCGTCTGTAGTAGACAGATCACGGGTCAGGGTCCCCTTGCCGTCAGTCTGTGGGAGATTTTCATAGTTTTTCCTCTCCATGTGACGCAAATGCAGGTTAGTTCCATTAAAAAGTCCTCCATGAAGGTAAATTTCTCCCAATACTTGATCCAGGAGTTCCCTTGTCTTCTGAATTGGCTTCAAAATTACATGGCTATGAAGTTGAATATCAGTAGTCGTAAACCCAAAAAATTGGATCGGCTGTTCAACGACAGATATAAAATAAAATATCAATGTTCACCTCTTGAATCTTTTTGATCTAAAAACAGGGGAATCTATAAATCATGCTTTGGGTCTCAAATTCATGAGACATTCTTTAATGGAACTAACAGGGAAATACAATAACTGTATCTGAGAAATTTAAACTATTAATATCTTCTATAGATGATAGAATGATATAGAATAGAATAGATATAGAATGATTGCAGAAGAATTCTAATCTATTTTCCATTTATTACTGCAGATATTTTGTATCATTTCTGTGGATGGTGCAAGTTTGTAGCCGTAGGTGAATTAACTAGTCATTAATGTTATATCAACTTTTAGAACTTTGATTTATGCATTATAAGTGAACTTTACTTTTACTATACTGTAAAATGATATTTTATTTTTGTCAAGATGTGGTTTTTGTCTCAGCTTATTTTTTAAAGTTTTATATAAAAAAAAATTATTTTAATAAAAATAATGTCTAATTAATTTGCAAGTTTAAAAATAAATTTTTTTCTATTTCAGCCGCTAAAACCGTTAATCATAACCAAAAATGAAATTCAAAAGAAAGTGTTTGGACTTGGTTATCCGGCCATACCTGTGATGACTATTGATGATTTTTATTATCAGAGATTTCACAATCAAATTAAAAACCGTCCGACAGGGTAAGTCACAACTTCAAATGTCTTAAAGTATAATCTTTATTAAAAAAAAGTCTGTTTCTGTTTATACTTGTCTAACAGGGTTGCCATTCCATAGGGAGAATCAAGAAAACCTGGAAAATGCAGGGAATTTTAAAATCTCCTAAAATAACAAGGAAAATGCCGGGAATTTTGATTTTTTCTTTACAAACTGGGAAAATACGGGAATTTTGGTCTTTTAAAAAATTGTGACTACTCAATGTGTAATTTATGGGATATTTAAGGATGATATTCCAACTGTACTAAACTATTTCGATTACTATGGCATTATTTAAATATGTTCAGTTGTTCCTTTTTTTCTCTTAACTTTTTCCAGCAATTAAAACTAGTTTAGTTAGTCCAATGTAGCTTACACAAGAGCGATGTAATTATGTTTCCTCTGAATATATTGTGTGTAATACGTAGGGAATATTTTTTCTCCAGATTTGAGTGGCAACCCTCTCTAAACTTTAAAAAAAATTTTACCATCCCTAAAAAGAGAAGTGATGATATGTCTCTAATAGCCAATCACTATACATTCAATGCATATCTTTTAAAACTTCTTTAATGCTTCACTTTTCCAAACCTGTCTTATCTAAGAACTTTGCTAATCGAAAATATTTTTTTCATATGTAGGGCAAACATATAGTTTTTCGTTTCTCCTTTTTTTCTTGATGACGATGAAATTTATTCCAAAATTAAGCATCTGCAAGAAGTAATAAGGATAATAATGATGAAGCGATATAATTAAAACTTAAAATTTTAAAATGTTTGTACTGATTATGAACAATTAGCAGAGTATAGACAATTAAAACAAAATCCGAAAGAAGAACAGAATCTTGAAAATTTCTAATTTATCCCTCTGATTATATTATGTGCAAACAAACTTCGTACTTTTTGATAATTTCTTCATTAAGATACAGTGATTTGTTTTGTATTGAAAGAATTTTTAGTATTGTAAGAATTTTTAGTATTAAACAAATTCTAAATGGTCAGGAGTGGTAAATTGATTTAAAGAAATTTATATCATGATCCAAGCCTTGAAAACTTGGGAAAAATTGTACCTAAATTTCTGTATTGGGCACTATTTTCTCTTTGAATAATGTAAGATTAACTGGTTTTTTGATGCAACAAAGCCACCAGTTAACATATAAGCCAGAAGTATAAGAAAATCAACTTGTTACTTTCTTTTATTTTTAATTTTTTCTCTTTTCAGTTTAAACTTTTTAGTTATTGAAAGTAGAGATTGAAAATATAACTGTTTAAATATTTCAAATTGAATGAATAGTATCAGTTTAAATTTGCTATAGCTTTTTTTTTAAATAAATTGTATTACGATACATATCTTAAGAGAAATTAAGATACAGTTTTAAATTCAAGTTTAAAATAAATGTTAAAACCTAATTTAAAAAATACTGAAGAAAAAAGGAAATAATATATCAATGCATTAACTGATTTTTTTCTCTCACAAAATTACAATTAACTCATGCAAATTTAAAAAATTTATTTAAAGAATATAATTTTATGTGACTATTTTTTGATAAGGTATCAATTATAGGTAATCAACTGAAAAATTATATTTAAAATATATCTGGATGATGTGTAATAGGTTTTCTTCCCGACTGGATGACAGTGCGGTCACTGTGGGAATTTTTCTTTAAATATTGAATCAATTCTTGCATATATTTTTAATTTACATGGTGTTTTTCATTTGCAGTAAAAGTCTATTAATTGAAATCAAACTTAAATAATGTGTTAGCCTATTAATAAAAAAATATCATTTTTACGTAGCTGCCAACTCTACTGGATTTTACCAGTTTCTCGTGATCTACTGGTTTGATAAAAATTGTCCTGGTTTTTGTACATTTTAGAAAATTCCCTAAAATTGAGAATGTTTCCTTAAAAAATCCCTATTGAAATAGAATTTTTGCTCAGATTATTTGCTTGCTTGAATATTTAAATAAATGTTCCTTATGCATAAAGAAGCGAGCCTTATTTATAAAAATCAGTTAACTATATTTGATGAATTAAATACCTATTAATATTTCAAGTTCATTTAATGTTAATCATAACTGGAAAATATAGCAATTTTTTTTTATTTTGATGACTTAATATCCCTAAAATTCCCTATGTGTAAAGTATTTAGTACAAAAAATTCATGCTATTTGGTAAAATCTACTGGATTTTTCCCTATCCATGTTGGCAGCTATGTTTTTAACATTTCACATTTTTTAGGATGTCACTGCAAGAAAAAGCTTTAAGAGGAGAAGAATTGGATAAAGATTCTGAAGAAATAGAAAAAGAAAAGCAACTGGACAAAGACGATCCAATCGCATTAATGAAAGCAAGACAATGGGATGATTGGAAGGATGGTCTGTATTGTGTTTAAAATTAAAAATGTTCAATTTAGTGATCGGATTTTTACGTACTAGTATATAATCTGAAAAGCTCAAGGATCTTTCATTAAAATGTATCCATACATGATATATTTTAATGACAACACAAAAATTTTCTCTCTGTGAATAACCACTTCTTTTTCTCATCATATTCTGATTCTTACATCTTTAAGAGGACGCCATTCTGCAGAAGAAAATTTTCGTCGCAAATTCTCCTTCATTACTAATTTAAAAGGAAAAAAATTATTAAATGATATTAAGGTAAATTTTGTTCTAAGTATCATAAATTTGGCAGCCAAATACAAGATTGCGCATTTCACAATTCTTAAACAACTAAGTAGGAGGACGCCGTACCATGGGAGAAAAATTTCATTGCAAATTCTCTTTCTCCTCCATAACTGATTTTAAAGTATAGAAAAAGTGAATTCAGACAAATCTAGAGTAAGCCATAAAGATACAAATACTGAAAAATATCAAAATGAAAATAAATTATTAGAAGATAACTTAAAATTTCAGAATGGAGAAGTTCTCTTCCAATAATTTGTTTGCATTTTGATATTTCAACATTTTTATTTCTCCAGAAATTGAAACTTCGTGACTTACTTTAAGTTTGCACTGAACTCACTTTTTCTTTCTTTTAAATTAGTAATGGAGGTGAAAGAAGATTTGCGATGAAAAGTTACTCCCAGGGTATAGTGTTCTCTTAAGAGGACACCATACTGCGAAAGAAAATTTTGATCCCAAATTCCCTTTCTCCTTCATTACTAATTTAAAAGAAAGAAAAAGTAAGTTCAGGCAAACCTAGAGTAAGTCATGAATTTTGAATTGCTGAAAAAAGTACTTCAAAATATTAAAATGCAACCAAATTATTATAAGATAACTTCTCTGTTGCATAATCCTAAGTTATCATCTCATAATTTATTTTCATTTGTATATTTTAAATTTTTCTTTTCAGCATTTGAAACTTCATGGATTACTCTAGGTTTGTCTGAATTCACTTTTTCTACATTTTAAATTAGTAATGAAGGAGAAAGAGAATTTGTGAGGAAACTTTTATTCCGCAGTATGGCGTCCTCTTAACATATGGGGGCGGATGTTATCTCAAAAATATGGTAACAATAGTTTAGTCAGGAGAGCATTCAAAATTTTTGTCTCCTTATTATTAGTTTTTAATTTAATTTTTTTTTTTTTTTGTTTCTCTATCTCAAAGAAAGATTTCGATCTCTTTTACTTGTTTATAAAAACACAATTTAGTGAGTATGACTCACTCTTTAAATTTTGGCACTTTCTCTTTTTAATGGAATGTGTTTTGATTCTATGAGGAGCACAGAAACATGCATTCTTGTTTATTCAATGACTTACAATGTTAAAAAAAAAAATTTAAGTTTTCAGTTTTATATAATCTTTAATGATACATCGTATTTATCCATTAATTTGCAAAATCACTTGTTTAAATAATGTTATTTTCATATGGGCTTAGTATACCAATGTTGTCACAGACTTATGAATGGTATCAAAAATTTGTTTAGTTATGTTTATCTAGAAGAATAGATTTTAAAAAAAATATGCATCAAATCATGTGCTTGCATTTGGTTACTTATGTTGCCTTGCATATTTTTTTTTTTTTTTTTAATTTTTGGGTTTGCATGTTTCTGAACTTTTTTTTCTTTCTGTTTTGTCATTTCAGATAATCCACGGGGAAGTGGGAATCGACATAATAAAGGCTAAGAAAAAAGTGTTCCACAAATTGAGAATATAAGAAGATTGTTCCACAAATTTGCACTTCTTCGCTTATGTTTTCAGTGTAAATAACATTTTCAAAAAAAAAATAATAATAATTCAATTCAAAAAATTTGGTTTTTTTCTTATACACTCATGTAAATATTCACTTTTTTGTCAATTATTTTATTTTGAGTTTATATTTGTCTTTCAAAAAAAAAAAATTGGGGGAAAGCTGTAGGGCTACTGAAGTTAAACTTTTTTTATGTACAGGATGCCCAAAAAGTCTGAAACCAGTCAATTGTCTGGAGAAAAGTTTATTTAATTAAAAATTCAAAATGGCATTGGTTGCATCATCTGAAAGGGAAATGTTTTCAAAAATTGCATTTTATTGTACACCATATTTGATCTTCAAACTGAGCCAAGGGTGGTAGAAAACTTCAAAATCTTAAATGAGTACCATCATTTTTTATTGCAGATGTGAATTTTCCGGCAAAAAGTATCCCAATTTGAGTAACAGGATGTTGCTTTATAATTCATAGATGGTGCTGTTATCTCAAAATATATTGGGTAAAAAAATTTTAATGAAGATGCCTCGTGTCTGATTGAAAAATTTAAATTGTGATGTTAGATGTTTTAAAAGCTATCAAATGATTGCAAATTTGACCTCCACGCCAATACAGTCTCTTTCCTTTGGAGAAAACCCAGCTTTACTTAGGTATTATTGAGTTGAAAACCTTGTACACATGTTTTCTTCAGAAATTAGACTGTTTCCATACTATTTGAACACTGTATATAATACTGTTTTACAGTATTTATTTTTTACGTGTGTATTTTGTACTTTTCTCATTCATTGATAATTTTAAGTTATTTCTACTGGCAAACCCCAACCATTTTCGAAATTGATGTGGAGTAATACTAAATAGAATTTAATTGTTTATGAAAATATAATAGGACTGACATAATTTTTGTGAATACAAATTGTAAACTTTTTATATTGTAAAAACAATGATTTATTGGAATAAAAATAATGCAGCATTTTAGTTCATTTTTTTTATTGTATTATTTTACTGTAACAATTTTAAACCGTTTAAATTGGATTTTTTTTCACCTCCTCTAATTAATTTGATTAAAATACCACACATTTCACAATACAAAACTGGAAGTTTCCGAAATCAAATAATTATATTTGATGTTTTGTTAATTTACACGCCCTCCTTTTTTATCACAAGGCTGTCTACTTTTCTACCTAAAAAAAAAACCCAAATGTGTTTTATTAAACAATAAAAAACACCTGTTTTTTTTTTGTAAATTGAAAATGAGTTGGGCAAAATGTATCCATTTTCAATATGTTTGTTAGCAATAGTGTGATTTTAATTATCATTTCACCGTTTGAAAATAACCTTAAAAAATTCTGAGTCTTAAATTATGTGAAATTGGATATAACATTGTAACAGAATTCAGAAAAATAGTCAAATGCTTTACCAATTTTTTCCAAAAGAATTTATGATTTGAGAAATTTCTATATTTTTAACTTATTGAAGTATTATCCATTTTAAATCAATGTAAATTTGTAAGCAATGTAAATTTTCTTTCAAATTACTTAAAGAAATTTTTAAAAAAATTCTTTCGTCCAAAGTGCCTAACACCTACCTCTGACACCTAAGAGCTCACTTAGTTCAGGACCTAGAATGAAATCTAGAATGTTTTTTTTTTATATATATGTATAACACTATATTATGATACCAAATTAACAAAATGGTACATTTAGCATTATTTTCTGGTAAGACTGTGAATTATTTTTTAGTGTAGTGAGTAATCCTAAATGAGTTAACAGGATGATCCGCCAATACCCCACTTAATATATAGTTTTATAATCCTCATGAAAAATGAAGTATATGAAAACCAATATACATAATAGGTTGTATGCTAACATAGAACAAAAACGCTATAGAAATCTAAGTAATCACAGGGTTGCCACAGGCTACTAAAATGCAACTATTTTCGGCCTTTGGCGACTTTTTTTTGCCTGAAAACGCTAAAAAAGCAACTATTTTCAGGAATAGGCGACTATTAGGAGACTTTTTTACTCTTGGCGAAGTTTTTTCGCAAAAATGAACGTTACTTTTTAGAACGTTAATAAAAGAAAGCAAACTTTTATACAATCATTTATGTTCAAAGAGCAAAAATGTAAATTTCCAATAGAATTAATAAAATACTTGTTATATGTTCTCTCTGAGGGGCAGTTTTGTTATTTTTAATTGTATTTTCCTTCTATTAACATTCATATTTTATTGTAATTCGATTTTTATTTAGTTACCTATTTTCTAATATGTATACCTTTTATATTTGTACAAAACTTTTTGTTTAATTGGAGCATAGTTAGGAGTGGGCGATAAAGCGATGTATCGCGAAATATCGCTTTAACGCATATATCAGTAGGCCGATGTAGTGACTTTCGTTTTAGGCGATGCATCAGAAATCTGATTTAAGCCTCCGGAATAAGATTACAATCGCGGTTTAACGATTTAATATGCAAGGATCCTAGACTAGGTTAACGCTGTTGCCGCACTAACGAAGACAATTTTTATTTCGTCTAGTTGCAGAGATGTAGATAGCGTTTTGCTATTAAGATAGGCACGTTAGTTTCGTGATATTGAATGACGAAGAGCGAATTGATTCAGGTTCGAACCAATTGAACCCGGTTTCGTGCGAGGATCAGCGTTGTAATATAGAACGCAATGCATAGTTTCTTTATGTTCATTTTTGTCTTTCGGATTTTGCATTTTTTGAAGATTATTTTCAATGGGACTTACGTCATTTTTCGATCGTTGTGCATTTTATTTCGTCGGAATTATCGGGTTTCTTGTAAATTATTTTCAGTGAGACTTCTGCAGCAATCGTTTCGTTCTGCATTATTTCATACCATTTTTTTTGTCTGGGTTTAACGATTCTTGTCAATTATTTTTAGTAGACCTACTGTTACTCTGCGATTGCTGCACAATCGCTGTTATCTTAAATTTTCGTCCTGAGCTCAATAGATCAAATCACTGATTTTTTTCAATTATTGTTTTTTATTTTAAGCGATGAAATTTAATAGGGGTATTTTGTATTTAACTTTGTTATAAAAAGTTAGTTTTTTTAAATTTATTAAATGTAGTTAATTATAATAACATGATTGTTTTTCAACCAATAAATGCTCAGTCGTTTTTAATTATAAAAAAATTAAAACAAAGCTCACCTTTATTTAATTTGCTTTTATTTTTGAGAAAATGAAAACAAAGTCTTAAAAAAACTTGGCTGTTAGTTAAAACAAAATTTTTTTTAATTAAATAAAAAGTTTAGTAATGTTTTGACGTTTTTAATAATTTAACATTAGTACTTAACGTATTTTTTAAATTTTTATTAAAATTCTTTCAATACTTGTTTGTTTTATAATTTATTCGATAGTCAGTATCATTTTTAAACAAATAAATCTTTAGTCGATTTTATTTTCAAAAATGAAAATAATAATAAATAAGTAAAAATATTTTTACATTTATTAAGTACAGAATTTGACCATTAGTTAATACTACTTTTTATTATTTTAAATAAGCAAATAAAAAAAGGTTTAATGATGTTTCAAAAGCATGTTTTTTTTTCAACAAATAATAATATTTTTTTTTTCTTCCCTGAAGTGAACATTTCTGTGGTTTGTTTTTTCTCTTCTTCTTTTAATTTTTAATGCATGTATGTAAAATAAGTTGTTACAGTATTATTATTTTTAAACCAATAAATCTTAAATCATTTTTAATTTAAGAAAATAGAAATAAAGCTTGGGTTTGTTTAATTATTGCTTTATTAATTGAAAAAATTAAGCAATGATATTGATGTCGTAGTAGAATATGATTAGAATTAATATTTTCTTTTGTACTAGATTAATTCCTTTTTATTTATTTTTGATTGATTTAAAGATTTCCCATAGGTAATTTTTGAACATATGCTAAATTGCGATACATCACTATATCGTGATGTCTAACTGACGATGTATCATGATTTAAAATGTCTGACATCACCCAGTCCTAATATTAGTATTTGACAATTAAGCTATAATTTTAGTTATTTGGCTACTATTTTTGATAAATTTTTGTTTCTGTTCAGGCAACTATTTTCATGCTTGAGGCTACTAAAAGCAACTATTTTTGTTCATTTTTTACTGTGGCAACCCTGTAATCACTACCGAGGTGGGTTGGACTGACAAACCTATGCAAGTGCCTAATGAAATAAAAAAAACTTGAAAGACAATTAAAATTACCTCCAAAATTAATCAAATGATTGTGGTTTTGCTCATTCAACCTATCTCACTAGTGATTTGACAAATTGTTATATGGTTTTGTTTTTTTCTCATCTTAATTATCACAAATTTGTGAACCCTGAGTGAAATCATTGAATTACCTTTTCTACAAGGATTTGATTGTAGAGAAGTACAAGATACAGAACAACAAAAAAAAGATATCACCCAAAATAACTTTTGTACTAGTGATCAGATTTTCTTCCTTTCTACATGTCAATTATGCTAATTAACCTTATGGAGTTATGAATTAAAACACAAAAGCATACTTACACTGAATAAACATGCCTTATTTTTGACAGATTTGGATTTTTAGCTCCATATACATTATCAGGGTGTGTAGTGTTTTTAAAAAGGAGCTTATTTTTTATTTACGTTTTTTAAAAGCTCTTAAAGGTTTTTTATATTCGAGGTTTGTTAAAAGTGCTTAATTTTCTCTTTTAAAAAGAAACTTTTTCTTTGCCATATCGATTATCGTTCTAAATTACATGATTTTCATAATTTTCTCTGCAATACTTATCAGAAACTAGTTATTTTAACATGATTATATAAAGCTTTTGAATTTTATTGATTTTATGTTTATATATTAAGAACTTTAAATAATAGAAGAAGAAAAAAAAAAATTTTGGAAAGGGATTAAAATATTTTTTAAGTGCTTATTTTTTGTTGAAAAATCTGATTATGTTTAGAATTATATATATCCTTAGGGTATTAGTACTGGTATTGTCATTAATAAGTTTTTTTTAAAAATGACCCTGACTTAAATTTCAATATTCGTTGACCAAAGTAAGGAGAAGAAATAATAACAATTTCAATTTGATTAAAGTCTAAATAATACAAACAAAAGTCATAAAGGAAATAAATATTATTTTTATTTTCCCATTAACAATTTTTTTAATATTTTCTTTATTAAATTTACATATTATACAATTGCAAAGGTAACAATGCAGAAGGTACAGAAATGGTTGAAAGAGTATAAATAATGATTTACTATAACTTTATTATAATTAATAGCGTATTATTTTGCTTTTTAATCAATTCTAAAACAAAATTCCTTATCAAGCATGGAATGGCAAAACATTTGAAACAATTTTTCCAAGACATCTCGCCATATATTTACTTATTTCTTAAAAAATATGTATATAAATATAAATAAACAAAATGTAATCGAGCTTGATCAATATAAGTGGAATATATTTAACAATCTACAAAAAAAAAGAAGCGCACAAAATAAAAAAAAACTAAGACGCAACAAGAAATCACTAACAATTTGAAATGTGAGTCGAATGTTACTGCATATATCACTGATAGTCTTGCTGTTAATAAAAAGCAACTCATTGGGGATACGGTCTATACTGTTGTTGGGGATAAGGGTAATTTTGATTTGGAGGTGCATATCCAGGATAAGCGGGCAATTGAGTGGGTGGTCCTTGATAACCAGGAGCTGTAAAAGAAACAATATAAATATTATTATTTGCATGGAGAGTAATTAAATACACAGGGGTATCATTAATGAGGAATGTGAAAGATTATATAATTTGCAAAAGCAAACAATTTAGGGTCACCATAAACACTCAGGAAAAGACTCCTTGATTTTTCTATTTTAATTTTATTGAGTTTCTCTGATTTTTGCAATTAAATTTGTAACATTTATTTTTAAGTAATGCCTCAATCTTATAGGTAAAATATATTATATATATATATATTATATATAGCACAATAAAGAGAAAAAAAAAATGAAGAAAGTTAATAAGTTTTATTTACTGTGCATGAGTTGCAAGCATATAGAACTCATAAAATAAGTTAAAAATATCGAGAAAACATGGAAAATAATAAAGATTAATGAAAAGAGAAGAAGAAAAATTAATAAAATAGAATAATCTACATTACATTTACTTTAGTTTAATAATTTTTCTTCTTCTCTTTATATTAATCTTATTATTATTTTCCATGTTTTCGCTATATTTTTAACTTTAATTTATATATATATATAGATATAAGCTCACCGGACAAAAAATTAGTCACCCCATTGTGCAAGCACCGATGAATCATCAGGTTTCATTAGATGACGCAGTTGCCAAGTGACGTGCTCCAAATCAATGTGATCAAAGGCAAGTAGGCATCAGTGAGATATTTTTGTTTTAAGCGGAAATTATGTGTAAATATGGGTAAGTGTAAGGATGTGACAAAAAGGGGCAATTGTGTTTGGCCGTGCACATGGTTATACGGTGAATAAAGTCGCTGGATTTGTTGGTGTTTGGATACAGACTGTTCAATGAGTCTACTTGGAGTGGTGGCCACGAAGAATGACGTCAAGATTGTGGCCGGAAAGAGATTCTGCATGAAAGGGACTGGAGACATGTTTCAGGACTTGTCAATCAAAATCGCTTCTAAACCCAAGACAAATTGCTTCTGTTAGTGAATGTAGGTCCATCCTAACCTGTTATTGATTGAACATTGCGATGGGAGCTGCATGCAATGGACATTTGGAGTCGAACGGCTCATAAGAGGCCATTGCTAACACAGGAACATAAAGCTGTGCAACTTCAGTGGGCTAGAAATTACGGAAAGTGGACAGCTGCTGACTGGCGGAAGTAATATGGTCCGACAAATCACGTTTTTGCCTTTATTCAAATGAAGCACATTGTATAGTGCACCGAAGACCAGATAAAGCATTTCATCCTGACTTTAGCAAGGTCAGGTTCAAGCCGGAGGTGGGTCCATCATGTTTTGGGGGGTGTTTTTCTTATTTTGGATTGAGCCCCCATCACTGATGTGATCACCAGCATGAACCAATATGTTTATTTGAATATTCTAGATGATCAGGTGTTGTCTTTCAGTCAACATTTTCATGAAGAATATCCTGTTGACCCTTATTTTTCAAGATGACAACAGCAAAGCTCATCGGGCTGGAAGAATATGTGAATATGATTTTATGAACACTCAACTACATCTCGACTGGCCTGCAAAATCCTCTGACTTGAACCTCATTGAAAATTTCTGGGATATGTTGGAACAACGGATAAAACTCCGAAATCAGCATCCTCACAATTTGGTGGATTTGCGTGATCAAATCTTCAGCAAATGTATTTAACATGATTTGACGTACCTGCAAAACCTCATGGACTCACTTCCTAACCAAATCCAAGCGGTTATCAAAACCAGAGGTGGTGTTACAAGTTATTAAATTACGTTTTTCATGATTTCTCTAAGGATGACTAATTGTTTGTCCTGTGTGCTGCTCATATATATTAAAGATTATAGCAAGAGCAAACGCGACATGTCCATAGCTTAACAGCCCTATATTGTACGTTTTGACAAGTAATATTACTCCGACTTAACAAACATTTCACAATTCCAAGACCCTTGTCATATAAGGTTACTACTGTATTTACAGCGTATTATCTAAATCTAAAGTTTATAAAACCATGACTTACAAAGGTTAATACATTATTTCTCAATAATAACAAACTCACCAGGTGGAAATGGAGGCATCATAAGCTGGCCATATGGATTATAAGCATTTGGAGCAGATGGATAAGGATATGTAGGATAAGGATAAGCTGGATAAGGCGGAATGTGCTGCTGAGGCATTTGTGATGCTCCATCAGAAGGGGGATAACCGTAATTCTGCTGTGCCTGTGGTCCACTATTTTCATTGGTTTTTGGAGGTGGTGGTCTTGTTGGCTTTGGTGGAGCTGAAGAAAACAATGAAACAATTGATAAAAATACAAAACCACCATGGTTTCATGTATTGTATCACTTATAGTAATATGAAAACAAAATTTAGTATAGGCTAATATTACACGTTTTTTTAAAATTTTTTTTAACCAGAGTTGATTAGTAAATAATTAAGTACTCGGGCAACACCCAGCTGTCAACCAAGTGGGTCATAGAGGTTCAGGCTCGGCAATTTTTAAACGAAGGGTATGCTGGTGGTAATGTGCACAAGTCACCTCTTTATCACTAGACAAACTAGTGCTGATAGGCTTGAAGTTGGGTGGGCTTCAATTTACCACAAAGGATAGAACCCCTTCCTGAAAAACAACAGCTCATATCTAAATCATTGGGGCTCATTACACTTGAAACAGTTGTACTATCTCAAGAGTAATTAAAAGTTTAAAGAATTAAGGTTAAGTTAGATTATATGGCAAACAGTGGTTATTTAATAAATTTAAATAAATATTTATAACAACATTCATGTTTATTTTACCTAGGACTAATTAAACTAGATAACTAAGTGGCAGTAAAAATGATTTTGTTAGGGTTCGTGCTCGCCATCTCGCCATATGCAATAAAATTGTAAATTTCGAGAATAAAATTGCGGTTTGGCAAAAGATTTATTTCCACTGGAAAGATAAATATACATTTAACTCAATCCTTAAAATTACGTCAAAATGAATTTTTCTAAACAAATCAGTATTTTTTATTCAATTACAGTAATTTTCAGTAGATGCGCCGCATAACCAATTAGAATTGAGTTCGAATAATATAAGTTTGAAACAAACTACCGTAAAACAGTTTTCTATGGGGGGAAAATGAATCGTTTAAAATTTTTTAAGATTTGCATTTGGCGAATACTTTTGAAAACTGGAAAAAACTTTTGATATTTGGTTAATAATTTTAAATCCTTAGTGCGGGCCCTGAATATAGCCTTGTAAAATATTCATGATATTGTCATATTCGATGCACATATGTGTATTATGTACAGGTGAGGTCAACAGTTTCTCCATTCGTTTAGCAATAATGGGAGTGTTTTATGAGGCAAATTTTGATCCAAGCTAAGTTAATGATATTTCAACTGTTTAGCGATATATTTTTGTCTAAAAAAGGTGGGTATAAGGGATGGTAAAATAATTTAAATTATGAAAACTAGTAAATTAGGAAAGTTAGGAAGGAAAATTTATACCTGTATGGTGAGGAGGAGCTAAAGGTGTAGGTTGATTAGCTTGAGTCACAATATTTTTTTGAAGGTCTTTGCATAGCTCTTCCTTCTCTGTTTTACGTGCAAAGCAGAAATCATTGATTTTGTTTTGAAATGTAACTAGCACTTCAGTTAAATTGTTATAAAACTGCAAGAAAATACATTCATAAAATTTAAAAACAAAGACTTTATTCAATTAAAGATATAAAGTACACTTTGTGTCTAATGCGAATAAAAAGGAAAATGTGAATAACACACAAACAAAGGAACAAAAATTTGGATTTTGACACTGAGAAAGCAAAACAATAGTATGTCCATTTTGGACCATTATTTGTGCTTTATTCACATGGTTCTGTTTTATTCAAAGATTATAAGGACAAAAATAAACAGAATTTACAGACATCATTGAGAACATATTACAGAGGATCTTTATTGAGTATTTTAGTAACAATTAGAGTTTTTAAAGAATGGCAACATGATTACTGATTACCTAAATATATTTAGGAGGTTAGTTGTAGGTTCTGATCATCTAAGCATGTTTAGGTGACTAATTTTATTTTATAACTATCGTTGAATAGCCGACCTAATTTTTGGGTTTACGACTACTAATGTTGAACTCCGTAGCCTTGTAATTTTGAACTCAATCCAGATAGGGGAACTCCTGAATCAAGCATTGGGAGAAATTTGCCTTCGTGGAGGACTTTTTGATGTAATTATCATGCATTTGCATTACATGGAGAGGAAAACCTCCCGCGGTTAGCCTGATGGCAAGGGGAGACTAACCCATGATCCGTCTACCACTAAGGATATTTTAAGTTATCACTGTGATCGGTGCGAGAAGGATGCGGAATTGGTTTTGACCAGCCACTGCTGGTTTTCGAGCCTGCTTCATCTTATTGGAAGGCAAACGCTCTATCCCCTGAGCCATCGCGGCTCTAGGTGATTAACTATACTGATTGCCTAATCATGTTAGGTGATTAGTACAATAAATGTATTGCTTTATGCCCAGCAGTGTAAGTCTCTTATCCAGAACTGCCAAAACTTCTGCAAGTGTGATGAAAAAAAAATTTTTTTTGCACAATTAGCAGGTAATAAATAACTCAAAATAAATTATAACACAAACAAATACTAATATTTGTATTAGTTTTTCACTCAATGAATTATTTTAAAGTTAAATGTTATTTAATGTACCACAGTATATTTTTAAGAAAAAAATATATAAATAGCAAAAACAAACTAAAATTTTTGTATTTCCTAACTATACATAGCTCTCAAAGTTAAAAAAGAAGAAAGAAAAAAATCATGCAGATTTTATGTAATTGTATAAGCTTTATGAAGATTTTACAAAATAATTAAATTTAAAAAGCAATTAGGGTCAACTGGAGTAATTATGACCACAGATAACTGTGACCAGCAACATTTTTAAAATACTCTTCCAGGGCGGGAATTAAATAAATTCTCAAATCCAATGAGTTTTGTTATTCTGCAAAAAAGGGAGCAAGCCTTTAAGAAAATATTTATTAAAAAACTTTTTTTTTTTTAAATTAAGACTCCAGAAAATAGAAATTTTTTTGAACAAAACTAAATATTGCTTTAAAAAACTAGCTATTGTTCAATATACTTCAGCTATTTCAGTTATTTTACTTAAACTTACCTTTGATCCCTCTTCAAGATTTCCTAATAATTCAATGAAGGCATCATGTGCTGCAGCAAGCTCACACATTATAGTTTCTCTTTTCTGAGCAGAACCACTGGTATTTTTTTCTTTAGAAAATTCATTGTTTGCATTCTAATTAAAATAAAAAATTATAATTACAATTTTATAACATAAGTCTAATTTTTACTAATTTCTTTGTAACAATACAGTTTATTACATGCTTAAGGTAGTAAGGCACTTAAGGTAGAACAGTTTAACGAGGACGAATACAGCACATTCTTGGTCCGTTTGTAGACTGATCCAAGTGTTTACAGACCAGGACACTGATCACAGCCAGTGATACTTGACTTTGGTGTTCTACTGGAGACCGTGTCATAACGATCAGTGCACTGAGGGACAATATAATTTTGAAATACTTCAAATATTTTCAACCAGGGACTTATGGTCAAACTAAAATAAACTTTGTCAATTTTGTACTAAACAAACAAGACACATGGGTATTTTTTGGGCTTACTAAATAGTTTGTACCCTATTAGAAGATATTTCTCATTTATTGTGTAGCTTAAAGATTTTGCCATCGGCAACACTGGAGTTTTTGCAAAACTTTATTTTAATGATTAAAATGTTTATCTCCAAACTTACCCCTGTGGATGGATCCAGTTATGTGATAATAAGATAAGTTATAAAATATTACCTTCAGTAATTTGATATTAATGTGTGATTATTATTTTTCCTTTTTTGTTTTTGTTTTGACAGAGCATTTTAATGTTCTTATAAACCAATAAATTACGTCCAATAGAAAGCTTCTTTTTTTTTAAGTGGGCTGACATAACGAAAAAAATCAACCCTTCCAAACTAATGAAACAAAGACACTTCCATGACGCTGAGATTGATTATTACAAGTTCAAAGCAAAAGGTAAGCATTCAAAAGTCATAAAAACGTGAATTAAGTTTCTTTTTTCAAGTATAATTTTTTTTAATTTTATGTTTAAATACGTAAAATAACCTTTTCTTTTTTCTACTTTACAGTGTCATTTCATTAGCAGACTCTTGTGCAAGGGGTTAAATCAATCTAGTATGTGAATTGTGTTCAATTTCTATTAAACTAAATTAGTGCTATGTAGAAGCTCTGTACTTAGCTCTTATTTTAAACCAAAATTTTCAAAATAGAAAAAAATATATATAAGGGGAATTATTTTTTTTAATTCTGCAGTTTGCATCCCTATACTTTGTTAATTAGCTAAACTCAGTTTGGACACATAAAGTGCATATAATATATTTTTTATTAATGAACATGTAAGTGAAACAGGGTTGGGTTTTTGACGTCAAAAAGTGGTTTTTGACATGACAAGGGTATAATACTGGTTTAAACCGTCAAAAACTGAAGTTTGCCAAGAAAATATATAAACTTCAAAACTAACAACAGTTGTGATGTTGTTGAATATTGAAATTTAATTACACTATAGGTAATCAGCAGGTTTTAAAATATTTTTTAATTAAAATTAAGGTAAAATAACAGATTTAAAATCTCAGAAATTTATATTCAAATGCATGTGCAGAAAAATTTTGCACAAAAATTGTTTAAATATTTATTTTAAAAAATTTTTTTTTTCTTTTTGATACTTAAGAAAATTAAAAGTTTATTACTATGCATTTTTGACATATAAGGAACATATAACTAATATTTATAAGGAACTTACAAGTTATGTTGTATAAATACAAACTTGATACAAGATACAAGTGTATAAAAAATTTTTTTTAATGTTATACCGAATATCTTTATTATCCAGTATGTTAATTTGAATTTAAAAGTAGTTATATTTATGAATAATGATAAATATAATTCATATTGTTTATTATATTTATTTATAATTATTACACTTATCATTTTAAAACAATTTTTATCTCTTAATTTTTTTTTCTCCACTTGTATTAAGAATACAAATAATGCATATCTTGAAAGCAAGAAGTAATTATTCAACAGCTGAATATTTAGATATTCAACAAATCTATATAGTATTCAGCAAAATGAAATTCACAAGTATTTGGATAAACTAAATTTTCAGCATAGTAAATGAATAGGCTGAATATACTGTAAATCGACACTAACTACTCTGTGTATTTAACAGAAAGCACTTAAATTTGTATTGTCTTATGTTAAAAAGATTATTAAGAAGATTTAAAAGAATATTAAAAAGATTTTTCTTTAAAAGATGTCTAATGTACAAAACTGCTAATGTTTATCTTTAAAAATGTCTAATTTTTAGTATAATCTATACTATACACTAAATTTGGTTATAAATAAATTTCTTAATAATATCACTGCAGATTTTCAATAACACATGAAAATGAATACATAATATTACAAAAGATGTGAGTTTTCAAAAGTACAAGATTTTGGTTACTATTCAAAATATAAGTGTTTCTTCAAAATTTTAAATTTATATTTTTCTAGAACATATTTAGAAACACTATCATTTATAAAAAATATATAAATTTTATGTATTAATTAAATTTCACATATGAATATCGGTTTTTGACATTTCCGAAATTTTTGACAGTGAGGTTTTTGACGTGATGGTTTAAACCGTCAAAAACTGTCACATGCCAAAAACCTGCCAACCCTGAAGTGAAAGTACGAAAATTAGCTAAAAGTAGCCCGTGTTGACAATAGGCATATTTTAAAAACTAAAATATTTTTAAAAATCCATTTACATAATTTTAGAAAATACTAATAGGTAAGTAATAATACAGGAGTAAAGAGCCACCCTTCCACTATCAAAAACTAATTAAAAAGTGATTATTAACACATCCTTTAGAATACGAGTAAAGCTACATTTTTGACATTTTATCAAAAAAGAATTTCACCAAAAGTCCAGCCAATCACTACAATTTTTAACACAATTTTTTTAGTAATTTAAATATTTGGTGAAACAAGAAAAGACTGGAAAGTGAAAAAAAGCACAAAATAATAATAGTAATTAACATAACATTTTGATAATAACTAGACATTTTAATAATAACCTAATATGTTAATGTGTAAATGATACAAGATTTTTGACATATGGCTGTCCTGATATTAAATAATAATTAGTTGCACACTTGCATCAAAATAAACTATTAGCCATCATATTTATTAAGAAAAGAAATAAGAATTAAAAAATGAACATAGATTTCAGAAATGAATGAAATATAAAAATGAAGGAGATATGTAAGGCCTATAATAGCACGGCAGCAACTTATAGTTATAATAGTAAATATAAAACATACCTGTATATCCCGCACCATCCGTTCTTGTTTTTCAATATTTTCCCTGGCACGTTTTTGAATGGGACCATAAATTTCACCCAACGTTTCAACAGAAAGTGCTGCTTCATTTACACTTCCATCATTCAATGCAACAAGAAATTTGGCTTCTATAAAACAATTAAATCTTTAAGAATATAATCTGCAACAATTAATTTTTATTAATGGAATGATGTTGATACTAAACATTAATCTAAATAAGCTAAAAGCCACTCACTTTTAAGTACTAATTTTTAAAATAAGAAAAAAACAAAAAGAATTTACAAAAACTAAAATTTAGAAAGTAACTTTACAATGAAAGTAATGGATAATTTCTTTTTTTAGTTACTATCATTTAAAAGTCATTTTAGAAAACTTCAAACCTAAGCAGGGTGTTACACTGGTAAGTAATACAGGGCTTAAAATAAATGGTTGTCCATTTGACAAAGATCACTAAAATTTGATTGCGATTGTCATAAACTAACTATCAGTAGTCCCTCAAACCAGCAGCCAAAGTAAAAGGATGGTATAATTTTTTGTTGTTGTCTTATTTCATGTTTTAGTTGTTGTTTTTGTCACAAAATTTCACCATTACTGTGCCATTATACATAATCTGTGTGATTTTTCATACACAGCTTTGTAACATATTTTAATTTCAGGTAGTTTGAACCAGTGATTAAATTTTTTCATTTCTACTCCTGATGTATGTTTCATTATTGTGATAATTATAATTATTGAATGTTTTACATAATTACTTTCAGTAGAAATTGTTTAAAAGTAACAAGATGTTTTCACTATTTTATCTTTTAAAGAATCATAGAAACATACAAAGTGTGGCACATCATTGTTTATAAATAAAAACATTAAATGTTTTAATGTTCTGGTAAAAAATTCTAGCAGTGCTATCATTTTAAAAATGTATGAAACTTTAAAAAAAAAAGTGACAAATCAGAACTATTCAAATAATTATCCTGATCACAACATTTATTAAGATTATAGTATTATAAAATGCTTATGCTCACATAGTATACAAAATAAATATTAAGAGTAAAATTAACTTGACAATTACTCATGTCTGTGGCAGCACTATCAAATTCTTGAAGAATTTCTTCTCTCTCCCCTTTTAACCTCTCAACTTCACGCATTAAGCTCTTTAACCGTTCGACAGATTGGCAGGATGCAACTGGGCTACCAGCTGGTATACCGGATATCATCTGATCCTGTAAATGAAATTGAATCAATACCTTACATATTTATCTTCACCTAAATTGTAAAAAAGTAACTAACCTGTGCTATCCCAAAATTAATCGTTTTTACAACAGATAACGATGTTCCGCAATTAGATGGGAGCAGAAAATTAATAGCCTGGTAAAACTGCAATTTCACCAAGGAGTATACACCGGATTAAATTTTTCTAATTTATCATATTTTTAAAACAGTTTTCATTTCTTTTGTATTCATAAATTGATTAATTTATAAGATTCCTACATTCAAAGAATCAATCTAACATTTTCCCCTTGCTAATTTTTTATTAAATATTTGCCGGAATTCACTAATAATGCTGTACTGTAAAATTAAGACACAGCAAATAAAAAAATTTCTTGTTAAATGCCTACCAGAGAGTATATGAATTGTACACACGAATATATGCATCATTAATAATTAAGAAATGCAATAAAAATAATTTTTTATATTAAATGTTAAATTATGCATTAAACTTTAAAAGCCACCTATTAATCTTTTAAATTAATGTCTGTCATACATTAATAATATCTAAAAAACAGTAAAATTATTATATTTACTAAATTTTAATTAAAAGTTTTAGAAATACTAACCGATTGGATCAAACATATTGTACTTGAATAAATAAGATATTTGAACATAAAAATTGTACATTGTTTAAACTTGAATACAATATTTTCAGGAACTTTTAAAGCATAATACAGTTAAATATTTTCAATAAATACTGAATTGAACTATTATATTCTCTAAGCGTTATTACATTTATAAAATATGCTTGTATATTTTATAAAAGTACAAACAGCTTAACCTGAATAAAATATTTTACAATAATGAAACTAATTCAATGAAATTTAATAAAATCCTTTTCTTAAAATTATTATAATAATTTAGTCAGTTTAATAATTTTTATAGAAAATATAAAAGTTTTTCTGTAATTTCAAACTTTGTTGAAAACAAGCATGAAACAGATCACATCTCTAGATAAGAAAAAAAATGTTTTACATTGCTGCCAACAAGGATAGGAAAAAATTCAGCAGATTTTACAAAATATAAATTTCTTAATAACTGTTGCGTAATACGCTAATTATTTTACATATAGGAATTTTTTTTGTAATCAAAATACAAAAATTTTATTACAGTAAACAATTAATTTTAAATGTTTTTTTATTATGTTAACTCCTAATTTTGAATACTAATAAACAAGTAATTTATTATCAACAGTTGAAAAAAAAAGTTTATTAATTTAGAAAGAGAACTCTGAATAAAAATAAACAGAAAATGTTAGAAATAATAATTTAAAAAAAGCTTCAAACTGATTACTATAAATGAGGCTTGCGTCGATATGTATTAGTAATATTTATTTAAATATTCAAGCAAGCAATAAAATGTGTAAAAATTCTATTTTAATAGGGATTTTTTTAAGAAATTTACTCAGTTTTAGGAAATCTTTTAAAATATACAAAAACCAAAATTTTTATTAAAGCCAGTAGACCAGGAGAAATTAGAAAAATCCAGTAAAGTTGGCAGCTATGGTTTTAAATATTTTCTTCCACTTACCTCAGGTAAGCACAGAAGAGCTATCTTGTCCCTGTGTTTCTCAAATTTCTCTTTGACAATTCCATCAGCTGCAACAGCTGTGCTGATTATTTGAGAATACTTTTGTATATTGTCCTTTAACGGTTGATTCAGTTTTGTCGATGTTGTGCGCAGCCATTGATTTCCAAATTTTGATCTCAACTCATTATCTGATTCTTCTTCATCATTTAAAGAACTTTGACACTAAAAGGATGAAGGAGAAAAGTTATGGAATAATTACAAGCATAAGTTAGAAGAAATTACATAAAAATCATACAGTATGAGATCGTTCATCAGAAAAATTGAAATAAAAAAGACGAAAACTTCCATTATTCCCTTTGTGGAGAGAGTTGTTATCGACAATGTCAACCTTCATCTATGAAAAAGTACCCCAACATAGAACAGGGTTAACATGTCTGATATACTAGTGAATTGACATTGTATTTTTGTAATGGTAGACACACTACAGTACTCCCCCACCAGAATTATAGATGTGATAGAATTCGATGAATGACATTAGTGGTATCCACTAGCTTTGAATCAACTAGTGGTATCCACTAGTTGATTTATTGCTGTTTTGTGAAAAGCCGGGAGAGCTGTATTAGATCACCTGACTTTTGAGAGCTGTTTTAAGTTCACAGTCCTGGTCGCTCCTGTGTTGCCTTTAGCAGCCGAGTGTATATGTGGTACGTTGAGTGTGATCGAGACTGAGTAGCAACAGCATGAGGAGGTGGATAATGATGCAGTCACAAGTAGCAAGTCAACTGTTCAATGTGGACCATCCATCGAAGTAGGCAAGTTCAGATAGAAGTGGGCATTACTGTCAGATAAGCGTGTTCCGATCAAAGTGGGAATTTCTGTCAAGGTATGCATGTTCACATCATGCCGGATTGTCACCAATGTGGTGAGAGTTGTTATCGACAATGTCAACCTTCATTTATGAAAAGGTACCACAACATAGAATTGAGTTAACATGTCTTATATACCAGTGAATCGGCATTGTATTTTTGTAGTGGTAGACACAATTCACCCTTCTCATAGGATGTACAACAATAGCTTAGCGATGTGATACCATGGAAAACTGAGAATGAGGGAGAATGACATTCGAACCAAGGATCAGAGTAAAGGGTGTACACCACTACCAGGGTGAGTTAAGAAGCTTTATATAGTAGCTGTCACACACTCTGCCTGCCCTGAACGAGAAGTCTGACTATAGCAGGATTGCTACTCTGATCTGGAAAAAGAATTCCATGTGTTTTCCCTTAACATATTATACACAATATATTAAGAGGAACCACACAATCACTCTGCTCTTGTGTGAGCTATATTGGTCTAACTATATTAATTTTAATAGCTGGAAAAACTTAGAGAAAAAAGGTACAGCTGAACATACTTGAAACAAATAATGCTCTAGTAAATGAAATAGTTTATTATAGCTGAAATATCATTTTTAAACATCCGATAGATCGCACTTTGAGTAGTCACTATTTTTTAACAGACGAAAATAAGAAACAAAATTCACTGTATTTTCCCAGTTTGTAATGAAAAACTCAAAATTCCCTGTTAATTTAGATGACTTTTAAATTCCCTGTATTTTCCAGGTTTTCCCTGTGGAGTAGTAACCTGGTCATGCATGAGCTTTTCACAAGCCTCATTCCAATGTAATTGAGACATTGACCTTATAGACCCTAGTGAATTGATATGAGCTGTGGAATGCGGCATAATAGTAAAAAGCTGACATCTGCTAAAGATTGAGATAGTTGAATGTTTGAGTTTCCGTAGTCGTCAATGTGGAGGGATGAGAGAGAGGGAGATGGTAGAAGGAAGCTCTAGCATTTTTTTATACTTTTTACTTAAAGATTCAAGTAAGAAGAAAGAAATTTAGTAACTCAAAGAACAAAAAATTCCCTAAAAAATGAAGTTGATTAGAGCATTTGGACTTCTCAATTTTGATTTTAAAATGCTTACAGATAAAAGACAACTTAGAATAAATTATCTGTTTCACTGCTGTATATAGGAAGATGCAAACAATTTTGCATATGTGGTGCCGTGCAAGTCCAAAATGTGGTTAATTTCAACATTCTCCAATTATTTCAGATTTTATGCCAGTTTACTTGATATTAATAAAATCTCTTTAGGGTAGATTAGGAAAAGCATCATCAAATCAGTTTAGGAAATACCAGGCGATATCCCACACATTCCTGTCAGATTATTATGTTGGTTAATTTGGTTATTATTAATAATGATCACCAATTGTTGATAATAATAATTCTTTTGTAAATGTAATAAAAAGTACACAAGAATAATACTGCCACATACTCTTCACACTAGGGTTACAGGCCACTGACAGCTAAACATTGAATTTTGGATCTATAACAAATATTTCTGATATTCACCACAATAACCATATTAAAGTAAACTTAAAAGAATATGAAGTTAAACAGTAATTGGAAACATCAGATGTATTAACAATAAATGATGTATCAAAATGCTTTTAAGTCATGTGGACAAAGGGTATCAGATAACCTCAGTGTCGTATGGTCTAGTGTCAGACAATCAGGATTCTACTGTTTTTATTTTTAAGAATAAGAATATTAAGGCAATTTCTTCATTTAAGTCACATTATTACAATATTTGATAACTAGTAACATTATATTTAAACATGCATTAAAATTAGTTTAAACAACGAACTTAAGTTACAGAATTATACTAATCCTCAAATAAACTCTACCTTAAATTTCTAGTAATTTCAAATTTTTCACATCACCTCAGGATCTGGTTCACTCATTAACATGCGGTATGTCAAACTGAGAGTACACAGCATTTGAAGAAATTAAAGTAAGAAAAGTACTTACTTCTCGTAGAATTTCATTGTTGCGTTGGAGGAGATCGGGGAGTTCATTCAGAAGTCTTTGCAGAGCATCAATTCCGCCCTTCTGTTGAACTAATTGAGCCTTCTCCCTCAATGACTGAGGAAGAAGATTACCAGATGTATCTTCTAATGCAGCAGGCAAATTCAATGACGCTAATATTCTAAAAATATTTCAATGATCTTAGAATACATAGTATTATGCGAACACGGGAATTTTTAAAAATAAGAAAATAATGATCTAATCATTAAATTAAGAGTTAATACAATATATATGTTTTCCCCAATTATCTTAGAAATAAGAAAATACAGTAGAGCGCCGATTATCCGAATGTCCAATTATCCAAACTATCTCCGAATTCGCTTTTTTTTCCTTCTCTTTTTTAAGTTTAGAATTTTTTTTAACTTATCGACAATTTTTCTAAATTTAAAGGAATAGAATACATCTGAAGACCATATTTCATTTACAACCTTTTTCAGCAGTTTACTTATAGTAGCCATACATACATGTATTGTTATACAGTTAAACCTACATACCCCTTAAACCTACATACCCCTTTAGAGCCCTCTTCAACTGAAAATTATCATCAAAGAACGGGAGCTTCATTTTGACAATCTACAATTGTTGGAAAGCGGAATGTGTTTATGAATAGATAAGTGCTGAAATTCTACAATTGGGAGATGAGTAGTTGTCACTCATTGTTAATAATTAGTGATTACAGTGCTTGGAATCTTAAATCTTGGAATAAAATTCTTATCAGAAAAACAAACGAAACTGCGGTTTGTGAATCGGTAGATCTTTCGGGTGAAAATATGCCAGGTTATACAACAGAAGAAATAGAAGACTGGTGTCGAGACACTGAAAACGACTCAGGATTTCAAATTTTAAATGATCATGAAATTGTTTCTGAAATTTTGAATGAAAATCGGAACTCCTCAGATTAAGAGGAAGAAGTACGTGATCAAGTTCAAGATAGTGGACCTTCTCATAGAAGAATGCAATTCATTAGATATTGCAATTCATTAGATATTGCAATGAATTGCCTAGAACATCAAAATGATGTTGATCCAATTTAGTTGATTTATTTAAAAATAATAAGGGATATGGCTGCACAAAAAAGAGCATGTCCTTTGAAACAAAAGTCTTTGCTGGATATCTTTTGCAATGGAAAATAAAGAAATATGTGGTAAAATCAGTAATTGACAAAAAAAATTATAAAAAAGCCGAAATATGATAAAAATGATTTAAGTTGAAAAAAAATTTTTAAAAAAAATATATTTAAAAATAGAGAAAAAAAAAAGTCTTAAACTTGCCAGAGCTATTTTAGATAGTACTGCCAGTCCTAAGCCCAGAAAAAGTGTGAAGGGAAGTTGGTGCATAAATAATAATCATTTAAACTAGGTTTTAAACAACTTTCCAATTATCCGAACCACGCTGGGTCCCGAGCAGTTCGAATAATCGGCGCTCTACTGTACTAATTATCTTATTCATTGTGTGCAGATCACTTTTTATTTATTTATTTACTGGAAATTGGTTGTAGCAAATTTTTTTTCAGTCTCAGTGCATATAACTATCATACCACCCCACCATGACCAAAGCCTCACTTCGTAAAGTTTTATTTTTCATTGGCCATGTTAGGAATGCTACATAATTTTGACCCTTTTTAGATGATATGGATAGTGCCTGAGCTGGCAATCCTGCTCTCAAAAACTTCAACACCACAACTAGGCCAGGATGGCCTGGTTGAAGTTAAACTTTGTAAGTTTAAATATTTTTTGAAGGATAAGCAGTTCATAAAATTTGCTGCTTCTTAAAATCAAAATATACCAAAACAACTCTGTCAGTATCTAATTAATTCAAGAAGAATAGATTACTTAGTGCTACGTAGACTACAGCAGAGAAAAAAGGTAAAACACAAATGAAAGTACAGAAATGGACATGCTATAGTTTTGGTTCTATTAACAAGAGCCTAGACTTTAAGATAGGTTCTTGCAGGTATTGAGAATGCAAAAAAAAAAATATATGGTCAGATTGTTACAATAAATGTTTCATTTAATAAAAAAAATGTCAAGAATGTTTCATTTAATAAAAAAAATGTCAAGAATGTTTCATTTAGTAAAAAAATATCTGATGCAAAAAAAGTTGAATAAAAGAAAAATATATGACTAGACTACAGCACTTTAACACAATTACCCATTTAACATCTGTGTTTCACTCTGGAGTTTTGTTTTTTCATTATTTACTATTTCCATTTTTCTTAAATCAAAGGCTGACATAGCTTGTTGCACTGCTATAGGTAACAAGGCACTAAACAAATCTGAAAAAAAAAAGAGCCTTGTTTTACTACATGTGACATAAAATTCTATTCCAACTACAATTTACTAATACATGAATTAAAATAATGCTTATTAATGTAATGTTTATTAATACAACAGTTGAAGAACCATCTTGTATTCAATTATAACTATTCACTAACTAAAATGAAGTCATATGGAAAGAAAGAAAAACTGCAATAGGTAGGGGGAAAAAACTGCAATCATATAATTGCCTCTCACAGTTACAAAATTTCAAGAAGAAAGTTGATAATAAGTTTAATCTTAAAATTAAAGAGAGTCAGATCACTTCTACCCTTAAGTATACTATTTAAGAATAATACCAGATAATCAAAATATTTACTCTTACTAATCGGATTCCCTGATAGGAAAAAAAAAGTTTCCACTCTTAAAGAAAACCAACATTTATTTTATTCATTTTTATAAGATGAGCTTTAATCTTCACAATTTAGTTACCTTGAGAGCTTGGATTTAATTTATCTCCAGGAAGGATAGGTTTAGCAAGTGCAGCCTTCCCAATTGGAGGAAGGGACTTGATATCTGGAATTCGTGCGTGATATATAAAGTCGTTATCTTTCTTAGCTTCTTCATAATTGTGAGTGATTTTGGGAATATAATCTTTGAAATCTGATGTCAAAATAGCTTTTGCTTCTGCTTGCCTCACAAGATCTAAGGCTCTCTAAAATAAAACATGAAAGCTTAAATATAACAAAAGATAAATACATCAATTATTATTGATAAAAATATTAAAACAAATAATAAATGCTACAATGCTAAACATAAGTTTTTTAATAAGTTTAATTCTTCAGCAAGAAATGGTTTTATTTGTAATATCTATTCAAAGACCATTATTTTATAAGTATTTATTTTTAAAAAAGCTGTCGGCCTAAACTTTTGCTTCTCCGTAATCACAGAACCATATTTTTATTTATAAGACAAGGTTCCTAATATACTTTTCAAAGTTTTTTTTTTTAACTTCTAATGGCAAAAGAGAATGACAAACTCTTACAAAAACAGTGAACAAAAAGGTGAACGACATACTTTCCAAAGTAAAAATAGGCACTTTTTAAAACCTTATAAGGGGCTTAAGCCAAATACAAGGGAAAAAAGGCCATATTTCCAAATTTAATATCTGTCTTTCAACCAAGTGAGATGCTTTTACAGTTCAGTTAAACTCATGAAAACAATGCTACATAAAAAATTCAATACTTATAAATTATGATAAAAATATTGTTTCATAAAATTTTTTAAAATAAACAGAGATAAGAGGAAGTTTAAAATAATAACAAGAGAGAGGTTAAAAATCAGAAGAAAAAAATATTTACAGATAAGCACACCTTAACAAAAAATTTCTCTTTAATAATCTTCTGTAGCTAAAAATAAAATCTGTAGAAATTAATAACAAAAAAGAGAGGGTAATGTGATTTGCTTTATCTTTATTTTCTTTTAGGTTTTTTTTCTTCATTTATTTATTGCATTTTTTCACTTTCATTTTAAGAGTCCATCTTATGTTACAGTCAATCTTAGTTTTTATACAGTCAGCATATCATTTCAATTAATTTTTAGACAATTATTTGATTAAAAATTGAATAAATTTTTATCATCATTGTGGAAAAATAAGTGTATAAATAAAATAATGAATATAATTCTAAGTTCCAACGTTATAATTTTTAAGTCATATTATAAATTCTAAGCTTAATATAAATAATATGCTAGAACAAGTTAACTAACTTGAAGCCTAGCAATTTCTTCTCCAACATCTTTCTTTGACTTACAAACCAGTGACTGGTAATATTCAGAAAGAGCAAGAAATCCAGCTTGCTTTCCAGCAACCATTGAAAGGCATTCCTGAAAATAAAAGTATTTTGTTTCAATAAGCAACACTGTTGCATAAAAGTTATACAACATTCAAGATTAAGTAATTTTCAAGATTATCTTTTCAATAATATTTTATACACTGAACATTAGTAGTCATAAACCCAAAATTAGTGTCGGCTGTTCAATGACGGCTATAAAATAAAATAAACGTATTAGAGCAGCAATATTCTTACTTTTGCACATTTTATAGGAAAAGGAAAAATACACAGTAACTTGCTTTATTACAACCAATTTCTTGCTACAATATGCACAGCACTAATCATGAAAATAGGTTTATGAGTAGTTTTCCATATTAAGCAGACACAAATGTATTTACTTCAAATTGTTGAAATGTTCTTGTCAATATTTTGAGCATCGAACAGCCGTTTATCACAAAATAACATGCGATTTTAGAAAAAAATAACTAAACAGCTCACCCTATATATAAAATAACTTACATGTTTGTATTATAAATAGATTTTGTCACAATTTTTGGAGGAAAAAATAAGAAGATTTATTGTTCCAGATAAACTCTCAGTCTATAAAAGTCACTCACTTTTTCAAATAGATGATGAACAGTCTCTTTCTCCATTAACTTTAATGCATCAGAATAGAGCTCTTCTGCTCTAGATGCAACTTTAGCAATGATAGCATCCTTCATATTATCTAAATAAAATATAAAATTTATAAAATAACTTGATTTTTATAAAATTAAAGATTATAAAAAAAATAATAGCTCTGGTTACATTCGCTTGTTTTTATTTTGCCATACCTGAAAATTTGGAAAAATGCTAATAAACATTAGTAAATTTATGCTTACATATAAAGATGGCATTTTAATAATGAAAAGTATCAAATGAAAAGTATCATAAATAAATAAATAAAAATGATTAGAATTTATTACATGAATTGTTCTTTTAATGTAAGGTAATTAAAATTGCTAATATTAAATCGTACGAAATTTACCTGCAGTAGCTTTAAAAAAGAAACTTTCTTGAGCTTGAGCTAACATTAAAGCTTGCAAAGCAGAAATAGTTTCTGATCTCATATCAGGAGTAGGTTCTTGAATAGCAGGAGGACAAGCTATAGTTTTCAAATGTGCGAAAGTTCCACTAGCCATCTAAAATTAATAAAAAGCATTGAGTTTAGACATGTATTATATCCAAAACATACATCTCCAAAAAACTTTTTAATATTTTTTTTCCTTCTTTTTAATACATTTTTGTCAAACTAAAGTGACTCAACTACAATATTTTAGAAATACTATACAAAATTCAAATAAATTAAAAAAATTATTATTCCATGCACAATATAAATATATGTAATTATTTCTTATCTATGGCAGATAATTTTAAGGGGAAAAATATTTCCATAAAATTAAAGGCAAAAACAAATAAACAATATCAATATAAGAGATAATTACTTGGAAATACTTGGCAGCTAGTTTCAAACCTTCATCGTTTTTTGTATCTGAAATATGACAGCAAGCTACCTGGCTCTGCATGGCACCAATATTAAAAAGAATGCAAGCCTTCTCATAAGCTATGGTTGGCAAAGCTGTGAAAAGAAAGATGCATCTCAATACACACCATTAAAATTAATTATAAAATAATCTGTCAACGATACAGATACAATAGAACTTGAAATTCAAAGTGTATAGATTTTGAAATTAGCAAATAATTATAATCTATAATAGAATCAGGACATAGATTTATTAAAAGAAGAGTCACTTAATCGGCCAATTAAACATTTTTCCCAATAAGCAGGATTATATCTAATGTTCAATATAATCACAAAAGTGTTCATCAAAATGGCCCACGATTACAACTACAAATGCAAGCATATCAAAACAAAAGACTTAAGCAATTGATTTAAATAAAAAATTTAAATTGCAAATGAGGAGAAAATGACAGAAAAGGAATTTTTCATTTAAATAACTACAGCCCTGTCAACTTCAGAAATTGTATAGGTCTGAGACTTTTCATGACAACAGTATAGCACAATAAGCAAAACAATTATAAAATTTTTAAAAAAAATCATTTACACACTCTTTAATTAAATTCATAAAAACTTTTTTATCCCTAAAAATTATAAAATAATTAATTTTTTTAAAACAGATAGAATGACTAATTTGGCATTTTCTAAAAGTGTTATGTAAAAAAATTTTCAAAAGCTATTTCTGGTTTGCCTACCAAGTCAACGAATTTTTCAAAGTTTGTTAAAGTTGTTGTATAATAAAGAACAGAATTAAGTCTGGGCTTTTGTTATGTGGCTTAATATTCTCTCCCAGTTCAGTGTAGAAAGGTCAAAACTGCCAATTTTAACTTGGCATACACCCTACAGGTATTACTTTTCCAGCTACTGATTTTACGCCATTCTAAACACCATTTATTAAAAACTATCTACAAAAAACTTGGTACTTCTGGAAGAAAGTTTTAAGGGCTGTATGCAAACAGTGCAAGAATACTCTGATTAGAGACTTCAAAGGAAAAAAGCTTGTGAAAATACTTTGATCGGCTGAGGTCCTGAGATTGGACACAAGAGCTTGAGACTTCACAGATAACTGATAAGAAAATAAGCAAGAGAAATAGGTATCTATACAGGAACTAGAAATAGGTATCTATATGAGAAACTATCTACCCAAGAGTAATAGATAGATTTTTAATAGCCATCACTTTATCCAAATATAAATTAAATAAACATAATCAATATTATACAAACTAAAAAACAAAAATAAATTGCAATACAATGAATTAAAAAACATAGTAAATTGCAGTAAAAACTATGATTGTTCTACAATGAACATAACAGTTCGGAGCACTTTCTGTAATAGGGCTTTTTTTCCAGAAAAAAAAATCTGTTAGCTGTTTTTATGCAATTTTATTAAAATTGCGTCTTTATTTGAAAAAGAAATACACATCATACAATAAATTCGCTTATGATATTATTAATTCTATGGAAAAACATTTTGAAGAAGCTAAAAAAAAAAATTTCAAACTTATTTTGGTATACATTTTATTCAATTTTAGTTACGACTAAATTACTGTAACGTAGATTTTGAACCTTGATATAATATTTTGAACCTTTCTCAATAAACTAATATAATCAAAAGAGCATTTTTGGCTTTACTTTTGTTAAACTCTTTTGTAATTAACCTTAATAATCAAGAGTGTAGTATTAAAAAAAATCTTATAATACTTACTAAGACTTGCTGACCCCATGAAAAAACTTCCCTTATCAAAAGCATCTTTCCATTTAAAGGGTATCTAGAATTACATGAAATTTCATTTAAAAAATAATGCCAAATGTTATTTAAAAATATCTGCAAATAATAATTTTAATACAATAAATACTTATTATTGGTAATGCAAAGTTAAAAATTCATCACTACAGGGATAGGTCATTACCAAAGATTAATGACACAAAACTATACAAAATCATAACAGGAAGTGGCTGAAGAATGCAGTTAATGTCTGATGAAAAAAGTGCCTATAAATAACTTTAAAATAAAATATAGATTATAAATGTACCCTTATAAGATGTGGTGTTCTCTAAATTACCAACAGAATAATTAAAATGAACTTTAATAATAATTTAAAAACAAAAAAGGCATAATGTATTTCAGGATAATCCAGTTGCTTACATTTTAGAAAAACTAATGTTAAAACTTTAAAAGAATTTTATGACCATTCCCTTTAAGTTAAAACTATAATGCGTAGAGATAGAAACAAAAAAAAAATTTAGTCACCAGTTCCAAGGACTAGCCACTTAAAGATTCTACTAATCCATAGACATTTCTACAGGTCTCCTACTCGTATTATATATTTAAAAATATACTTAAAAATTTAATGAATAAAATAAATTTAACCACAAAGTTACTTAAACTTTTGTTAACTAATTTAAAAATACAAATAAAGCTTGATATAAATTGAAATTTTATAATTATGTTTTAATAAACAGGTTTAGTGATGCCTTTACTATAAGTAAAGCAATATATTAAGTATTAAAAGTTTAAAAAAATAAAATTAAGTGAAAACTTATGGATTAATTGTTATAATTCAAATTATGATGAAGAAACCCAGATCAAAGATTTATGACATAAACACAGACTAAAATAACAATCTATGTCATCATCTTATCTATTTTTATTTTCATTTATCAAATGATTCAATAATAGTTACATGTATTTGTAACATGATGTGAAAATAGTAGCAACAGAATAATTTGCTTTTCTAAGTGAAGCAACTGAATTACAACATTGTACATGCTTCATTCGACAAAGATTACGGCTTTTTACCTTACTTTTTCAAATGTCACAAGTTAATGTATTTCAAGAAATTCATATTCAATGTTCGGCAATGTTTGACTTCAAATCCGATTCAGCATACAAGTATAGCATCAATCTCACATTCAACGTCTTTGTGATGGAAGCTAACCAACATTTGTGTTACACAGAGAGAAAAAAGGCAATTTTAATTCGCATATCAACATAAGTATTCTAACTCCTGACCTAGCTATTATGAGGAAAAGAGATATTTCTGCATTGGTATCTGTTCCTACCTACTATCTTCGCAAAGACAAACAGTTTTTAAACTACCAAAAATTATGTTGTTTCCCTAGAGATGGATGAGTTAAATGTTGAGAGTTAGTTAGATTCTGTATTTTTATTTTATTTTATAGTTTCTTGAGGGCAACTCCCCTGAAGTTACCAAACTTAATAATAAATTGGCATAGATACCAATATGGAAATCTTCCCTTCTGAAGAAATAATATTTCACCAGCACTAACTTACATATATGTGCAAACCTAATTACTCAACGCCATTCAGGTATCTCAGCTTTGTGCTTAGTTTTAGTTTATTTATTTTCCAGCTATTATTTAACTGGGAGGAAATATAATTCTTTTTAGTGTATTTTAGAAAAAATAAAGTGTCCTTGAGTTGCCAAGAATTATTCCTAATTTATTACAGCTATATATCTACCAGTTGTAAAGATGTCTATAGCTAGCCTCTTTTAGAAAAGCATAAAGTATATGTGACTAACTAAGAGTTAGTAATAATTTGTAAGAAGTAGACAGTTAGATCTGTTGAAAGTTTTTGTTAGAGAAAGCTTTAACTCTTAATTATAATTTATGAACTGCTTATAACTTTTTTGGATCAAAAGCGGTCCAAATTTTTCATATGACAGTACATAAGCTAATATGTAGCTTTAAGTCTAAATTGTAAATCAATCTACATTATAAAACTGGGATGCAAAGGTGGCCTGCACACAATGCTGACCCTACTGTCATTGGTCATGAAATTATGGAGCCTTAAACTAAATAATCATTCAAACGACAGCGGGAATTATTTACTTATTTCATTTTTTCTCTTTATTTAGTTATTATTAACAGATCTAAAAAAATTTCTCTAGATACAATTATTTATTTATTTTTTAATTTATGCATAATTATTAAGTTCCACAAGAAAAACAAATAGAATTTTTACTGAAATGAACAAAAATTACCTGAAACTCAACATTTGGGCATTTTGCATCCAAAAAATTTAGCTGGTCATAGTACCTAAATAAACAGATGTATCAACATAAATAAGAGTGAGGGAAAATTCAACAACAAACATAAAATGAAATAAATTAAAATTAATCATCAACAAGGAAAAAAAAGAAGAAGATTGAAGAGTGACAAGTACCTTGTCATCACATCTAACGAGTTTTCATGCTTATCTAACGTTCTCCAGGTTGAGTTCATTCGTAACTTATTTAATTCCGTTAAAGCTTCATCATAATTAATCGGTTCATCAGCGGCGACACAAAAGCTAGAAAATACATACTTTAAAGGCTTAACTAAATCAATTTCTGAAGTTTTCTTCAGGGGAATAGCTACAAAATACGACATCTTTCTTTGATTATGTCAAATTTACAAAACAAAGTGCAATAAAAAGAAACAAGGGAAACAAGAACAAAATATGAAACGATTTCGATTCAAATAGATGACTCATCAGTGTCATGTGATATAAAAATAAAAACTCTCCCCATTAAAATAGAAAATATGAAAGCTTTCTCAAATGTAAAAAAATATTGCAATGATTAAGATATAATTAATAAATCCATTTACTAAATAATGACACAGACTAAAATAATGTCTTATAGTGGAGTATTTAATTTTTGAATGTGGCAACAGATGTTTGTTTATTTATTGAAATCGAAATCACCGAAAACTAAGACATTTATCAGAAATTAATTCTTTTTTAAATTTATCATCTTATTATAGTCTTTGTCTAATAAAAAAAAGCTCACATTAATCCTTAAAAATGACTATTCTATCATTGTATTGCAGAAAGTACGCATATTTTTAAAATACTTTTTGACCTTTCAGATTGCTTAATACTTCTTTTTTTTTATCATCTTTACTTCCTACAACATTAACTACTAATTAAGTGCTACTATTAATTTTTCCCTTTCATTTTAGTTTGCGGAAATTGCCAATAAGTCTCGTTCGAACTACTTGGGTAAGTAAAAATAAGTAATTTGAAATTATTTAAATAATCTTGATTTCATAAGCAGTTTGCAATACCACTTTTGTTTAATCAAATTACGATTATTTGTTTTTATCTTGTAATTTTAAAATTAAACTTCTGTTAACCTAATGCCAATAAGTCTCGTTCAAACTACTTGCGTGTGGAAAAATAAGTAATTTAAATAATATTGATTTGATAAGCTGGTTGCATTACAAATTTTGTTTAATCAAATTCCGAATATTCGTTTGTATTTTAACATTAAAACAATGTTTACGTAGTAAAAAATATTTATGTTAAAAAAAAGGTTACATTACATTACTTCATATACTTTCTACACGTAAAGCGTTTATGTGCTCTTTTTTTTCCCCCTTTAATTTATTTTCCATATCATATTCCGCCGCGCCAACTACAATCGCCAAGGTGCCAAATAAATTTTGAACTTGTAAATTTAAAAAAACAACATATGGATGTTTGCCTGGGAGTGGCTTCGAGTTATGCCTTTCGAGTTTATCTGTTTCTGTGATGTTTTTTTTTAGTTTCTTGCAGGTTGCTGCGAGACTTGGCGATTATTCTGCCTCAGATTACGGCATGGAGATCTCCTCTATTCAAGCTCTAAAATTTCTAATTATTTAATCATTTTTCAGCCGTTTATCATTTTGGTTATTTGTTTTAAAAATATCACTAAGTTAAGATTTATGAAATAACTATTATTACTAACAATAACTATAATTATAATAACTGTAATTAACAATTATTACTTCAGTTGTATGGTCAAGATTTTTTTTTTTTTTTAAATATATATTAAAATCCTTGCTGGTTGTTTTCATTTAATTGACTTAATCCATTTTTCTATTGCCTTATCTCAATTAAATTTGCTGCATGCTCGCTAATCCTTACCAAATCCCATCTTAGAAATTATTTATTTATTTGCTTAAAACTCTAAATGTTATACCAATTTACTGCAATACAAAATTTGTATCATGACAATGCCAATCTAATTAGTTGATTTTGAATAGAAGAGCCAGTACTTTCGTTTTCCATTTAGCACTTGTGCCTCTAAAATTTCAATATCAATATACTATGTATTTTAAAAAATATAAAGCAATAAGTTTTAAAAAAATTAGGTTCAACATTAAAATCAATGATGTTTTTGAATTGATAACAATTTAAACTTAGTTAACTTTTTACAAGAGGGAATTTATTTAAAGTTTCTGCTATGTGTCAATGGTCTTGTTTTTATTGGAAAAAAAATTCTTTAAAAACTTAAAATTGAGAACAAAAATTTCGTGATTTTTCTGTCACAATAATTTTAGCATTTTCTGATGGCAAAATTATGTGTTAGATGAACTGCTATTGTTCAAAATTATGTCACTATCGTTTTTTGAATCAATATTGTGCATGCCCTTAACAGTTAGCTGTTTGAAAAAATATCAATGTGATATTTAAATGGTTAGTTTTCTGTAACCGGAGGCAAGCGAAAAATCGCTAAATAATGTAGAATTCCATTCGCATTTGGTTCACAATTAGCGATATTTACGCTGTCTAACGGAAAAGTAGTACATACCTTTAAATGTCTTAGCTGGTTAATTAAATGTTTTATATTTTGAAGTAAGTAATATTTTCTTGAAACTGAAAAATAAAATATGTTCGAAATGCGAAATAATATTATTTTCTGCTAAATTCGTCAATATATCTTATTTTTTAGGCTGCTATGAGTATGAATAATGAAGTAATTCTTGAAACTGCTGGAAATAAGGGAGTCATAACTTTAAATAGGCCTAAAGCTCTCAATTCTCTTAATCTGAACATGATAAGAAAAATATATCCGCAATTAAAGGTATAAAATTTCTATTATTTTGCTAACTGAATATTCTTTATTTCATAAACATGTATATATTCAGTTAACTTTATTGTACAGTATGACCTTCAAACTCATAATTTTAATTTATCTCTTGACAGCTAGATGGGATAGCTTTAAAAAAAATGTTAAACCAGCTCAATGTCCCCAAAAATTTATTGTCATTGATTTTTTGATGATCGTACTGTTACTTTTGAAGACGGGGGTGGTTCTATACTTATTCAAAAAGATTTTAATATTGGTGTTCCTCAGGGATCCTCATTGGGGCCCATTTTATGGTTGTTGTTGATCAATACTGTCTTTGACGTTTTTAATCATGACTTTTGTGCGAATTTTAGTGATTTTAACGAACAAGATTTTAGAATTGAGGCATTTGCAGATGATTTGCTGCTCTTAATTAGACACACTAGCTTTTACAAGTTTGATCTTATTGGAACACAGATTTTGGAGAAATTGATTTCGTGGTCTACAGATTATGAACTCAAGTTTAGCCATGAAAAAACTAATGTGATTTCCTTTCCTAAGAGCGGCAGAAGGATGGCACGTCTCCTTTGCATCAAAATGGGTTTAAATGGAAATAGAAACATTAAGAATTATAAAACTGTGAAATATCAAGGTGTCACTTTGGATCCCGGTTTGACCTGGCTTCCGCATCTGGAGGATACAAAAGATCGTATCACCATTTTTAAACACAGCATGAGTGCCGACGTAAGAAGGACCTAGGGTTTAAACCCCAGTGTCCTGAAATGTATCTACCTCCAAGCCAGTGAGAGGATTATTACTTATGCCGCCAGTGTATGGTTCAACAAGGGGGTCAGGATGAGAGAAAAATTAGCATCAATCCAAAGGATCCCGCCATTAACAATAACTAGAGCCTATAATACAACCAGCACCGAAGCCCTGCAAATACTAGCAGGAATCAAACCCATTCATTATAAAATAATTGACGAAATATATTATAGAAGATTAAGATGGGGATGGCATTTGGATGATCTGAATTTAGTTAGCACTAATTTAACACAAGCCCAATACCTAGAGCCTCTGCCACTTCTCTCGCTGTACCCTGGAGCAAAGGAAAACCGGATAACAATAACATCGAAATCTACACAAACGGATCAAAAATTGATGATAATGATAGCAGAGTAAAGTAGGATACGCTGTCGTCGTCAAGAAAAATGGACTTACAATCGATCTAATCTCCAATAGATTAAACGATGAAGTAAGTATTTACCTGGCGAAGCTAGAGGCTATTAAACAAGCTGTCATTTACGTCAAAAACAAAAATTACGAAGATGTGAAAATTTATACTGATTCGCTGTCCTCGTTACAAAGTCTAAATGACCCAAGAAATCGAAGTAAGATTATTGAAGAGATCAAAGTAAATATAACGCTAAATATTAGACTTTACTGGGTCAAAGCGTACTGTACATTGGGATTGAAGGTAACGAGGAGGCGGTTCAGCAAGCCAAAAAGGCCACGAGCTTCAGCCTCGTGGGAACGATGTTCCCATTGGAAAGAACTTTCATTATTAGATGCATAAAGCAAACCACAATGAATAAATGGAAAGTAGATTAGAGTGAATCAGCAAAGGGCAGGCAGACATATAATTTCTTTAAAGATCCCACACTAATTTGCCTGCAGTCAAACTTCTATTTAAATCAATTCTTAATGGTCACCGGGGTTTTCGGAATATATCAACAGAAATTCTTCAATAAACGAACAACTTGTAAATTTTGTGGGAGAGTACAAGACATTGACCATCTCATAAAATTTTGTCCCAAATTCCGGACGATCCGTGGCAGAAAATGGGACCAATATACTCAACATCAACTTAATGCTGATATTGACTGCAGGGGGGAAATCATTGAAATTCTTAAATATACCCTGGATGATCTGCTTGCCCCTGAGAGTACACCTGACTAATTTTATCTGGTTTTATTTTTCAAACTTTTGGTTTACTGGTTTTAATATTTGCTTTTAGTATTTTACCTCGGTATAGTATTTATAACTACAACACCCTCTGTCTTACCTGGTGTCATCTTTGAGTGTTTATCCTTTTTAGAGAAACTTTGGTTTACCTTAGAACATTTTTTAATCTTAGAGGCACTTAGCCTTGAATGGGGGACACTTGAACTTTTAGTCGACTATTTTAATTATTCTAGTCTTATTTGTATTTAATGTGATTTTTCATATTTTCACCATTTGATGTTTTACCTAACTTTACTTTTATATGTTTTTACCTGTATTTTTGACACTTTTACTGTTGGTTGATTTTATTCGCTTAGATGTTTTAAGCACTTTTAACTTTTATTGCTTTATTTTTATCATCTTTTAGATTTTGGAATTTTTCCTGCCTGTATCAATATTTTTAGTTTTGGTTTTACTTTTCTGTAGTTTTGTTGTGTTTAGTTCACGTGACAACAGGTGAAACCCTTATCCGCAAACTCCTTCGGGGGTAGGTCGGTTACTATTACTATTATCGGAAGAAAAATTCATGCGAAAAATAACTTTTTGTAAATTGTTGTTTTACTAATTGTTTTTTTATTATCTCTTGGCAGGAAAAAAATTGGCTAAATCAATTTTATATTAATGATAAGATGCAGAAATTTGCACATTTTAATAATATTGTATTTTTAAGAAATTAATTATAAAATCCGGAACAAAAACTACTTAAAAACGAAACTACAAAGTGGTCTTCGAAGTTATAGGAACTCAATTCCTATAACTTCGCCTATTATAATGTTATTGTACTGTACGCAAAAAATAAACAAAACTGCCTAAATAACTTTAATTCTAATGATCAGGTTTTCCCATACTGGAACTCAATTTTAATAGTTCAAGGGAGGGCCTCAAATATGCTAATTAACTACTGCAGACAATATTTTAAGTAATGAAATCAAGCACAAAAACATAACAAAACCATTGAAAAGATGCATTTTATTCAGAGAAAACATGCTTCGTGTCTGATTTTATAACTTAAAATATTATCTGCACAAATTAGCACATTTGAGATCTATCTCACCCTGGAAACCATTAATTTTGAGTTTTACTACCTGAAATTCCGATCATTTGATCAAAAGTTATTCTTGTTTTTATTTATTTTTTGTGTACTGTACATTGAAGTTTAAAATATAGCAATTATTATTTTAAGAATAATTAAATATATCACAAGCATTTATGCAAAATTGTTGCAATTAAATTCCTACATAAAAAAGTACTAACTGAAGTCCTCCATTGTTCTCCATGTGTTGTATTTTAAATATTAGGACTTTCAAATGTGTAAAATTGTCTCATGATATCTGTCAAGAAAAAGAATATATGATTTTGCTATTTAATTATCTTGGATCAATAGTTTAAAAAGAAAAGATAACTCAATAACGCATCTAGACTTATACATGTTATAATATTGTATAAAATATCACAAAATTTTAAAAACTGTCTAAATTTTAGCATAATTGACACAAAAAAAAAATGAGCGAAAAGCTTGTGCACTTATGATGAAACAGCAATTTTGCTATAATTTTGGAGTCATAAATTTGACATTTCTAAAGTTTAAATTCGATTCAGGAATTTTATGAAATCTGAACTTTCCGAAACTTCAAGCAGTACATATTTTCAAAGTTAAGCTATATATAGTTAGAATATTTTTAAAAATAAAAATGTATATGTTAGTGATTGTAAGTGAATAATTTAGCAAGGAGGAATAGAAAACATTATCCAAATCTGCCAAAGAACTAGTGAGAAAATGGTGAGGTGAAAAACATCAAAACCAGTTTCATTCATTAATAAATCCTAATCAACTTCTCTCTGTTTCATCTGACAGCATTCAAACAAGTTTTTATGCTTTCACTCCTATCTTATTTTCTTCACAAGTCGTTTGTTAGATTTGTATAAAGTTAGCATTTTTTTTAAGCCTAAAAATGAGCTTCTTGTTTATTCTAATTTGTACTCCTTGAAACATAATTTTTTTGTAGATCTTTTAACATTAAACTTACTATTCTTTCATTTCCCTATCAGCATTCTGATTTTGTTATTGTGTATGAAATAAACAAGTTTGATAGCATATTTAATAAAAAAATAAAATTTCAGAATATTTATATATTTTTTTATGGAATTAAATTTTTCTTCTAATTTTTAGGCTTGGGATACTAATCCTGATATTAAATTAGTAATAGTAAAATCATCTAGTGAACGAGCATTCTGCGCCGGAGGAGATGTGAGAGGTAATATGCTTATCTTAGTTTAAATATACATTGTTTTATCACTGAACATTTATGTATTCATTCCTTTTTAAGTACCATTTTTCATTTTTATTGGTGCATGATGGTCTTAACAGCTTTTGTAAAGTGTAATAATAGCAATTTCCTGTTGTTCTAATTTCTCAGAACAGCTAGATATTTTAACTCATTAACACTCTCCTGTATTCCTTCCTTGCCATTTACCAAACATTTTATTTATTTATTTTTTTCCAGCACCAGCAAATAGACATATTATTAGTTAAACAAAAACTTCAGCAAATTGAAAATATTTAAAAAGTAAAATTTTTATGTGTTTACTTTTTTTTCTACATAGTGGAAATGATTCTCAGTGCATGTTGGTTTTAGAGGAATAACGCTATTACAGTTAATTAAACATCACTAGTGTTAATAATAGTTGAGCAATTTTTTTTTTTTTACATTTCTTTTTCCAAAATGTTTAAATACGTGATTATTTCAATTAAACTATTTCAGGGTTACCACTCCTCAGGGAAAACCTAGAAAATACAGGGAAACCACCTAACCACCTAAAAAAATGCCACCTAATTAAACCACCTAAAAAAATGCAGGGAATTTTGATTTTTTCTTTACAAACTGGAAAAATACAAGCATAATACTCAAAGCATGATTTATGGGATTTCATTTACTATAGCATTATTTAAGTATGTTCAGGGGTCTGTCTAGGTTTTTCTGAGAGGTACCTATTTTGTGAAAATTTAGACATAATTTGTGAAAAATTAAAAATTATATTAAAAAATCAACACAAAAATATGGTAAAAATATGAATTTATCATGTCTTAAGGGATACAAAAATAAAATTTTAGGAAAAGTATTTTGTGAAACTACCGTTTTTCCTAAAGTTGATTTTGTGAAACTACCGTTTTTCCTAAAATTGAATTTGTGAAGGTACCGCGAAACGGTAGTAAATTCGGCCTGGACAGACCCCTGATGTTCATCTGTTTTTCCAGCAATTAAAACTAATAAATAGCCCAATATAGCTCACACAAGAGCACAGTAATTATTGTTTCCTCTTAATTTATTGTGTATAATATGTACAGGGAAAACAAGGGGAATTTTTTTTCCAGATTTGAGTAGCAACCCTGTATTTATGAATATATATACTTTTGTGCTAAGGAGAATACAAATGCATTTTAATATGCATGATTATTCGAAATTGATGCAATCAGTGAAATATAAGTTCAAAAATTTAGCTTCATGCTCTTACTGTTGGCTTCAGCTTGATTTTTTTTTTCCTGGTCACAAGTAACATGTTTCTTTTTGCAACATTTAATTAAATTAATCAAGAAAAGTGCTGGTGCAAATATTTAGCTTCTAAATTGTGCCCGACCCTATTTGTTTGCTATTATGTTAAGTCTTGAAAGACAGTGTCTGCTTCAGCTTGCGTGTTTTCCTCTGATCACAGGTTAACATGTTCTGTATCCTGTTTGGCAGCACTTGCAGAAGCTCATAAAGCTGGAAACCCAACAATGGCTGAAGAGTTCTTTAGAGAAGAATATCAACTCAACAATTTAATAGGTAAGATCCTTTCTGTTCCAATAACTCCTTCTTAATGAAATATTTATTTTTGTTGATTCTATTTTTACTATATTTTATGTTTGGTGCATGTTATATTTTTTGTGCTTTTGTATTTAATTGTCTACTTTAATTAATTTGATTCTTTTCAGGAACTCTACAAATACCTTATGTTGCACTAATTGATGGAATTACTATGGGTGGAGTGAGTTATTTACATATACTGATATTTGAAACTTGCATTTCACTCTATATTTATTGTCTGTCATGTAATTTGTCAAGATATCAATCTCTTATATATTTATTTTTAATTTTTAACAGCTTAATACAACTATTTTTAACCTAAATTTTTTGTTAAATAGCATGATTATATGTTCTTTATTTTAAATACAGGGTGCATAGCGTTTGTAAAAAGTATTTAAAGGTGCTTTTTTGGGGATTTCGTTTTTAAAAGCTTTTAAAGGTGCTTTTTTCAGCTGGTGTTTTTAAAAAGTGTTTTTTTTCCGAAATTTTTTTTTCTCCCTTCAGTGATATCTGGTGGATCCCATGCATTTCACGAAAAATGGGGAGTTTGCTACGTAATCATTCACGCGGACTTCATGTCGTACTTGAAACCGAAACCCTAGTGCTCCAATTCGTATAGAGAATATCAGATCCTTATAAAATGTTTTGCTTTTTAATTTATTTTAATTTGGTTCTTGTTTATTTTATTTTACTTCTAACACTTTTTTTGACGTAGGGGGTAAGGGTACTTTTGTTCTGAGTTTAGGGTGAAGTTGAATTCACTCGGTGATGTGGGAAAGAACTGATTGTTTCGATTTACCCCCTTACTTTTTCTTTTTTTTTAACGCTAAAACTGTTTTTAAAAAGTTTTTGTTTTTTAATAATATCATTGATTGAATATGAATTTTTTGCTTATTTTTGATTCAAAGATTTGGCTACGCACCCTGAAATAGATTACTAAATTTTAACATTTATTTAAATAATTTACTAAATTAGTTAAATAAATGTTTTTATCACTTATAATTTAAAAATAAAGTATTTGACTGACTAAACCTAAAAAAATTTGGTAAATTTTTTTTTTTATTTTTTTATTTTTTCTTTCATGTAGACTTAAGACTTAACACTTTGAAGGTTTTTTATTTATTTTTTTATCCCAGCACCTTCAAAAACACTTAGTAATAAAAATGTTATTTTTGTGTTACAGCATCAAAAGTTAATTTTTTCAGTCATTTTGATTAAATAATTTTCCTTATTTGAAACTGTGGGAAAAACCTTTATAAAATATACAGTTTTTATAGCACCATTTATTCTCTAAAATGTTTTAAAAGGAAATTATTGAGAAATTATATTTATTATTATACTTGAAATTTCTGTTTAAAAAATAAACTAAAAGCTGGGATTTAAATTTTTATTTTGAAATAGTGTTAGCTTCATTTTATATTTCCTTTTTGATAATTTTACATTGTAGTATATTAAATACGTTTGAAAAGATAACCTTGTAAGGAATATGGAATTAGGAATATGGCTAGCTTTCATAAAGTTGATATAATTTTATATTTATAAAAATGGTTACATTTTTTCCAATTTCGATAAATAATTATATTAATGGATATAATGTAGTTGATAATTCCTTAAATTCTTTCTGAAATTAAGAACATATTTTCTATTCTTGGCAATATTTAATATGTGATTTAATTATTTAATAAATGTATTTTACTGTAATGTATTTCTCAATAATAAATACTGAAAAACCTATCTCAAGTCTTTTTTCTAAATTTTAAAGAGGAATGTTTTGTAACCTTAATTTTAAAAAAAAAAATGAAGAAGTTCTGGATTATAACTTTATTTGTGATCTCATTATTTATTTGTACGATTGATTATTTAAATTTTTCCCATAGGGGATTGGTATTTCTGTGCACGGGGCATTTAGAGTATGCACCGAACGAACTGTTTGTGCAATGCCTGAAGCTGCAATTGGTAAAAATAAGCTATTTTTTTCTACATTTTTATTTAATAACATGATGAACCTATTATATAGACATAGTCTTTTATAGTTTCTTAAGCGTTAATCCTAAAAAACGAAATGCATATATTTAAAATGTTTCTAAACACAAAAACATTTTTGTTATGAAAAAAGCACTAAATATATTTTAATTTTTCTTATTTCCATTTAATTTCCTTGTATGTTTATTGTCTGTCATGTAATTTGTCTAGATATCAATCTCTCATATTTTTATTTTGAATTAGCATTCAACTTTTTTTAACCAAATAAATAGCATGATTATATGCTCTCTATTTTAAATAGCTGCATCAGACTTCTAAAATATAAAATAATACCCCCCTGTTGTCGGGCTAACCGTGAGGGTTTTCGGTTTTTTTCTCTCTCCTAGTAACGCGAATGTGGGTCAGTTCCATCAAAAAGTCCTCAACAAAAGCAAAATTTTTCACAATACTTGATCCAGAAGTTCTTTTGTCTTTGGGATTAAGTTTAAAATTACAAAGCTATGGAGTTGAACATTAGTATTCATAAACCCAAAGAGTTTTGTCGGCTGTACAACGACAGTTATAACAAAAAAAATTAACCAAATAATAAATGCATATTAAATTTTTTACGAATAACATTTTTCACAATTATCAGGGTGCATACAAACTCCTTAGAAACTTCTTGGAAATAAAAAAGCCTCCAAGGAGTACTTGGAACTACTTAGATTTCTAAATTAGTTCTTAGAAACTCCTTAGATTATTGTGTTGCATGGATGAACTTACGCTGATGAATTTGCTATTCAAACACGGAAACTAAATTATATGAGTTAGCTGTCAAAATCTAATAGTTTAAGAAAAACTTTAAAAGAAAAAAAAAAGTTTTAATTGCAAGAGTTAGAAGAAAAAAATAACAGGAAATAATTTCAATTTTACATGTTACAAACAAAATTAATAATTTACTGTGATTTTTTTTTGTGTATAAAATGCCTTAGATTTTCTTATGTATTCAAATGTAAAAATATAAGATTGGTAGGTTTTTATGTTATCTTTAACGTGTGTACTTTAACAAGATTTATTAAAATATTTGAAACTGGAAAATGTATTTATGTGTAAAAGCGATAACTTTATTAATTTTTCTAGATGAAGTTTGACAAAGTAAAAATATATTTCAAAAGGGCTAGAAAAAATATGCAAACTATAAATTTTTGCGAGTTCCTTATAATAACTGCTTTTTACTTTAAAGACAAAAACTGTCTAGTTATCTTTTACACAAAGTTTTTCAATTTTTGATAAGTCCTTAAAATTTTGCACTCCTTGGATTTCTTCTTCTGATCTCTGTATGAACCCTGACAATTATATCTAATCACTATTATATATAAAATTATATATGTGCACAGTTAATAAAATGTAAATTTCTTATTAATGCATTGAGGTATGCACCAGAATATTGAAGATAATGGAGAAATAGCAATTAAACTTAATTTCTTAAATTTTTGCCTGCATTTAAAAATGTCTCTGCACAATTAGTAGGTCTCGTTAGTTCTAATTAGTAGTTTAAACTGTTTGCATACAGTGGTGGTTAAAATCATTGTAGATCATATTCATTTAACTGAAAGTAAAATGATAGAACATAAAATTTCTTAATACCTTAAATATTCAAGAAAATTCTCTTGTAAATAGGGAAGTTGACATCAATGTCATATTGAATTCCTCATTAGTGTCTTTTAATATCATTTATTCGAAACATCTCAGCCCTACAATTTTCTACCCATTAATGTTTGATTATTCAAATTGTTCTTTAATCATCAATCTTAATATATATACTTCAAAGAACTTGTAAAACTTGAAGTCTTAGGAACCTATTCCTAAGGTTTTACCCACATTTCAACCTATATATTTGACAAAAAATAACTATGCCTTGATATTTTCAGGAAAAGTGGAATTATAATCACCACAACCAGTTTATTTGTTGGGTGAGGCTGTAAGGCTTTCTAAATAATATTTATTTGCTGCCTTCAGTTTTATTTAATGAATTGGTTTTGATCATTTGCTTCCTTCTGCATTGTGACAGACTAAATAATGTTTTAACTTTTAAGTTAATGTTCAAAATGCAAAATACATCAATATGCAACATACATCAGGAGAAAATCAATATTCAAATAATGTTCATAAAAAAAAAGTAATTTTCAAATAAGAATAATTTAAAACACAAAAATATGCACTGAATACTATATTATTTACAGAAAAATTAAATAATCAAGAGCACTAGAAATAAAGTACAACAAATATATCTATTTAGCTTTGCTTTAAAAATTTTAAAGTCATGCAGTTGATGGCAAATTGTGGTTTTTAGAATTGCGTTGTATCGAACTTTTATTGCACCTTTATAAAAAAATTTTTCCTTCAAATTTTGCACTGTGTGTTTATGAATATCAAATCCTATGACAGCAATATACCTGTTTTCAATAATAATTAAAAGTAAGCAGACTTCTGCTTAGGTTAAATAATTTAAATTTATTTCAGTTCATGGTTACACTTTTTGTTTTTTAATGTATATTTTTTCATTTAAAGCTATTTTTTTTCAGGTTTTTTCCCAGATGTTGGAGGCAGCTATTTTCTTCCTAGACTTCCCGGTAAAATTGGATTGTTTCTTGCATTGACAGGGTACAGACTTCAAGGACGTGATGTATTTAAAGCGGGCATTGCAACTCACTTCGTAGACACTGGAGGTGTAAGTTATTGCTGCATATTGTATCTCAAATGTAATTTGTCAGATGTATGAAAAGGGTTTTTAGAAAATGTTAATTTATTGATGGAATTTTAAGTAGCTAACATTAGAAATAACTAAATACAGTTGAACCTCACCAGCGTGAAGCGACTTAACGGGAAATATTGCTTTACATGAAACACATGTTTGATCTTATGAGTCAGCAATCAGTTATTGTTGTATTTTAACTGATGAGCAGTAAATTTTCAAGCTGTTAATCGCTTAACATGAAAGGAAACTGGATACAGCATAGATAATAACAGGAGTCTGTTTAGAAGAAATTTGGTTGTGTTAACGGACCCTTCACAAAATATCTTTTCACGAAAACGAACCCTTAACAAAATATTTTAACTCAAAAACGGAACCTTCACAAAATATTTTGACTCAAAAGCGGACCCTTCACAAAATAATTTATCTTTTAGTAGGACTCTTCACAAATTTGTTTATCTTCATTATTGTTTTAATCGAATAAACCCTTCCCTGGAAGGGGGGGGACAGATGCAAACGAACTAAATTTTGTTTTCGGCAGGCGCTTCTTCGTCCGAAATGAATATTCTGCGTTCAGCGGTATAGGCTAAATACCAAAAATTTTTATGTTGCATAGCTAATTTAGTAGCTGCAATTGCTGTTTATTTGTTAAAATTTAATTTTTTTAATTATAATTTTACAGTGTTGAGCATAATCTTGTATGTCTTTACAATTTAAAAACTCCTTGGAAAAGTTTTTTTGCAATAACGGATCCTATTTGCACAAATTCACAAAAGCAGACCCTGGTTGAAAGAATGCGACTTAACGTTTATTTTAAATTCACAAATTGCAACTAATTTTTTCACAGTTTTACAAAAGCGGACCTTTCACAAAATGTCTGGACCGACCCCTGAATAAATAATTAGGTATGGTAGTATAGTTTGTTTTAATATAATACCTGGCTGAGTTATTATATTATTTTATTTTATAACCGTCGTTGAACAGTCACCTAATTTTTGGGGTTTATGGCTACTAATGTTCTACTACATAACGTTGTAATTTTGCACCCAGTCCAGAAGACAAGGGAACTATCTCCTAGATCAAGTATTGGGAGAAATTTGCCTTCGTACAGGACCTTTTTTTCTGATGGAACTAACCCGCATTTGCGTTACATGGAAAGGAAGACCACAAGAACCTCCCACAGTAGGCCTGTCAGTATTGTAATGAATGATGAATAAAATTCCAATCATTCATTTTGAGGAATGTTATTTCTATTTTCCTTTTATGTTATTCCTTTGTTAGAAGTAGTAGATGGGCAAATAAATGAAATAGTTGAAATACAATAGTTTCATAAAGTAGTTATAACTTTAAAGCTTGTTTTAATTTGTTTGGTTCTTAATAGAATTGTTTGCATACGCTAATGTAATAATAAAATGTATTAATAGTTCAAATTAAATTTTTTTTCATGATGTATTGGATAGAATAAAATTGGGTTAACATGAAATTTTGCTTTAACAACGTTCGATTGTAATAAGTTTACATACTTATGAATATGATTATCATATGAAATATGATTATCATATGAAATATAATTATCAAAATATAAATTATCTAAATCTGTTGTCTTCTTTTTTACAGTAATCTCTTGGACTATAAGAATTTTTCATTTCAAAATNTTTTGTGAATTTTCCTTAATTTATGATAACCAGTGTATGAAATATGATTATCAAAATATAAATTATCTAAATCTGTTGTCTTCTTTTTTACAGTAATCTCTTGGACTATAAGAATTTTTCATTTCAAAATTATTTTTGAGTATTTTTTATCTTGATTTTTTTCTCTTTTATCCTAGTTAAAACATTTAGAAACTGAACTGATGCGATTAGAAAATCCTACCCTCTCTGATGTAGACAGAATTCTCTTGAAATTTCATCAGCAGGTAATATTTTTAAATGAGTTTGAATGCATATTTAAATTTTCATGCCTGAAATTTTTATATTTATTCCTTGTTAATCTGTTATGGAGAAAAATTTAAACAAAAGTATTACTTAATTATAATTTATTGCTTAAAAATATGTATTCATGTACTTTTCTTTTTTTAAGTGTGAGGCTGATTACAAGAAGGAGTTTGCCTTAAAACCTGTTATGGGGAAAATGAATACTGTCTTTGAGGCAGATAGCGTAGAAACAATTATGGAAAATCTTAAAAAAGAAGGTTCTGAGTGGTCTCGTAAAAACTATGAAGCTGTGAAAAAACTGGTGAGCTTTTTTTATTTAATTAAAATTTAATTTTTTTATTAATGCAATTTAATTTTAATATACAGTTATATTTTATTTCTAATGAAATGAAATTGTAAATTTAATTAAATGTAATTTTAATTCAATGTAACTGTATATCACAATTATTTTTTGATGTGCTACAAAAAAAAATATGTCATAATTTTTTGTCTTTTTTTATGTGTAAATTTATTGTTGGTTACTTTGTTAATTCTTAATATTGCTGTAAAAGTTTGGTTATATTTTTTTTAAATTGAAATTTTGTTTCATAGTGTTCAAAATAACGAAATTATGCCTGTCTAATCTATTAATTTTTTTTAAAAAAAATGAAGAGTGCCTAATTTGATAGATACTGCCAATTTTGAAAATGGTTTTTAACTTCATTCTTACATAATTTCTTTATCTAACAATAAACATCTGTTTTAGGTACCATTGTATTGTTGCAAAACCTGGTATAAATTTTAAAAAAATAATTTTTTTTTTATTTCATCTATTATTTATATAATTTTTTTTATTAAGTATAACAAATAATTCCGTTTTTCTAAAAAAATTTCTTTCTAATCTCATAATATCTCGTGTTTGCAATGTAATTTAAAATTACATTGTGTTCTGTTTTTGTTCATTCAAGACATTCTTATTAAACGTATCTAGTTGTCATCTTATTGTTTGTGTCATTAAATATTTTCAATTTATAGTCTCCCACATCACTGAAGGTGTCTTTTGAGCAATTAAAGAGAGGGGCTGATATGACATTGCAAAATGGACTCGTCATGGAATATAGGCTGTGTCAGAGATTCATGGCTGATCATGATTTTCATGATGGCGTTAGAGCTGGTAATTTACTTTTTCATTCTCAAATCAGTTTTTATAAATCATTATTTTCATAAAAATGAAAGATTTTATAATTATGTGAATTTTAAAAATTTCACATTCAATCCTGTGCAGCGATTTTTGTTGAATGTGCAAAAGCAAAAAAATTTAACACCTGGAGTAATTTTTGACCTAACGATCAAATTTTCATCTACTAAGACTCAATCTTAATCAAAGTAATAAAGATTAACAACTGGAAAAAAGTCTCCATGGATAGGAGGTGTTGGAGGCTTCGCGTGTTTGAGGCAGCCAAGGCCTGTAAGGGGCTGTCGTGCTGAAGAAGAAAACTCAATCTTAATGATTCAGCTCAAAAGCTTAATATTAAATATGCTGAATAAGTTGTGTGTGCGATATTTAAGTTCCAAATCACACACAAAACATGCTCTCTCTGAATAAATATATTTTTATTCGGGGTTTGTAAAAAGTGCTTAATTTTAAGCTTTTTTTTTGCCGTATCGATTGTCATTTTAAATTTCAAAAAATGCATGATTTTAACAATTTTCTCTGCAATATTTATCAGAAACTAGTTATTTTATCATGATCACTCAAAGTTTTTAAAAATGTTTTTGAATTTTATTGATTTTATGTTTATAACTTTAAGCGATAGAAAAAAATAATTTTTATTACTGCACAGATCCTAATTGTGATTTTTTTTAAAGTGATTAAAAATATATTTTTAAGTGCTTAAAAGGTGCTTATTTTTTGTCGAAAATTCTGGCCACGCCCCCTGTGCCTCCACCGTCATCTGTATGAAAGATTTCGTGTTCGGAAATCTTTTGATTATGTGTATTGAAGAAAAAATTTGGTACAGTCAGTATAACTAATTATAAAACACACTCTATCTTTTTCTAGTTCTTATTGACAGAGACAATAAGCCAACTTGGAAACCTGCAACTCTTGAAGAAGTCTCTGCAGAAAAAGTGAACTCGTATTTTGAGCCTTTGCCAACTGACAAAGCACTTAAACTTTGAGATATTTTACACAAAGTTTTGCCCTTGGAGCCATCCAGTTTAGCTTTATTTTTATGTGCCACATAATTATTCTTAAGAATTAATCTGTGATCATTATTTCATATAATAACTATCATAAAAATAGGAACTCTTCCTTTAATGGGAAGAATTTATTTAACACTAGAAAGATACAAGCATGAAAAAATTTTATTTCATCCTATTTTCAAAATTTATGAATTTTTTATTATTTTTATTTTTTTTAAATAATCTGTACTTAAACAAAAACATGCATTAAATCCAGTTGGCATATCTGCAAACTCTGCTGTTTTTTAACAAAGACTTCTGTATTTTACGACTATCTCCTGTTTACCTGTATATTTTCAAATTTCTCCGTATTTGTTGAAGAAACTGAAAATAAAAAAAATTTGGACAATGAAATATCTGCAGATAGCAAAAATACTTCTCTTATTCCTCAACAGATGGTGCTATTGCCAGTACTGCAGTATGTTGGGTGTTTATAGTTTAAGTAATTATGAGTAATGGTTTTAAAAAAATCTTTAGATTAAGATTTATATATATATTTTTTACTTCGCTAAATCTAAGTGCTTATATTATTTCCAATCATGAATTTCTCTTTTTGATTTACATGATTTGATTACATGATGCTTGATGTATCAAAACCTTTCTCATGGCCTAAAAATGTTGCTAATAAAATCTTAATTATTTTATTTCTCCGGTGTTGTCAATTATGAGTTGGTCACTGAATTCCAACTCACCGTGTGAGATTTTGCTATATCTCTATAAACTAGTTGTTGTCTTAAGTAAAGTTTCATCAGATCTATAGCATCAAGAACAGAATTTCTAAGATAATAAAATTTCATCAGATCTATATCATCAGGAACAGAATTTCTAAGATAATCTTTTTCTATTTTATCAAATATCATGAGAATGAACTGCTGTATTTGTTTGCAATAATGATAGTGTACCATATATTTTTTATTCTTAAAATTGTTTTTATTATTTCATGCTTAAAAATTTATTTTTTTCGTTTACACCAAGAAAAAGTGAGAAAATTGTTTGCTGAGAGATAGGACACTCTAATGCATTTAACATAGTATCATATGAAAAGGGCAATTTTCCTTATTAAATCCGAAATCTTGTTATAAGTGAATCCTACTCTTAATTATTTGTTGTGCTCAATTTTATTCCCTGGATCTTTCTGGTGTTAAAAATTGCTTGTGAGTGCCAACTGATTAACAAAGTTTTAAATTACAGTTACAATTTACTGTAAAATCTAAATCAGCATTTTTATAAAATCTATTCTGTGCTGAAAGCAATGTCTTAAGTATCACCATCTAAACAAGTTATAAAATAACTTAAATGAATTAAGTTTATATTCTCCACAGGGTAAAGAAATATAATTTTTTTAAAGTAAAAGGCTGTACCTTGCAAAATTATTCTTAAATTGTTTCCGGGTTAACAACCTGGAAAACTTTCATGAAAAAAGAAATCAAAATCATTCCTCATAATGTAAATTATTTTAATAAAGGTTAGTGATACCATGAAATGTAGTTATAAATGTTTTGTAAAAATGTCTTATCAATTTTTTTTATTTATTTATCATAAAGGATGAGATAAGATGATTTTTATCAAAAAGCAATTTTGAGAGAAACGTTTTTTAAATAAGTAAATTTGAAAATATTAATATAATTTTTTTTCTTTCTTCAAAGATAGTTCTCATTGGCTGAAATTTAAATTTTCATTATTTTTTAATCTCAGTGTATATGCCTTTCTTAAAATAACTTTTTGTTTTATTAATACAAATTGTTAGTCATAAAAATCCTTTTCTTATGCATGTTTTTTTTTTCCTTATAAATATTAATATTTTTTGCTAAAACCTCTAGTCTGATGTTTACACATCTAGTCTACTTAACTTCACACAGTTAATCAGATGATAAAAAAGTAAGAAAAATCAACCTTCAGATGATAAAGACTGATGATAATACTCAATCAAGATTTGTTGACATTGTTTTCTTCCAGAATCTTGATTTATAAACAACATTTTTTAGAAATATTGAGATAGTTTGTCTGCATTTTTATGTGATATGCTTCAACATTTGAGAAACAATTTAGAAAACGATATTTGTTTTATTAAGAATGTACTATTAAACATGTAATTGTTTGTTTTTTATCTATGTACTATTTCATATATAATAGCATTTCTTTTTTTGAATGTATGTTAATACTTTAAAAGAATTAGTACTGAAAGTGAATTTTTGTACTATTATATTCTAATTTTGCCTATCAGTTTTGTATAGCAGTTATTGTTGCAAGTATTTGTATAGCTATATTTTGATATGAATAAATTGTTTTTAAAATACTCTGCAATTTTTTTTTTNTTATAGAGTCAATTGCAATTACCAAACTCTGTCGGTCTGGTTTATGAACTAACTATGCATTTATGTATAGTGGTTCCAATGTGACTACAAATTTCGCATGTTGTGTTAGTACCTTTTAATGATATTTTTTTTAATTAATGTGTGCCACTTCTTACTTGCCAATAAACTTGATGACTGTTTTGACACAAAGTCCTACGTGACAATGTTATTATTATTCTATTTTATTTTTTAAGAAGAGAGGAAACGAAGCTGAATATCATTTGAAACTTCGGTACCTAAAATAAAAGAAATTTAGAAAAGATCATTTTTTATAATAAAATACATTTTAATTATTCTTGAAAAGATCTTTTTTCATTGCAATTTAATTTTAGGATATTAGATATTTTAAAAAGAAATTGAATATAGTCAAGTTAATCGAGTGTTTCTAAAATAAATGTCTTTATTTGATGAAATAAAATACATTTTATTTTTAATTAATAGATAATCGACAAGGAATTGTAACTAGTAAATTTCAACTAAGTAAAGACAGGTTTTAAGATGCAAAGAAAGGTGGAAGCTAAAAATTGTGATTTTTTTTCCCCCTTCAGTAAATTTCAATTTTTCTTAAATAATGTTAATGAATACAACATTAGCTAGTAACTTTAAATAATAACAATAGATGGCAGCACCATTAAAAAAATGCAATGAAAATTATTAAATTTAATTATATTTTAGGTTAAAGTAATAAGGCTTGTTTTGAATTTCTCTCATATATTAAAGTTTTGAACTTTTTATTTAAAACATGCAGGTTTTTTTTTTTTTAATTTTTTGCATTAAAGGTATTACAGATACAGGAAATAATTTTTCGAGAATATCGCACAATTTTGTATAACTTTAGTGCTGCCATCTAGTTTATTTTAGAATATCAATATTTTAATTTAGAAATTTGGTTAATATAAATTAACAAATTTTAATAAAAGCTAGCACTTATTCATTTTCGACCTGCAAATTCATATTTCCATATATATTTATATTCTATTATTAATTAAAAATAAATTTTAAAAGATAAAGCTATAATCTTTTTTCTCCGCAATGAAAAAGGCAATTTTAGTGCTGCCATCTATATTTCAATGTTTAAACTATTTTTTTCTTTATTCGCTTGTCAAATTTTTATCGCTGGAAAATTTATTAAATAAAATTCCTTAAAACCATTATGACAATCAAAAAAAATGTTTTTTTTTATTTTTGTGTCTAATTTGTGAATTAAAATATTTTATTTATTCTCGTTCTTTTTTTCTTCTTCTTTACTTGACACAAATTCAAAAGTTGGAATATTTTTGTGCGCGAAGGGATTAATAAATAAAGCAGCGTATTACCTTACTAATAGCCTTTTATTAAAAACCTGCTCAGGCCAAACTCGATGAAACTTGCATTTCATTAAGTTAAAAAACACAACCATTTAATGTCTTTGTTTCGTTTATATGTTTATTTATTTTAAATGTTTTGAAACTAATGAATGAAATTCAGGTAAATTTTGACAGTTATGAATCCTTATATTAGGTAGCCAATTAAAAAATAATTCGCTATTTTTTTTCCAAAATTATTGAATAAATATTGGAAAATAGTTCCATATGAGATCCAGGAAAGTTTTACGTTTTCTAAACTTTGTGGTCCTCATCTAATATTTAAAATGTGTTTCTTGTCACTTAAATTTCAGTCAATTGATAAAACACTGAGTTAAATAGTTTATAAAAGATAATATTTTGTTCTTTTATTATTATTTTCTTCAATTTATGTTTTTAAAAATTGAGTAGTAGCAAAACAACTATATAAATGAATTTAAAAAAATTAATATTATAAAATGCTATACATCTATATATTTTTAATTAAATAACTAAAACAATAATTTCTCCTTGTAAAGTATTTCTCCTTTTAATTATGATCGATTAAAATATAATTTTAACCAATAAATAAAGAAGAAAAAGAAAAATAGTATTTATAAATAAAGTAAACACGTATAAAATTTTCTATTCTAAATATTAATCTATATTAAAAAATGTATGTTAAATAATATATTTTAAACTTATGCGAAATTACAATTATTCAACACTTAACTTGTGGAACATTCAAGTATTAATTTTCTTTCGCTTATTTATTTTTATTTTATTTCTTCTTCTTGTTAACCATAACTTTACAGACTGTGAGTAAAAATGTAAGTTATGAACACGTTGTACCAGTTATGTGGCGCATGTGGCAAAAAATTGTCGTTTAAGTTGGCTTCCCTTGCATTAATGACATTCGTGCTTGAAAAGTGTTGAAAAATACTTTTTTTTTGATAATTTTTGGCAAAAAAAAATTTTTTTTTTAATTATGACACTTTTTTGATGAGTTTTCAGAACAGTCCTTGAAAAGGGAAAAAAATTTCCCACTGAAAAAAAAGGGAATTAAAGTTTTAAAAAAAATTTTCATCGATTATACATTTGATGTGTTTAAATCTCCTGCAAATGTTGAGTTGCAATGTTAATTGCTAAAAAGAAATTTCCTTTTTAAATGTTATTTATTTAGCATATATTTTTACAATTCTAATTATTCTTTCCCTAATTCAACTTATTCTTCTTAGAAAAGTTTCGTTGAAGATTTTTATTGTTTTTCAGTTTTGATAGGATGCTTTATAATGACCTTCTCTTAATGTACATTTTTAGAAGCCTCGTTAAAAAAGTAAAGTAAAAAAATCATTCATATGAAGGTCAAAAGTTAATATTTAAGCTAGAAATAAAAACAATATCAGAATCCAGCGAATCACTACTGAGAAAGGAGGGACTGAAAACGCCAAAACCTGATAGTAGAAGTTGAAAGTAGTTGTTAGAAATACATAGTTTCATCAATCAAAAAAGTTTTGATGCTTTCAGCCCAGCCGTCTTCAGTAGTATTAAATATCGATAGCTTCTTATTTTTTTGAATTAATTTGTGACTTTAATCTGAGCACTTTTTTTTCTTGCTTTATTTTCGAGAACGATTCTGAAAATATTCCTTCATTACTGTATATATAACCTCTGTACGTCTGTAAAAAAAATAAAACAAAAAGTATCTCTTTATTTCCACAATTCGTTTTTCTTTAATTTACAAAAACAATACTTTTTTTAACTAAAAAAAAATATTCAAAATACAAGTCAATGCCAATCAATTCATAATACTCATAAAAATAAACAATAAAATAATTTCTTTAAAAAAAATTATAGAAAAAGAAAGTTGGGAAGAAATTATAAAAAATATCGAAATGTCCTTCACAATACAACGCCAAAACGAACAAAAAAATAAATAAAATAAAATAAAAAAATAATTAAACTAAAAAAAATAATAATTAAAATTAAAAAAATAATAATTAAAATTAAAAAAATATAATTATTAAAATGAAAAAAAATAATAAAATTATATATTTTTTTTTAAATTAAAAAAAGGTTGTAAAATTAAAATCCACGCCAAATTCTTACAGCGAATAAAAATAAACATTACAATAAATTCTTTAAAAAAAAGAAAAGAAAAAAGAAATGTTAAGGAACAAAGAGACTGAAGTCAAAATAAAAAAATTAAAAGAAAAGAAAATAATAATAATACAAGGCTAGCAACCNTAAAATGAAAAAAATAATAAAATAATAAATTTTTTTTTAAATTAAAAAAAGGTTGTAAAATTAAAATCCACGCCAAATTCATACAGCGAATAAAAATAAACATTACAATAAATTCTTTAAAAAAAAGAAAAGAAAAAAGAAATGTTAAGGAACAAAGAGACTGAAGTCAAAATAAAAAAATTAAAAGAAAAGAAAATAATAATAATACAAGGCTAGCAACCTTAAAATATCCTTCAAAGCATAACATCTGTAAAAAAAATAATCTTGGAATCAGGCTCAGTCAATAACACGACTTAAATTATTAACAAGGAAGCGACACAACGTCCTCGAGATAGACATGGCACAAGGTTTCTTTCTCTCTTCCTAAACGAAATTAATTCGAATTATACTTCCTCAATACAACGAACCAACGCGGAAGATAGTTCCGAAATACAACGAACTTGAAATAAAAGCGAAAGTGGCCAACTTCCTACTCAGGCCAAAGAAAACCGCAAAATCACTTGCCTTCTTCCTGCAAAGAAAAGTCCATTGCACCATGGAAGATGCATGGAAGTAGATTTACTTCCACAGAGAAAGGTTGAAATGGAAACTTCGGACCTTGAAAGTGCTTTGGCGCCCTTGAAGAGTGCTTTGGCGACCTGAACAGTGCTGATTTCGATGCGTGGTTCAATGTCTTT